GGCAATCTTTGGACAATAAGAACTTAAAAAATATTTTTATAGTTGAGAAAAAACAAAAAATGAAGTGATGAAGAATGTTATCAATTAGATTTAAAAGTATTTAGTAATATAATTATGTATGGTTGATAAGTTAATATATAATATTAGTGACCTAGAAGTTGCTTTTGATTTATGAAACCTATTAACAATATTATACATGTAAAAAACCCTTACAAATAAGCTATATTTAAGGGGAAATTATAAAACTTACATATGAATGAATGCCAAATCTATTAAAACATATGATTATGTTTGGGCAAATTGATCACACAACTATGTAGTTTGAAGGTTACCAAGGAGGAAGAAGATCAAGCTTATACAATTATATCGTCCTTACCTAAGTCCCATGACCATTTGGTGACTATCACTACACAGAATAAAGGCACCTTAAAAATATAGGAGGTTAGATATGATATTATGCATAAATTTTTGACAAGTAATGAAACTAAGATTGTAAAAACTATGGCTCAATGAAGAAGACATTAGAAAATAGATATGATGATATGAAAAATCAAAGTTTAAAGAAAATTATATATGATAGTACTAAAAGGTTCATTGATTTGACACATAAACCTCGTGATGGAGGTAAAGTTTTGATGAGAAAAATTCTAAAATATATAACTATTAGGATAGAAATCGTGAAAATTAACATATTTGATAGAATAATTATAACATTAATAGAAGTAAAAGACATACTAGCTTTGAGAAAAGTTTAATCTTCTTATGTTCCTTTGATGCAAGTTGCTACATTTATATCAATGAAAAAATTATTCTCAAAATTAAAAAAATATGCTTTGATTTATATGAAAGTAGTGAAAAATTGTTCGCTATATAAATTACTTAAGACAAGTATATATAGTGACATGTCATTACATTATAATGTGATTTAAGACACTACTATATTATGACATGAATCTTGTAAAACTAGTTTCTATAAAACTTAGTGCTCTTTGTAAACAATGTAACATTTGTTACTTCTACTAAGAGAAGTAAAAATATAACTATGTACATTCAAATGTCTAGAGTATATTTGTAATTACTTCCTTTGAAGGAGCTTGATACTTTTTTCCATTTATTAATGACTTCTCTAGAAAGTTTGAGTTTATTTTTTAAAACACATCAAATGTGTTTGATACCTTCAAACTTAAAAGTCAAAGTTAACAAAACAAACCAATAAGTAAATTAAAGTCTTATGTCCTGATAATGATGGTGATTACACCTTTAAGATATTGCAAATTTTGGTTTGAAATTCATCATTTTACTATTTCACAAACAACAAAATAGAATAAAGTGGCTAAAAGGATGAATAAGACATTACTTGAGAGACCTTGCCACATGAGATTATTGGTATGACTCTAAAAGTAATTTAGATCAAGGTTGTCAACATAGTAAATCACCCACCTAGTCTCAAGACACTTAAAAAGTTTGGTTTAGCAAACTATTACTCTACTTTAACCTACATATAAATGAATATCTTGCTTATTCTTTGTTTCAGATAATAAATACACCAAGTTGAATTTTAAGTTAAATAATATATTTATTATGATGTAAAAAAGTGTCAAGCGATTTAGACTACTTACGTTCATAACTTAGAAAATAGAGCTTATAAGTGGTGTCATATTTGATGAAGTATTAATATTTAGGAAATTTTAACATATGACCTCTAATGTGAATGACCCTAGTAGCTCAATTAATGTGGAGTTAATGATGATGCATAAACAGTTGACAACAATTGAAAAAAATACTCACATTGTGAAGAGTCTCCTATACATAAAAAACATAGTAATGCTTAAAGTCAAAGATTATCTAAGAAGAAATGTAAAGATACCATTAATATTTGTATATATTTTTTTAGTTTTTTCAATTAATTCTTCTCATACAACAATATTTCACAAAGAAAGAAATTGACAATAAACACAACAATAAATAAATAAATGAATAAATAATTTGTGGAAGAAATGAGTTCCCTTCAAAAAAATAACACTTGAAAAGTGGTATTACCCTCAAAGAGAAAGAAACAATCAAGTAAAATTTATTGTATTGGAAGAAAGATGATCTATTAACAATAGAAGCAACCAAATATAAGACTCAATTAGTTGTAAGAGATTTGGGTCGAAGAAATGTATTGATTATAATGAGAATTTTTACTAGTAGTAAAATACTATTTGATTAAAGTTAAGTTATGTTAACACTGTTTGATTTAACATTGAAGTAGTTTGATGTGAAATAATATTTCTTACATATAAATTTAGATGAAGAAGTATGTATATTACAATCAAAGGTTTTTTCCCACAAGTCAAAGAAAAACTAGTGGGGAAACTAAATAAATTTATCTATGATTAAAGAAGGCTCATCATCAATTGCACAAGAAATTTGACTACTTTATGTTGATGTATAATTACACAAGAAGTAAGTATGACAATTATGTTTATGCATATTTTCATAATAATGTTTTTTTGTTATCCTCGTGTGAAATATGTATAGTATGTTGAGTATATCAAAATTTATGGATGAGATAATTTAACTTAAAAATTACTAAAATTTGTAATTTGAAATGAGAGACATAAGTAATAAAATAAAAATCTTAAACATAGTCACAAAAAAATATTATAATTGACCTTAAAAAACTTTAATAAGAAAGTCTTGGTTACATTCAACATGAAGAGAGTCAAAATAGTGAGTACACCTTTACCTCAACATTTTAGATTGTCTCTATAATAGTTTTCTAAGTATTTTAAAGAGTATAAATAAGGGCTCAAAATAACATAGGTAAATGTGATCAATTGTCACATATATGCAATGGTTTACACTTAGATTGATTTATCATAGTCATTTGTACTATTAATAGATATATGATAAGTCTAGAAAAGAAGCATTATAATGTAGTAAAATCAATTTTATGTTATCTTAAGTAAGACTTCATATTATAATTTATTTCTTTAACAGAAAATATATCTATTTTTTTAATTATATGACTTAAATCATATAAATGACACTGATAAGAGAAGATCTACCACAATGTACATTTTTTCTCTAAGTAAAGGTCTTATCAGATTAAAAATAATTATTAACATATTATTGCACTTTTAAATACAAAATTTAATTACATTGTTAATAGTTGATGAGACAAAAGAAATATTGTAGTTAAAAAGTTGTGAAAGTATTTTGGCATCAATCAAATTGTTGTATTTCTACATTGTGATAGTAATATGTAAGTTGTCTTGTAAAAATCCCATTTATCATTCAAAGAAAACATATTGATGTTAGATTTTCTAAATTATGTGAAGCTATTATTCAATGTGGCATTTAACTTGTGAAGAATGGTACCTAAGATAATGTTAGTGATTTAATGACTAACTTTTTACTAAGACTCAAATTTCATAATTGATTCAAATTGACAAATGTTTGCTCATGTTGATGAATGAATATTCTAATATGAATGTATTTTTATTAAAAAAATTATTTCTTTAATATTTGTAGCAACTAATTTGGTCAAGTCAAAAGTGGAGAATGTTGTTATTGACTGCCAAACAAGTGGGTAAAAAAAAACTGCCAGAAAAAATATAGAAAGGAAAGTGTTACCAGAAAACATAAGAAAGCATTTAGGAAAACCTAAGAACTCTAACATCCTTGTAGAGTAAAGAGCTCCCTACTTCAAGGTGGAGAGTTGGCTTGAAAATTAGAGAAAGAGACAAGCCGTCTCCTCTTTCTCATCAGGTGTCCCAATTGGATTGAAGAAGATAGAATATCTTTGGGCTCAAACCATTTGGGCAGAGTTTCTGCCATAATTATTTTTCTTTATATATTTCTCCACCTTGGTTTATATTGTTCTTGGTGTGAATACAGGATTTTTTCTTCTCCAAACCACAAAAGAGTGCATCATCATCGATTGAATCATGTTATGAGGTGATTTCTACTTAGTTTATCATCACTAAAAGATCTACAACATTATGAGCGGTCATATCTTCGTAAAAATCCTATTTTTATAAGATAAATAAACGTTACATTATTTAGCTTTGCTGCTTTGACGCTTGCTCTCTTCTCCTTGCAGCGAGTGCTCTTCAGTTATCTACACAATGGCATATTTAGTAATTGAGAGATAATTTCTGATATCTAAGAATTTGGGTGCACATGTACGGCCCATCAATTAATTGGACAACCAATTTGGGTTCATTGATCAAGCGGTCTCCTTTGAGCCACGGGAGTCTGGAGTGTGGGCCTCAGTTGGGCTAGTCTTCGTTCGGGCTTGGGCACAGCCTGATTGGGCCACCGCTGGGGTTGTCGGCCTTGTAGAAGCAGCTGGAGGTGAGGTCACTCGACTTGCGATGCACCCGGTTTCACCGCTCTCCCCCATCTGGATGATCCGTCTTCTGGTGGAAACGTGCGGGGCTGGCGTTGGAGGAGAGAAGAGGGCCAGTCGGGGGAAGGGATCGGGCGGCGAGCGGCGGAGCTGCGGCTAGAGGCGAGAGGGAGGAGCTGACGGGAAGCGAGGGTGATTCACGAGGTAAGGTCATGAGTGCGCCGTTTCACCCTAGATTCATTGGGGTTTCGACCACCCCGCCCCTTCTCTGTATTCTTTTCGTTCGATTTCTAGGTTTCCCATCCTCCCCCGCCGTTGCTCAATTCCACCTCCGGACGAGGACCCTGGGTGAGGCACGGTTAGTGCGAGCGGAAGAGGATCAGAGGGGTGTAACCAACAAGAAGAAAATTGACTAAATGAAAGAGCAAATAGAAAGATTTCAGGTGGATGTGCTTGTGTGCAGGCTCCAGAGAGAGAGGGGAGATATAGAGACGTTTTGAGGTTGAGGGAGTGAGGAAGGAGTGGCGCAAGGAGAGAGGGAAAGAGAGGAAATAGAGTCTAGCTGAGACTGGGTGGGGGCGGTCAAGAGGGTTGAGTGGTATCTCCCCCTCTGCTTCCATCTTCCTCTCTCTTGGAGATTTTGAGCTGTCAACAATCTGCAATGGCCACCAAACTTGTGGTTCGTATCTCTTCCCCTCTTCTGTCTTTCGAAAAGTATTTTTGTCGTTAGGTCGATTCTTTAATTTCGCTATTATCTTTGGGACTTATCGTCCAGGTTCTAGGAATCCCATGGGATGTAGAGACGGAAGGCCTGAGGCAGTACATGAGCAAATTTGGGGAATTAGATGATTGCATTGTGATGAAGGTATTATTTCTTTTCTAACGATTCTAGCTAAGTTCATTCTTCTTCCTTTTTTTTCATTGTTTCACGGCCTCTCTTTTGTTTACGTGAAGCATAGTGTTTTTTCTGATTTCTCCTTCTATAGACATGTATATGTAATTGGCTGCTTTACATTTTTGCTGATTTATTTTCCCTTCTTTTGTGGATGTTGTTATGCGTGGCTTGATGCTTTTCAGATCCTGTCTTTTGTTTTTTTGGGAATACGGATGATAAGATGTACTTTTATGGATAGCCTCAGACAGCCCATGCTGAGAAGAGAATCGTGGAGCTAATAAAGCACAGTCTTAGATGACTCCTCATGAGCACGGTCTTAGATCCTGTCTTTTGCTTTTCCTCTTGTTTGACTTATGCAGACAAAGCTTCGGCATCTTAAAGGCAGGATGTTGTATTCCAGTTGTAAAAATCTCCCCGCATTTTCGCCTCATGTTTTTTAACTTTTCATCTTCTGTGACCCAAAAATACTATCCTATTTTTTCCTAGATTTAGCAACTCTGCTCTGTCTTTCCTAGAGTCTATCAGTGGGGATTCACTTAGATTCGGGTTTGGTGTATCAACTTTCAGCTAAGAGGATAGTCGGTCACTGGTCGTTCGACTTGCTGAGTCCATCTAGTCACTTGGTTCCGATCGTGACTCTTTCACCCTATATCATATCATCGTACCCCAGTGGCTGATTAAATATAGTGCCTGAACCATTTCTTATCAGATTAAAACTAAGAGCTCGCAGGCATATTTTTCTCTTCTTTACGTTGATGAACCCCAACCGCCACTTAGGCTTTAATAACTTTCAGTCGCCTCTGAAAGGGCTCACTGCAACCAGTCGTAAGGCTAGTCTGAAGCGAACATTTAATTTTTCGAAATTATTTTGGTGACCTTGTTTGATCAAAATGCAGTCTAGTGTATCAAAGTTCCTGTTTATCTCCAAAAGACCTCTCTTATGTATTTTCTGTATGAGTCATTGGGATTCTTACACATACCGAGGAGTTGGGGTTAAGATAAACTGAGTAGGCGTACATCAACTTGCTAAAGTAGAGCTGAAACAGAGAAAACTCACTTGGAAATATAAATATGCTCATCTTAAACTTTCTACCTGTCAGGTAAGATGAGAAAGATTCAAGAGTTCAAGTTCATTACCTTTCTCTATGTAGTCTCTAACATGATTGCTAAGTTGATTTTCTTCTGTCCTTGTATTGATCCCTAAATGGTGAATTAATGAACGAATCATAGTTACGAGATAACTTTAGGTGGCTAAGTGCATTCATGCTGGAGATTTAATGATTTATCTATGAAACTAGACTTTAAATATATATATATATATATATATATTGCGAACAGATCTATTCATTTTAAACTACATACGCCATAGCCTTATTGAATGGTAGGTGGAGAAAAGGAAGTTAGACATCATTGCCGATTTTTCAATCATGGTGAATGGCTAACGAAGACTACAACTGGGTAATTCTCTCTTTGTATTAGTAAGAAAAATTATGAGTCGGATCCAGGTGGCTGAAAGGGTGCTCATCAAGTGATCCATGGTACGATGGGCATTAATCATTGATATATTGATGATACTGTTCTCTATTGCTGAGATGGAATGACTTTAGATCCTGATGGTTTTCTTCGTGGATAGTGGGATCAGGATTAGCTTTGAATAGCTCATTGGCTGCAGCATTTTGCGAGAGAATTTCTATTGTCCACCTGTCATACCAATCTTGAACCGTGCTTAATGTCTGTACAAATGCATTGAAAACCTCAAAAGGTTCTGAAAAAAACAAACTTGAACTAAGTGTATGCGTTATTGAGGAATCCTGTCACATAATATATGAAGACATGAGTGCTTGCGACATAAATGATACCCTACTGTCTTAGACTTATCTGCATCGAGATTTCATTTTGATTTTAGGAGACTGTTTATAGATATTTATTGGATGAAACTATTTCCCAGTTTACTAGTAGTTTTATATTTATTACGCTTGCTTTCACTGCTGAGTTTGTGTATCATCTCTATTTTTTCCATTAATTTGCCTAAAATTCAAGCATAATTTATTTTCTGGTATAACAGGAAAGGTCAACTGGACGTTCCCGTGGGTTTGGCTATGTCACCTTTGCATCAGCTGAGGATGCGAAGGTATCTCTGTCTGTCTGTCTCTCTCTTTCTCTCTCTCTCTCTCTCTCTCAACCTCTCTCTTCATCATTTTATTTTTTACCTCAATATTTTACTTCCTCATCATTTCACATAAGAAGTTATCTTCACTTTCTATTGGCTATTCTCTGTGCCTGATGGATATGCTCATTTCTGTTCACTTTCTTCTTACTTAGAGTTTTACTTTTCATTGAGTTATTTGCTGAAAGTTGTCAATTACCGTCTTTGGATTATTTGGCTCTTAATTTTCTTTAATATGGTGTCAAACAATGGCAGACCATGTTTTGGTGACTAACTGCTGAGCACTAATGAGGCTTACTTTAGACCTTGTATGGTTATACATGTATACAATCCGGTATTTGGACATGTTACATAAAATTGGTTACCAAGTAGTAAAATGTCTTGCAAATAGTATGGGCTGTTCAGATGAAATAAAGTAAAAATGTATCGTCTTGTGGTTATCTTGAGAGGGGAGGAGCACATATAGGTCGTTGAGATTCGCTGATCACTATGCACGAAATCAGATGATTGCTATCTTGTTGAGGGAACCGCCCAATGAGATACCCATATTAACAACAAAATTTAGATGCAGATTGATGGCCTAATCTTTGAGTGGATATATTGGAATAAGATTGAGGATGTGCTCACTCGTTTTCATGACTGAATTGGTGCACGTATTTGGGTCCTTTCCAGACGTTTTCTGTCATATCTGAAATTAAGCTGCCACCTTTGATGGATTTTGTATTAATATCGCTGGAAGATTGAATGCAAGTTGTGTAATTATATTAATACTGTCATATGTTGTGATAACATGTACTTTAACTTGACATGAATGCTTACCAATATGCATAAAAAGTCCTACGGATAATTGACACTATCTTTCTTCATTAACTGTAAATTTGTGAGGCAGTTACATAGTTCTGCTATCTTAAACCAGCCAATAACCGTTATCTTGTTTTATCTGATTTGGGGTTTTGCATTGTTAAAATCATTGTTGCGGGCTTGTACAATACTTATGTGTGCGTACTTATTATGTTGCATAATTTTGCTACCTATATTCGATTTCCTGATGTAGTCTTGAATTCAGCTGACACTATCCTCTTGTAATCCAGAAAGCCCTTGAGAGTGAACATGTTCTGGGAAACAGAACTCTTGAGGTGAAAATAGCTACCCCAAAGGTGGGATAAATTCGTCCTTTGCTGGTTTCCAGCGATCATTTTTATGCTTCCCATGAGTTAAGATGCCACTATCTTCAGGAAAATGACCAACTTATGTTACAGGAAGAAATGATGTCATCTGCTTCGAAAAAGGCTACTCGGATATTTGTTGCCCGAATTCCACCATCTGTCACTGAGTCAACATTCCAGAAGTAAGATGGGTTCTTCATCCATTACGGGTGAAGAGTCAGTAATATGTGTTTACAGATTTGTGCGTTTTAAATGTGATGGGAAGACTGATGGCAACTTTTTGCAGTTACTTTGCAACATATGGTGAGATTACTGATGTATATATGCCGAAGGTGAGACTTAATAGCCTAAATATTAAGCTCTATCACCAGACTGCTTTACCTTTTGTATGTTGATGCACTCTGGAATGAAATCTCACCTACGTCGTAAAAGCCAATACTCTACATTATAATTTCTCTATTTTATGGTTTATGTAATGTTCCTACTGATGCCATGAATATTTCTTCTCTTTCTTTGTTTCAATTATTTTTTGGGATTCCTCGTTGTTTTATTCATGATGCTCCACCCATCCAAGGTGCATGTCTGCAGGATTGTCCCGAATTAAATGCTACAGAAATCTTTCACTTTATAGTTCATATTGAGGTGTATAATTTAACTTATGGGTTTGATTTAGGACCGTTTTTGGAATTTCTATTATACAGTAATTTTCAAAAGTTTGTTATCTTGACATAGAATCTGCAATTGGTGTACCACTCAAGGTACATGGGGTTAATAATTGTGATGAGGTTTAAACATATGGCAGTGGATGTGTTGCAAACAACTATGAAGGATATTCTTTGAAGTGGTTAGCCTTTTGGCGAGCTTTTTGTTCTTCTGTTGCTCTTTTTTCTCCTTTTTTTGTTTCTGAAACTGGCGAGCTCTCTCACTCTTTTTCATCCTTTATCATTGTTATTATTTTGAATTGCCTCAGTATATGCTTTGTAGACAAAGCTCGGTACCTGCTGTTGTCGTCTGTCGTCTGCAGAGTATATCTCCATAGCCTAGGGGTGTTGCTTGTGGTGCCAAAAAAAATATAATCCGTGCTCTCATTCTCTTGTAGGATTAAGGTGGAACGATTAATTCGACAAAAACTTTTCTAACTAGTTTTCACTGATAAAAAATACCGACGATGGTTTCTTAGTAGAAATGATTTAACTTATACTGAGAAGGGGAAAGAACTTGGATGTTGTTGGAAAGAAGAAAATCATGAAAGTATACATACAAAGTTGCATGCACATCATTAAACCTTGTGTGTTGGATGCTAGTTCACCATTTTTTGGTGTAACGTGGTAATTTTTTCTAGTAGACATATGGGATAGCAATATTTCATTTACAGCACAATACAATGAGTCTGTATTTTCTTTCCACCTATGAGAGGCTAGATTTAATGCTTCCTATATTGATTGCTGGCATCCTTTTTGCAATTATTTGTTTTCATGGCAATCTTAGATGTTTGATTATTGGCTGAAATTTTTAGGATCAAGGATCAAAAGGTCATCGAGGGATTGGTTTTATCACATTCGAAAGTTCAGGTATTGGTCAGATCTATCATTGGTTTATAATGCTACACAATGAGTCGAGATGTTCATTTGTTTTTGTTAGTTTGCTATCAGTGTCTACAGCTAGTATTTCTCTTCTTTTTCAGAATGTTTATAGCATTGCATGGGTTCTCCAATGATTTTGGGGGATGAGAAATCAACTAAGAGTGAGGATGAGACAGAAATTTTGTTTTTAAGTAATCTGTTCCTTATCTAGCCGCTTGGAGTCCCTTAAAATTCTCATGGATATCCTGAAAGATTATCAGATTGCATCTGGTCAAAGAATCAATAAAGAAATAAGTATTCTTCTGGTCAAAAACATTTTTTTATTTATGTATTGTGTTCATTTGTAAACTTCTATTTGATTTAGCTCAACGGAAATTCATAAACTTTGCTAGTGTTGACCCTGATAAAAGCGTTACTTTTACTGATTCGCTATTTTCTTTTGCTACCCATGCACTCCACTTCTCCCTTCTTTCCTCAGGAAAATTATACTGAGTCAAAGGGTTGTGCACTGAGAAATGATGGCGCTCTAGAGAAAATGTGTATTGGTAATGTAAAAGAAATGCCATGTTCTCTTTGTGGTCCAGGTTTTTTTTCGTATAATTAGCAGAGGTAGGTGATGATTTACCAAGGAATAATGGAAGGTATCAGGAGATAGGTGGGTAAACCTCGTATCAAGGGCTCCGCCCTAATCCAAATTTTGTTGTCAGATGACTTGAAATCGCTTGATATCCTTTAAGAAAATATTTTGAAAGAAACTGGAAGGGGTTTGTAGCTATAGATGCTAAATGTTGACGGAAGGATTAATTGTTAATAGCAGTCCTTTATTTCCCCATTCAATACCTGGGACTTCCAAACTTAGGGCAGTCTGCACAGCCAGAAGTTTCAAGAAGGAAATCCTAATGGGTGCAGTAAAACTGTGATTGACCTGAAATAAACAAGCTATAGACCATATCCTGTGGTATGGGGTTCACCAATTATGAAGTGATAAATTTATGAAAATGATCAAATGATAAGATTAAATTCCCGTTTAAAATGATAGCTGATGGTATCAATATCTTATACCTTGCCGTGATTTCCATGACATATACTTGCCCCATCTTTCCACCATTATCGTTGAAACCATGTGAGATTGATTTATTTCTGGTTTAAGTTAGAGTTTAAATTAAAATTTCTTGAGCCTCATTATGAATGTTGTTCACTTTGCCTGGTGATTGGAGAATGCCTATTTCTATATCGTATTTGAACACCTATTTTCTATTATAGTTTGATAAATGGTCATCTTGTTTCCTTTGATAAAATGGTGATCCTTACAGCATGATATTTCACTGTGTAAGCATTGACTGTGTACAAGCACTGATATAACAGAATTTCGCAGCGCCATAGTCAAGCTGGTTTTTTCTATTAATTTGACAGCCAGATGTGTACCTTTTGTTGTATTCTGTGAAGCCATTGTTAAACTACATTATTCTAGCTTTCTTGCTTACTGTAGCGCATATTCTTGCTATGATTCTCTGTGTTGAGATCTTGGATATAATGATTTCTCTTGTGCTTTTCTTTTTTCATATTTACAAAAATGCTTTATCTTATTTTCGAGCAGACTCTGTGGATGCCTTAATGGCAGACACTCACGAGTTAGGAGGTTCAACTGTAGTTGTTGATCGGGCAACCCCCAAGGTGATTTTCCTTCATTTTCGTCAATTTGCATTGTGAATACCTTTGGTGATTCTCTTAGTTGAGGGCACTGGTTAGTATATTTAGATGATCCATTGCCAACCAGCTTAAGGATCCACCGATCAACTCTACCATGGTTTTTTCGGTTCAGATAACTGGCTTATTTCCCACTGAAGTATGTTTCAAGTTGATTGCCTTTAGATGATGCATGGATTGCAAACCCAAGTTTCTAACATGTTCAGCATGGCATTTGTGTTTTATCTTGCTATCCTTGTCATTGTTTCCCAGTGTTCATCCCCATTTAGAAACATGGGAAAATGATGACGAGGTGTTTGCTAACAACATTCTTGCTGCTTATTTTCGTTTGTGTGAACTAACTAGCGGTTGGTCTGATGGATTCAGGATGAGGAAGTGAGGCAACCAACCCGTTTCCCTCAGGGTGGTTATGGTGCATACAATGCTTACATGTCTGCAGCAACTCGATACGCTGCACTGGGTGCTCCCACACTTTATGACCATCCTGGTCCTGCATTTGGAAGTGGGTTCAGTATGAATTATGTCTCTATGTGAATGCAGCACAGAAATATTTTCCAGATAATGCTGACTTGGTGGAGTATTTTGTTTCACAGAGCCTAATCGCGCAAGCAGCAAAAAGATATTCGTCGGTAGGCTTCCCCAGGAAGCAACTGTTGAGGATTTACGCGAGTATTTCAGTAGATTTGGCCATATTATAGATGTTTATGTTCCAAAGGTAATGTGGATGATGTTTCTTTATGCATGAGGTCACATCAGTTATCTTACCGGGGATTGTGTATAACTCAGGATCCTAAGAAGACGGGGCACAGGGGCTTTGGTTTCGTAACTTTTGCTGAAGAAGGTGTGGCAGATCGAGTATCGCGTAGAACTCATGAGATCCATGGGCAAGAGGTACGTTTTGAGGTTTCTTGGTTGTCTCACAAAACTATGCTCATATCCCCCCTGTTTCGACCTTTTGAATAATAGTGCAAAGTATTATCTACCTGTTTTGTTGGTATATTTGCCGCATTTTTTTAAAAAAATAAAATCTAGCTGTGACTGTATTAGTACAGTTCAGCAGTACAGTTCAGCATCAGATTAAGACCCATAGACTGAAAAACCTAATGGTGCTTCACGAAGTCAACTGCAACGTTTAGTGATTCAGTTTGAGTTAGGTTCAGCTTTTCGGAGTCTTTACTCCAGCTGAAAGGCTTGAACTATGCTACGTATTCCATTTTAATGTATGAAACATGGGAGCTATGAAGTCTACTATGAAAACGAAGTGAAAAATATTGCGCTCTGACTCGGAGATTTCTTGAAAATAAAAATTATTAAAAACTTGAGAATGTAGCCATGAATATTTTCAATGTCGAGGAAAATATTATTTTAGGGATTTTTCTTAGAAGAGACATTCTTTTACTCTCCTCATCTCCCTTATAAAGGAAGAACAGGCCAATAAGAATGTAGCAGAGGCATTGGTCGCATATGACATGTGCCGTGCCAGATAGTGACGGGCAGAGGTAATAGCCATTGGTGGCTGGCAGCTGTGGATGTTCCCACTTCTTCCTTGGAGTGAATATTCGTTAAATGCCACTCTTCATCTCTAACTTTGTGCCTACTTTTCTTACGATCCTTTTACTTCCTTTGATGCTTATATATGGAATCGCCCTCTTGTTTTATCTCTGTTTAGTCACCGTTATTGCTATGTTCTGACATTTTCCAGGACAATCATACACCTAGATTCAGTGCTCAAATGAATCATACCTCTGTGCAATGGCTCTTTTGATGTCTAAGCTATCTCTTCTCTCATCAAAGTTTCTCATCTCTAATGAGAAATCTTGCTTTCACATCTCGTCTTTTGTTGGTCAACCTTTGTTATCCCCCTATCCTTCCATACAGAACAATAATGAACACTCCACAGGGGGATTGTCTGTACAACTTTCTTTATAATATTGAGTGAAAGTTGACTCAGACAGACCCACAGACCAAACAGCTCTATGTCAACGCTAAGGGTCTTGCCTCCATTGATATTACCTGCCTACGGGTGTGCCATCCCAAGTAGAGGATAGATTATTTAAAAAGAGTGGGTCCTTCCTGCGACGCAAGGGAGAATTGGCTTATTGCTTGGTGATATATCCAGTGAGCTTGCTGCTCAATGCATATGATAATTTCACTGACTGAGAGAATCTCAAACCAACGTCCTCTGGAATGCACATACTAGTGCTTGCTTCAACCGTTCTTTGATCTTAGAGTAACATCAATGCACCCGTATAAGTGTTGGTTTAACGCTGCAGCATCTTCGTCTTGTGTGTTTTCTAGGTGGTGATAGATTCTGCGACACCGGTGGATGATCGTGGCAACGCCGGCGGGAGCTTCGCCAATCCTGCCGAAGCAGCATATGGGGGATTCAGTGGGCCTATGCGTGCCTATGGTCGGATGTACGGGAGCCTTGATTTCGATGATGTGAGTGGATTACTGACCATATATAATCTTATTTTCTTCATCTATATAAATCACTGTAATGTGATTTCTCCTCAAAAGAATTTAACATTAAAATTCGTCGTTGACTTTTGTTCTTGGATGGTTCTCTGTTCAGTGGGGCTACGGAGCTGTTGGAAGCAGCAAGACGACATCAAGAATGGATTGGAGGTACAAGCCTTACTAGGATGAATGAATGGTTGCTCTCATAGCTCTTCTACTGACCTCAAATCTCCCATACAGCACTTTCTGTTTCTGTAGAAAGTGGATGACTGGTTGACATTATGAACTTGTACGACTTCCCTACTTCTTGCTCAGTCAACTCGTTGACTTCTGGTTCTAGCTTAGCTGGCTCCCATCCTTGTCCCTTTGCCTCTAATAATCTGGTGAAAATGTTGGTGGTGAAAATGAGTAGGGAGTTTTTACATTGTCTTGGTTTGGGCAATTTCTTTTCTGAAGTTTTGGGGGAAATTACATGCCTTTTTTTTTGTTTTTCTTTCTTTTCTCTTTTTTTTTTTTCCGAGGAGGGTAGGCCGCGTGCGGATTCAAGAGTACAGGCCCACAGACGCTGCTTACCAGTTCCCTCCTCAAGCTAATGAGCTTGATTTGGGACCCACCCAGATGGTCTCGGTTTAGGGTTTGTTGGCTTTGCCTGACCATTTCCATGCATCCCTGTTCTTGAGAAAATACCCATTGCATGCATGTATGTAGATAATATGCTTCTCATATGGTCAGTGGAATGAGCTGAACTCGAGCAGAGAGAGTACTTGTTGGTGCATTTTTCTCAGAAAATGGTGAGATATTGCTTCCCTCTGACAACCTACCCCCGTTGACTTTCCCCACTGATTGGTTGGATTACTTTTGAAGCTTTGTTGCCATAAGAAGCATAGATCAGGCCTCCACTCTCTCAGATGCCATAAATAATAGCAACTGTGCGCCAAAGAAATTATTAAAGATTATTTTCTGTGGCGAAGAACCAGGATAAGGATGAGGATTCCATGCTTGCAGGGAACGATCTATGAGAAAATATGTTTAGGGTTTGACTTTACCCTGATAATGGAAGTCAGCATGTTGGTACCATATGCAACCAAGGATTCGTGTTAGCTTTATTTCCTCTCCTTGGAAATAATAAGAATAATTTATGGGCATTAAAATATTTCCTATTTTCTCATGATCAACCATAAAGGGCTCCAAACGTTATAGTTTTCATTTGTGCACAAAATATACTTGAGGTCAATCGCATAGTAGATACATTATGGGGATTACCATGACAAGACAATCGGTGGGCCCAGGTCAACCTTTTCCAAGATTTTGACCAATGAAGGTTGGAACGGTATAATATCGCTAAGAGGGCTATGCATGGGCCATGGTTAGTGTGTGCTCCATCGCCTACCTATTTTATGAGTTTTTTCTCTATTAAAATAATTTATTTTATAGATATTGGGTTCCTAAAATTTGAAACTTTATTGGTAATGTCTCCTATTAATAATAATTCACATTTCATACTTGATTATTAAGAAAAAAACTGTTATAAAAACTTGGATTTTCTTGGGTGAATTTCAGATTTATTGGTTTTAGTCTGCTACATAAAATTTATTGAGTGGATTTTTTTAAAAAATAAAATAATATTTATGGATAAATAGCATAGAAGATATGTAACAAGGTTTGGTAGATATTTCACTTGGTCGAATCTTGGTACAGTTGACGAATTTGCATATTATTCGATATTTTATATATTTAAATATATATGTGTGATATTTTAGGTAATAATTAATCAATGAGATAAATAACCAAAAAATATTGAAAACGTATTAAAAATTATGAGATCAACGATTGCCTTAACTTAGGCAATTGGGCTTTCTCATAAGGTCTATATTGGATCGTTTCATCAACCGTAGCCAGCCCAATAAGAGGTACGGAGAGAGAGCTGTTAATGGATGCGTAACTGGGCTGGCCTAGCCCAGCCCATCGAAGCGAGGAAAACAAACCCTGAGGAAATCTTTGGGCGAGGAAGAACCGGCCGGAGGAAGAAGAGGCACCGAGCTCTACCGAGTGTGCACCGCGGGGAGCCGACGCTGCCTTGGGGGTAGGGGTAGGGGTAGCTGGGATTGTGCCTCCGCCGTCGTCGCCGCAGGTGGTGGGCTGGGAGAAGCCAGTTTCGATGTGGCACGAGGCGAGGAGATCGGAGAGGAAGGTCCATGACCTGATGGACGCCGCCCGCAAGAGGGCGCAGCGACGCGCGGTTTTCCTCGCCAAGCGGCGGGGCGACCCCCAGCAGTCGTTGCAGGCCGTCGGGACCCGCTGCCGCATGTACCGCGACGACGGCCTGTACCAGGCCACCGAGGATCAGCTAGGGCTGTATGTTCCTCTACTTGTTTCCGCTCCCCAACGACGATCAAGTGTCTATTATTCACCTTTTTCTTTGCCTTTTGCTTTGGTTTCCATGATTTTATATTGTTTGTCTTTTTAACTATTTTCGTGCGGTTTTTTAATTGAAGAAATGTTGCACGCTGTTTTGTTCTGCTTTCTGCTTCTGGAGAAACCCTTATCGCCTCTTGTTAGCTGTTAAGCACTAGAATCTCGATGAGGAAAAATCTAGGTCATTTTTTTGTGAGGTTTTATGCAGTAAGATAAATCAGGATTGGTTGACAAATCTTATGCCTTCACGTATTATTATGTGGGTTTTTATGGTACGGATGGTAGGGGAAAAATTGAACAATGAGGCCCAGTGCTAATTTATATTGTCTCTGATGCTACAGTACCATCTTAAGACTGTCTAATCTCTTGCCCGTTTTACGGTTACTTCTACATCCTTGAGGTATATTGGGTTCTGGAGGAGGAAGATGAAAGGATGGAGATTAAGATGACTGGTGGCTACCCTAATCTTAAGTTTTTCTGGTGATGATCACTTGATTATGATTTTATTCACAGAATTCTGGTTTTCGTAGGCAACTATGAACAGTTGAGTGTAGGATGTGACGAAATTTTCGGTGTCTAACCACGCACCAATGCATAACAGGGACTGGGATACAACCCGTGAATGAATCTTTATATGCAAGAAACACAGTTCCGTGCCTTACATATTTTAAAGTTCTCCTTGCTTTTTACTTTGCATTTGTTGACTCCCTTGGTTGATTTGGGTGGGGGGATGTCATGACTGTAGCTTCCATCAAATATATATATATATATATATTTATGTCTATATTTATCAGTCTTTTCTACCTCCCAATATTCCTTGGACCACTTTCCTGTACTTCTGGAAATAATAGGGTTCCTTCCCCCACTCCATCCTTTGATACTCCTTATCTTCTTCCTCTCCTTCTTTATTTTTTCTTAAGAGCTTGGAAAATAGGATAAACTCACTCTTGGCTTGAATATTTCATCCTTTGAATCCCTTTCGTGTGTCTTTCAATAATTCATCCTGCATCTCATCGCGGTCTACTTATTCCTTTATAGCTTATTGGAGCAAAAGTTTGTCATTAGTTGGTTCTGATTGCTCTGTGAAGAAGACCATTTTGAGGCCCTCTTTTTGTCCTTTTTATTACCAATGGATCAAGGGTTTTATCACCAATCAATAATTCATCCTGCATCTGATCAAGGTCTACTTATTTCTTTATAGCTTATTGGAGAAAAAGTTTCTGTCATTTGTTGGTTCTGATTGCTCTATGAAGAAGACCATTTTGAGGCCTTCTTTTTGTCCTTTTTATCATCAATGAACCAAGGGTTTGGTATATATATTGCAGTTCTTCCCCATCCTTCTCTCTTGGTCTTGGTTTAGTCGCCTCCTCTTGGACCGACATGAATTTATGGGCAATTCCTCAATGTAACCTGTATTTGTTTTCTTTTTCTTTTTTTTGGGCGGTGGGGAGAGGGGAAATACCAATTATCAGAGAGACGATATGACTAATCTTGTCTATGTCACTTTTCTTATGAACAACTGGTGGTGGACCTACTGATGTTCCAGGCTGGGGTGTAGACACTGTCAGTGAGGTTGAAGGAGGCATGTGGGAGAAAAGTGGACAAGAGACAGGCGGGAGGGTGGGAATTTTTTAATGTTTTGAATGGACGTTAATGAACTTCCTTTGATTGTGACAAAGCATGTAGTGAACTTATATGGCTTCTGACAAGGATGGACAATTGTGAGTGGAAATCATATAAGATAAATGATAGTTGTAAAAATGTTATAGTTTGTCTCACTTTCAGAGGAAGAAATCTGAACCATTATTTTAAAAGACGGTACTTAAGTTGGATTTATAAATTAGGAATTGATATCGTAAAGGGAGGAATGCTTCGTAATTAGGCTAGAAAACTAGGGTTTGCGGTCATTAGATATGTCTACATTATTTCCCCAAACTTTATTCTATAAAATTGTCTTCCGACTGGAATGCTGTCTCTTGATATAATTGCGGTGCATCCACTGATTTTCGTTTTTTTTTTAACACAATCATCTTTTCTCTCTATTCCTAACCAGGATTCCATGGAATGGAAAACAAGATGTGATGATTGACAGGTGATTATCTTGAGAATTTATTTAATAGTTAGATTTTTTATTTTTTTAGAGCTTATAATTCGTGTTTTCCTGCTTTTTTTCCTGAACAGATTTGATGGTCGTGCTCTTCTTGATTTCATTCGTGATCCTGGTTCTCGACCACGTCATATTCAAGAGAAAACCAATGAGGAAGAAGAACTAGAAGAGTTTGTTAATTTTGAGCGTTACCGGGATTTAATTAAGCATCGGCGTAGAGGATGTCGGTACCTTTTGATCTTTAGCCTGAGTCTTTCATACCATTTTTCTACTTTTTCCTGTTAGCTCCTTGTTTTTCAATTAGACAGGCTAAACACATGAAAATGACCGTTTATTCTTTTTATTCAATGACACTGTGACTGCAAGTGCAATTGCTTCACTACCTAACCTTTGTTTTACAGTCACTGATGAGGAGGGTTTACAGAATACTCTCCAAGAACTTGAGGCAAAAGCTACTGCCCTTTTCACACCAGAGAGGTACCCTTTTATTCCTTTCCCTCCGTTGTGTTTACACATTAGTTGGCAGAAGGTCCTTCCACCAATCAAAGGCATTGGTCTTTGGAGATCTATTATTTCAATTTCTCAACAAGTCTTGATCCTTATGTAATTGCCTGTTCAACTAAGAATTTTACTGTTTATAACCTCACTCATCTCAGTTATAGTACTATATTCTCTAAAGAGAAAGGAATGTTAGCCCTGGAAAACTTTGTTGATGTTGATGGCCAGGTAGAGGTCTGAATTGTGCAATAGTGGGGTGTCTTCTATGGACGAAATTCCATGGGAATATTTTTATTTTCTCTTTCTGCCATAAACATGTTCCCTTGATATTTTATTGTTATTTTCATACATAGAGTTTATATTTTTTCGTTAATAAACTCCTTGATTAATGAGATTATTTTGTGAAGTTGAAAAATATAATAAAATATAACATTCAACTCATATTCTCATCCTATTTTCAATTATCGTTTGAATGTGATATTATCAATATTCGCGTTATGGACGACTACTCGAGGAAGAATACCTTTGGTGTGCATAGTTGAGTGATGTGTGGTCAATATTTAGTTTTGTTTAGTAATTCCACTAAAGAGCTTAAGGAAGCAAAACAAACCTATCATAATACTCTTTGATCAAGTATCTTCTAAGCCTGCTGACATAGACTCTCGAATTCCTTTTGGTGTGCATAGTTGAGTGATGTGTGGTCAATATTTAGTTTTGTTTAGTAATTCCACTAAAGAGCTTAAGGAAGCAAAACAAACCTATCATAATACTCTTTGATCAAGTATCTTCTAAGCCTGCTGACATAGACTCTCGAATTCCTTTTGGTGTGCATAGTTGAGTGATCTGTGGTCAATGTTTAGTTTTGTTTAGTAATTCCACTAAAGAGCTTAAGAAAACAAAACAGACCTATCGTAATGCTTCTTTGATCAAGTATCTTTTAAGCCTGCTGACATAGACTCCCAAATGCCTTTGGTGTGCATAGTTGAGTGATGTGTGGTCAATGTTTAGTTTTGTTTAGTAACTCCACTAAGGAGCTTTAGAAAACAAAACAGACCTATCATAATACTTCATTGATCAAGTATCATTATGCCTGCTGACATAGACTCCCGAATAGCTGCCTTTGGTTGCTATAGCTGTGTCTACGGGATACCTTGAAAGCTATGGTGGATTGTTCTGCGAGATCTGCCTCCTTAAATATACTTGAGACAATTACAAAAGATATGAGCCAAATTGTTGTCATCCACCGTTTCTGCACTCTACTACAGTATTTCACGTGCATAATCTTCATCCGCAAAACCCTCTAATTTCTTCCTGTTCTCCAGAACCATATTTCAAATGCTGTCTTTCAAGTCTGAGTGTTTTGGGATGCATAGTATCAATTCAATGACTTGAAGATGTTTGAGAACCTTAAAGAAACGAGTTGAAGTTACCGAAGTCGGATTATTCTATACTTGATTGGCATATGAATGACCTATAATGGGTTTCATTCCGATGGCTTATGAGCTTTCTGTTTGTTTTTATTTGTCTCAGACCACAGCCAGCACAAGTTTCTGCTAGCAAGGGTGCATATTCGCAGGTGGGTTTCTCCTATAAGGGGGATGCAAATGAAGAATCTCATTCCCTGGACAGTGAGGTGGAGGATGACGACGAAGATGAAGATGATGATGATGATAAGGACTTCAGCAGTGATGACAGTAATGATGAAGGAATTGATGCAATTGCAAAAGAATTTGGGATAAAGAGATATAATTGGCTTCTTTATATGGACAAAAAAGCCAAGGAAGAAGAGAAAAGACAAAAGGAAGTTATTAAAGGGGATCCAGCAATTGTAAGTTGTCATATTTTTCTGTTTTCTTGGTAATTAAGTATCATAATTTGTTCTCTGGAGTATCCATGCATTTGTGATCTTTGCAAAATGTATGTTTGAAATTTGGTGGGAAGAAAAAGAAATGTCATCTCTATCCAGATTTATATTCTCATATTTCTGTAGAGAAAACTGAGCCGCAAGGAAAGGCGAAAAGCATCAAAGATGGAACGGGAAAAAGACAAGGAAACTTCTCGGACAATAGGAAGGGCCCCACATCATGATCCATATAGGTGGAAATTATGCTTAGCCTCCGTCATTTGGGTCTATATATGTCATGTTCCCGTTTTCACTGTATTTGGACGCCATGCTCAGGGAACAACGGCGAAGTCCCACTTATGATGCCTATCCTCGTTCACGAAGGTGCATAATGAACCTTCGATTTGTTCTTCATATCTTTTGGTTGAATTATCATAACTGAGGCTCAAAAAATCACCGTCTTGAACAGATCAAGATCCAACTCTCGTTCATATTCCCCTTCATATGCGAAGCGGCATGATCGTGACCTACATGCGGATAATGGGTATAAGAGTAAATCGAAGGCCCCGAAAATAGAGTATATAACTGAGTTTGGCGGATCCAAAGTTGATGGTCAGAGGCCAGAAGGAATATCTCCACCGTCATCCCCTCCATTTCACGCTGACATGCTGAACCGGTCGGGGCACTCGACCTTTACACTGCAATGATAGATTTGACATTTTCTTCTCTGCTGCAGATTGTTCTGATGGTTCTGGTTACATAAGGCCGAATTTTCGGGTTTGTGATTAGATGAAGCCTAGGGATCAATACCATGACTATTGAAGTGTGGATTTAGGTTTGGTCATCGTAGGTCTGAGGACCAGTAACACTTATTGGTTGGATGATTTCTGTAAAGGCACATATCTTGTGGCGATTATGTGTAAAATATGAGTGATCTCAAAGCGAGATAGATGGTTCTTACCGTGTCATTTTAGTTACTCCGATCATTCTTCATCTTTTCAGGTCATCTGCCGGTCGCATACTTGAGGCATTGCATGTTGACCCTGCATCCGGTGTCTCCCTAGATCAGGAGACTAGCAAAGTAATGAAGCCATCACCAAGGTATTTCTTTTTGATGCCCCAGAACCAGGCGTTCTTGTAGGTTGTTCTCAGTATGCCGTAGTATTGAAATTCTGTGGTCCGTCTTGTTTAACAGCATTTTTTTTTTCTTCTCTTTCAAAATTCCTATTCTCATTATGTTTCTCTTTGATTCGATCCACGACTTTTCTGTCTGAAAATGCCAGCACATCTTCTGCATTAACAAAGTTAAGCAAGACTGGAAATGGCGGACTTTTAAAATCACAGCAGATTGAGAAGAAAGAAACACCTCAGGAGCGTCTTAAACGGATTATGAGCAAGCAACTTAACAAACAAAGTGAGATTCTCATTCTGACCTCTCGTCTGCACCTATGGTGATAATCAAAGCATCTCTGCTTAGTTGAAGGAGATATCTTTAGTGGCTATGATCTCTCTCATCGATCTTTTAGATCCTGATGTCTATAGTTGTTTGCATGTGATGCCATCGACAGTTAAGAAAGATGCTGCTGCTGATATGGTGAAGAGGCGAGAGCAGGAGCGCCAGCGGCAGGAGAAACTCGCAGAGACCAGTAGAGTTAGCCGTTATCGGCACCGCAGCCGTAGTACAACCCGCAGCCGCTCTCCTCCAAGGTATCGAAAGTTGTTTACTTTGCAAATAAGTACAAACTCTAGAAGCGCATTGTTCTAATTCTTCCGAACAAATAGTGAGGGCCTCTATCCACCAAAATTGCCCATTCCGTTGAACATGAGTGGAAGAACTCCAAACATCCGTCAACAGGAAGTCGTTGACTGTTTTCTCAGGTCCCAATTTTTCGCTCTTGTTGCTCATTTTGGAAGATTGGGAGTCCCTGTAATCTTCTTCAACATTCCACGGGCTCCTTCATCCTTTTACCTCACATAGTGGCCCATTAGTGATGATAATCGCATGTTTGGATTGTAGGTGGACTAGTAAATGTTTCCTCTTTAGTTCAGTATCCAGTGTCCTCACAGAATGCCGATCATAAGCTTTTGGGATGTTCATCAGGAATGACTGGTGATGCTCATATCAAATTGTTTAGATATGAGGTAAGAGAAAGTTCCTTACCCAGGTAGTGCCTTAGTTGGTGGACTGCTGTGGTGGTCCTTTTTGTTTGCCAATAATGGTAAGTTGTAATCCTCCTATTATGCCGGAGGTGTCTTCAGCTTGCCCTTCTCTACGTGAGTTTCTCAATGTGATCTACAGAAACTGGGACTGTTTGCTCGGAAAGTTTTTCTTGACAGTTTTAGCTATGGATTTGGATGCTTTTTACTTGTCCCCAAAATGGGCTGCGATTAATTTTAATCTGAAATTTATTATATTCCTGATAAGGCGACATGCATGGGATTGAAAACACAAACTTGACCTCTGTGTGGAGAGATCTCTGATACTGAGGAAAGCCAATACCCATATCTGTCTCTGAAACAAAAACAGAATTAGAAAACGACCAAGGATTTCAGCATGGAAACCCTGGCTTGTTACTGCTATTCAAGGGTGGCTCGCTCACCTAATTGGCAGGTAGAATATGAACTCTTTTTCCATTTAGTGACAAAATTGTCTGGTTGCAGAAGGTACCGTCACAGTAGAAGCCGCAGCTGGAGCCGGAGCCAGAGCCGGAGCCGGAGCCGGAGCCGGAGCCCTCCAAGGTACCATTCAAGATCCCGTTCTCCATCGCCAGCCAGGTAATCAGCACTCCATTTCCATTCCCAATCAAGTTAGAACACCCCATCTTAATCTGTTCGCACCAAAGTTTATTCCTTTTCGGGAAATCTTGTCGAAGCAGGGGGAAAGGGCGCCACAGGCACTGAATCGTTGAGGGACGGGGGAGGGGGGTCCTCCTCCGGATGCTCCTGTTTCATCTCCGCTGCTGGTGGTGGCGTATGCATGCAGACGTCAATCATTGATGTGGGCCATCCGATCAACTTTCGAGTTTGTATTATAGCCGGGATTCTGATCGAGTAAGCTGCACAGATTAGGTATTTGTGGGAGTGACACATCTCTTGGATACTAGTGTCTTGCCTTCTTGGAGAATCTTTTTGTAGAGTTCCTTTCTTCTTTAGTATCTGTGCTCATTGTCTATAAATTTAGCCGACAACTATCCAATAATTGGGTTCCTCCCCCCCCCCCCCCACACCCTTCTCTCTCCCTCTCTCTCCTCCCCCTCTCTCTCATATATAGTATATGTATAAGATATAATTCTTGGTATTCTTTATGCTTCTATATGCCATTGCTGGGAATGATAGGTGTTTATTTTGGTGCGCCCATTATTTTATAAGCGAAATAAAGTACTTTGGTTGGCTGATATGCTCCTACCAGCTCTTACAAAGAACATGGAGATGAAGATCCAAAGGGGGTGTTGCAGGGCTATTCATGCTGAGGGTGGGGTATATGGACAATGTTTCTTCGGAGCTTCGAGTGAATGGGCTAAGAAGGTTCCCCTCTCTGGATAGATGGGCTTTTGCTATTCGGGAGCGAGCCTGATTGAATGACGGGACGAGTGGAATTATTGTCAAATTGTGTGTATTATTTGATTTGAACTTCTCGATATGCGTGATTTGATTGATGCAGTGCTTATATTTTCCAATTATTAAACTGTCCAGTCGTTTGATTCTCTTGATGCCGGAGCCCACAATAGATAGACTGGCCGATGGGAGTGGGAGGAGAGACAGAGAGAGAGCGAGAGATGCCAAGAATAATCAGCCGATCTTATTATTGACCTCAGGGATAAGGGGCCATATGGTTATCATATGGTGCAACACTCATACACGCCACCTTGTACTTTGAGAGAGAGAGAGAGAGAGAGAGAGAGAGAGAGAGAGAGAGAGAGAGAGAGAGAGAGAGAGAGAGGTGCCAGGAATGAACAGCCTATCTTATTATTGACCTCGGGGGGGTAAGGGGCCTTATGGCTATCATATAGCCCAATGCTCATACACGGCACCTTGTACTGAGAGAGAGAGAGAGAGGTTTCGGCGTAGTATTTTGAGTGACAATTCAGAGAATGGTAATTCTTGAGACCATACACACTTCCTCAATATTTTGATATGACACAGGAAAACACAGAAGACTTCAAAGAATCACTGAAATCCACTGGGTTTGTTCTCTTTGAGAACTACCCAATTATACGCACATTTATTACTATATGAAATATACATTTATACGCACATATGTTAAACTTTATTGTATCACATATACATATATATATATATATATATATATACATATAGATGTTTGTATGTGTAATTTCTTTGATTCAACGTGTCACTTAATTTGACATTGGCCCTTCCATCTGCAACTATCCAAAGCGCTAAACTTCTTCTCACCAAGTTATGGAGTAATCCTTGGGACGTCTCAGACGCTCAGTAGTGGAGTGAACTCATAGAAAATGCCTACTATCATGGGGAAGAATAGTAGGCATTCGGCTAAGAATTTCACGGGGTACCATATTTGTCGTTCAAATTGTAAGGATTTATTGGTCAATAATGACGGCACCCAATTGGCCCTCTTCAAGATGATCGTTGACAAGACATTGATTTCTCTAATAATTTTACTTTAAAAAGTATTGATAAAAAATTTAATAGTGGGTATCGATATTACTCAACCATTATCAATTATCACCCGTTCTCGTACCCCATTGAGCGGCAGGCGAAGATAATGGATTGAAAACATTGCTCTACTACTCTCATTATCTATTGGTTTTAGAAAGAGTGATATAATTCTATAGTAGTAATAGTAGTAGTAGTAGTAATAGTCATATTTTTCTCTTATCATAATTAGACATGTGAATATGAACATATGAGATCACTCTATACGCGTCCTAGTCTAGCTTTTATCTTGCATTGCCAAAGTTAGCATGAAATTATAAAAACCCACCAATCATACATGTATGAGCATCATACATAAATTAAACGTATGATTGGTGGAGGGTTGGCGGATGCATGTTCGTCTAATTATTGGTTCGGTGTACCCCGGGTTTTCTTCGGCGTGCGCCGCCTGATTCGTCGCTGTTCATCGTCCATAGACTGAGAAGCCCGTGGACGGACGACCCTTGAGTAAACAATGGTGGAACGTTCAACTCTACGTCCGACACGCAGCCATCCTATCTCTGAACTACCTCCCTCTTATCCTCCCGCCCTCTAGCACCCATCAGAAATGAGTGAGTGAGTGAGTGAGAGAGAGAGAGAGAGATTCTGCTCCTACGTTGTCATTGACGAAGGGATAGGTGAGAATATTCGTAGTCTATTGTACAAGACAAACAGACGGGAGACCCTTGTTCTATGCGCAGAAATTAATATGAGATTCCTCTTACTTTTCTAACAGCTTGACCCAACCAGTGAATTGTTCTTCGAATAACACGTGTTTATTAATTTTGGCAAGGTAGAAACCATAACTTTGTCCAAAGATTTAGGCAATGATATTCCTGAGATATGTGAATTTACTACTTAATTTCCCTTTGAGATAATTAGGCTTATTTGATTGATGGTAGGCTGCCACTTGATGATAGGGAATGTCAACTTGATTAATCATAGCTGGCCTCTTTGCTAGTTCATCTTCCTCATTGAGGTAGCTCGCCTTTAGTTGACTTGCAAAGAAGACCCAACACCCCTCTCTTCATCAATGCCGACCCCCCCCAAGCTTAATCCTACTTCTCAACTCTATTAGCTCTATTATTGGAGTTATTGTAACTTTTTATTCATCCCATAAATGTTATAATTAGCTAGGGATTCCAATAATAAAAAATAACATAATTAGCATATTTAGTAAACTAACTTCTTACAAGTATGAGGCAGCCTAATAAGTTTACTAAGGATAGGCACAAAGAACAAGGTCACCCCTAAGGTCAAAGTAAGGAGGGAGGGCTATGGCGTGCACCCCCAAGGTCACCCTTAACCCAAATGAAAAAAATATTTAGTTATTTTGCTTTAGGGCAAAATAACTAGTCAGTAGTCATGCGATATAAACCAAATGACCAAATTGACGTTCTAATTTCACGATGATTTTTTTTTTTAAAATCCCTCCCCCTTATTATTTGCTAATTAGTATTATTTTAATGTATCAATATATTACTGAAAACGTTGATGATTTGGCGGCATATATGGCATGAATACACAATCCAAACCATCTGGGTAGATCCAATGGTATGCCGTATTTTTAGCATGTACTTAGAGGACATCATTCAACTTACTGAAGACTTTGTGGGTTCTCCAATGGTTTTGATCAATTAATGGCAGGTATTTAGGTGAATTTTGGGTAGATAAGTGTCTCCTTTTGGTCAACCCAGGTAGCAGCTGTCACCGACTCTCGCCCAAACGATTGACTTTTTAGAATTTTTTTCAGCATTATCTTAGATGGGCTTGTCTTTTATGGGTGTAAAAATGTATATATTGGGAAAGGAGGAACGACAATAATGGGGCACACACGCGCGCCCGGCTGCGGTCAATGCTCCAGAAGTCAACCCATACGTGGCTCCAGCAAGCTCTTGCACCAGCTAAGATGCCTTTCCTGGCCAGATGTTGAATCCATAGACCTCAGTGCCCTAAGGATCTGTTGTGGGGTCGCGATGCTGGCTCTCTCACTCTCTTTCTCTCCTCTCCTCTCCTCCCCACCCAGTGTCACTTAAGAGTCCAGATATATAGATAGATAGGTAGATAGATAGATAGATAGATAGATAGATAGATAGATAGATAGATAGATAGATAGATAGATAGATAGATAGATAGATAGATAGATAGAGAGAGAGAGAGAGAGAGAGAGAGAGAGAGAGAGAGCAGAGTGTTGCTTCGAGATTACATCTTCTACAGAAGGCCTTGACGGCTGTAGTATTAGAGCCAGCAGCTGTTAAGCTTCCCATTTTCTCGAACATTCCATCTCTTTGAATAAGCCAGTTCAAATGGGAGAGAGAGAGAGAGCGGGAGAGAGAGGGGGGAGAGAGAGATTGGGGGAGAGAGAGAGAGGGAGGGAGAGAGAGAGAGGGAGAGAGAGAGAGAGAGAAAGGAGGGAGAGAGAGAGAGGGAGAGAGAGAGAGAGAGAGAAAGGAGGGAGAGAGAGACAGAGAGGGGGAGAGAGGGGGGGAAGAGAGAGAGGGAGAGAGAGAGAAGGGAATCTCCGACATGGTTTTGCAAGAAGGATACTTCCGGCATTAAAACTCCACAGGAATAATTTACTTCCTTCTCTCTGCGCGAAGCATTTAACGTGGGGGCATTTCCCACGTGCGACAGACTTGTAGGTAAAATACGAGTCTCTACGATCTCGATTCTCAGCGAGGTACCCCCCCTCGGGAGAAGACCATCTCATCTACCTCAATTTGTTTACTCTCTCTCTCTCTCTCTCTCCTCTGTTTTCCATGCACTGTAGGTTCCGTCTCCCAACGGTGCGCTCGGAGAGCCCATTTTACCGTTGGCACCCATGTGATCGCACGTGTGAGGACTGCGGCATTATTTATTGTGGCGTAAGAAGAAGAGGGGGGGTGAAGCGAAGCCGCTGGGAATGAATGTGACTCTGCTTGCCACGTGTCATCCACTTTGGTGCGCCTCGGTGGGCGGTGCGATCACCGGCTCCGACCAATCCCCGACTGGCCCCGTGGGCTGCCTCTCGCCGCATCAGGGCCCTCCACCTTGGTGGCACACGGACGTGATCGCTGATGTGATGGCTGCCCCCCCCACTACCCTCGGCGGTGTGCGCAGACTCTGATCCCTCGCGGTGTGCAGACCGACCCAATGCCTAAAGAGGAACGGTCGGAGGGAGAGAACGGCTCTCCGCCACGGTGGAAAAAGAGCAGTTCATTTTAAAAAACAATAACCCAAAATATTTCGTGATCTTTGAAATAATCCGGTGAGCCCTCGGTTGGGACTATCAAATCCACGGCCCCGATTTGACGCCGTCTCGTCCATATCCTCTCTCTAACTCTCTCTCTCTCTCTCTCTCTCTCTCTCTCTCTCTCTCTAACTCTCTCTCTCTTTCGACGTTCCGCACGCTTCTCTCTCGTAAACAGCTTCTCTTTGGCGGGATTCGCGTTGCCTCCCTGACACCTCGCTATAAAAGGCCACCGCTGGTCCTCACTTCCACTTCTGCCTTGCCCCTCCGGGTCCGACCTCGGAGCTCCCCACATCTTCTGCTCCGCCACCGCTTCTCCGCCACTCCTCGCATTACCGGCGTCGCAGAGGGAAGCAAGGCCGCTGCTGCCAGGGCTCCAGGAAGGAGGGAGGACACAGCCGACTGACACTGCGCTCTCAGGTTTCGGTCCTCTCCGCTGCTGCTGCTGCGGTGGCGGTGGCGGCGGCGGCGGCGGCCATGGTCGACGTCGACCACCGCATGGCGGGGCTGACGCCGGCGCACGCGGCCGGCCTACGCCGGCTCTCCACCCGCGCCGCCTCTCTCGCCTCCGGCGGTCCCGCCTCTCCGGCCTGCGTCAGCCGCGGCGGCGCTCCGGCTACGACAGCGCCGCCCCCGTTCTCCCACCGCAACGGCCTCCTCTCCTTCTCACCCGTCGCCAAGGCCGTCCTGGATCATCTGAAGAACTCCGGCGTGGAAGTGCTCCCCGGCCTCTCCGACGCGGAGTTCGCCCGCACCGAGGCGGAGTTCGGCTTCCTCTTCCCTCCTGATCTGCGCGCCGTCCTCTCCCTCGGCCTCCCGGTCGGCCCTGGATTTCCAGACTGGCGCTCTCCTCCACCGCAAGGTACGCATCAGCATCATCAGCAGAGCCGGCTCCGCCTCCGCGCCTCCCTCGACCTCCCCATCGCTGCCATCTCCATTCAGATCGCGCGCCACAGCTTCTGGCCCAAATCGTGGGGCATCCGGCCTCCTGAACCAGAGAGGGCGCTCCGCCGCGCCAGAGCTGCCCTCCAGCGAGCGCCGCTCCTCATCCCGCTCTTCGATCGGTGCTACATCCCCTGCAACCCCTGCCTCGCCGGGAACCCGGTGTTCTTCGTCGACGAGTCCCGCATCCTCTGCTGCGGCCTCGACCTCGCCGACTTCTTCGAGCGAGAGGCGCTCTTCCGATCTCCTTTGCCCTCAGCAGATCTCGTCCTCCGCCGGCAGAGATCCGCCGGCTCGGCGCAGAAGCAGCCGTCGCCTCTCCCCTCCCCGCGGAGGAGCATGGACTCCGTCTCCGGCCGGACCCCCCGCTGGATCGAGTTCTGGAGCGACGCCGCCTGCGACCGCCGCCGGCGCATCTCCTCCTCATCATCGTCCTCGTCCTCCTCCTCCTGCTCCTCGTCCTCGGAGCTCCCGCCCCACCCGCAGGCATTCCTGGAGATCCGCCCTCCGAAGCTGCCAAAGTGGGTGGCCGGCTTCCTCGACCGCATCGGAGAAGTCCTGCGCGACGGCGGGTGGGGTCCCTTGGACGTCGAGGAGATGGTGCACGTACCGTCGGCGGCAGCTTCACGGTGGCCGGACGACGGCGGCGACGATAGCAGCTTCGCGATGGCCGCATCGTCGGCCCTAGTGGACTCCCAGGCGGTGTTCGACTCGCTGCTACTGAAGGCGGATCGGTGCAGCGACTCGCTGAGGCGAGCCGGGTGGAGCTCCGAGGAGGTCACCGACGCCCTCGGCTTTGACTTCCGCCGCCGCTCGAGGAAGGAGGGCCCCCGCCCCCCCCTCAACCTATCGCCGGAGATCGCCCAGAAGTTCTCCACCCTCGCCCAGGTGGTGACTCGGTTGTGACCCGCCGCCGCCGCCGCCGCCGGGTCGACTCGCCCCGCTCCACCGACCAGATTCTAATTTCTTCTTCCCCGTCCCGCTCAGTGGATTGATTGCACATAATACTGCTGATGTTGATGTGTGCTGCTGTGTCTAGAGAGAGAAAGAGAGAGAGAGAGAGAGGTTCTCTCGAGTCTGCAATGGCGGATGGGAGGAATCCATCGCAGAACCATACGCATACAGCTGTGATCGCCATGTATCTAGCCTAACTCCCAATAAACAAAAGGAAGCTTTGCTTGCTTGTTCATACGCGCCATTGAATCTCTGGCACCACCTTCTCCGGCTTTGGTCGTCGAGCAGAAGAAGAAGAGGAAGAGGGTCGGTCCCTCCTTTCCTTCCCCGAAGGGTCACTGGCCGTCGGCCATCCTCGCTGGCTCTCGGAGAGGGGACCGGGCCCGTCGTGGCGGAGCAGCCCGCCCGCCGCAGATAAGGATGGCCAATAAAATTACACCGGCGGGGCCGTTAGGAGTCGGCGTTCCCTCGTCGTGTAGGAAGCCGCGACCAAACCAAAGGGTACCCTCTCTCTCTCTCTCTCTTAGATTCTCTCTCTCTCTCTTTTCGTGAAGAAGGCTTCCCGTGCCGGAGGGGGGGGCCGCCGCGACACACGCGCGGGCGTCCCCTGATCTCGAGGAAAGCAAATAGGAACTGATGCAGATGGCGGTGTAGAGAGAGAGAGAGAGAGGGGGGGGGACGCCCTGCCTCATCGGCACTCGCTTTCGTTGCTTCTTTAACTTTCTCGGTTCGTGGAGAGGGGGCGGCGTCCTGCTGGCTTTGGATCTTCATCTCCTGGGGATTGCGGAAGGTAGAGAGAGAGAGGTGAGGGACCGACTCACTTTATTTATCGTAAGCTTCGAATTTTGAACGAGGGCTCGCCGGGTCCCCAACCGACCGGTCGATCGCCAGCGAGAGGGAGTGAACACTCTCACTCACGTCCTCACTGATTATCCGACGGTTGCCACGGCCCGCCGGCAGCCCGACCAAAAGTTCCTTGTCTAGCCCCCGACAAATCAATAAACCACAGCGGTGCGTATATGAACCTCCGCCGCGGTCCCCCCCCCCCTCCCCCCGCTCCGCCGTCGACCATCCGGGCTGTCGGATTTTATCAGATACGGAAATTAGAGAGAGAGAGAGAGAGAGAGAGTTAGGAAACCACATCTGGTCAACCCTCGTTCAGTGTGAAGACGAAGATCTCGACCAATCCATTAAGAAACCACGCATAGGGTTTTGAGGTATTTCGCGTAGGAAGTCACCCGGCTGCTCTTATACCGTTGACTTTTGTCCGAAGACAATCTGCCCTTCTCCCGCATTAAAAAAAACTGATTTGTCGAGGATCGAGGCAAGATCGGTACAAGTCAATTTATGCGTGGAAAATATACACCGCATGAGATGACCTCGAGTCATTTAAAAGAAATTATCATTAAAAAATAATTAATTTTACAATTATTTACTGTAAAAAATATAAATGACGATCCTCTCTCTCTCTCTCTCTCTTCAGTCGGATGTAAATGATTTTTGTTATTATTATTTGCAGGTTCTAATGAAGTATGGAGAGTTCTCGCACACTTGATGGGCTCGGTGTTGGGGTAAGTGGGCCCTGTACGGCTGGCCCACCACGGCTCCCGCATACGAACGGAGGAGATAGAGCGGTGGCCCATCCTACGGCACCGTGCCCCCCACCGCCATCCGGTCAACGTCCCACGGGGGGGATGCCGCTGACTCGGTCCTTTTCGGTCCCGACCGAGGAGAGAGAAACCACCAAGCCCCGCTCCCTTCTCCGGGCACAGCGTCCACGTCATTTCTGGCGTCTCTCTCCATCTCTCTCTCTCTACGGAGGCGCGTGCATGTCTAATCTCGGAGCAACCTGCCGACCGTTTTGGGTCTCTCTCGCTCAACACCGGCCCCCCACCTGCTGGATGCCTAATCTCAAGTAGTCTGCTGGCCATTCTCTTCCTCTCTCTCTCCTTCGATCTCTCTCTCTCTCTCTCTCTCTCTCTACGCCCGCCGCCCCCAAGCGTGCACGTCCAATCCGAACAGGCCACGGACTGCTTCTCTCTCTCTCTCTCTCTCTCTCTCTCTCTTTACGGTAGGTCTTCACCAGCCTGCATGTCTAATCACGAAGCAAGCGGTCCGTCTCTCCAGCGCCCTCTCTCTCTTTCTTCAAAGGAGGGAGGTCGAGAACCATGTGACCTCCTCCAGCTAGAAGGGCCAACCCACCGAGGGCACGGCCGCCGTGGACTCCCCGTGTCGCCGCTGTTCACGTGTCACCGCGGCTGGTAATACGGCGGCTCCGTCACATAAAGCCTCCCCCGACCATCACGGGCTATCTGAGAGCTCCAGCTCTTGAGAGAGAGAGAGAGAGAAGAGTGATTTATAATTGATTTATTGATCGTCTCGAACTTTGTGAGTAATAAGTTTTCGGATGCGCTGTTGATAATTCATGAGGGGCTGGTCTGGTCCTGGACTGGTGCTCCGGGCTTCTTCTGTGCCCGGGAGTGGGCCTGGGCCTTAAGACAATGGTCTGAAAAACCAGCCGGGCTGAGTTTGTAGCCTACGAACGGGCCTCCCCGGCGCAGCGAGGTGCTCCCCGGCCGCCGATGGACGTGAGAAGGATGGCGACGAGGTGGCCGCAGCAGCAACGCCCGGCGTCCCCGTCCCCCGGCTCGTCTCCCGTCCCGTAGTTTGCTCAAAAAGGCGCCGGATGCGCCCTGCTGTTCAACCTGAACATCGATAATGGTTTAGATTGTGTGGCGTTGTTACCTGAAATCATAATCTTTTGAGATTATTTTTTGTTTCAAATGAACCCAAAGAAAAAAGGCTACATTGGTTCTGCTCTAAATGGTCTCTGGATCCATAGCATTTGATGTCATGGATACCATGAAAATGGCTCAAAAGGAAACGCAGAAAACAGAGACATGAACGCAATCTTTGGTTGACTTATAATCTGATTTGCACGAAATAAACAGAAAATTCTGAAAAATTAGCCAAAATACCTCCTTTAGAAGCGCAGCAGCAACCCAGTGATTCGAGGTTCATGGTCAAGCATCCAGGACCCTCTATTTCTCCTCGGGTCAACGGTCCAGTCAAAGCACAGACTGCGTCAACCATTGTGGCACACAGGATACCATCACCAATAGTCCCCGCAAGAGCAGAGCCCATCCTTGAAATGATGAAAACGGTTCGAATCTCTCACAATAATTTCCCTCTCTGTGAGCCTGGAGATGAACTTCGTGGCGCTGTGGCAGTCGCCACAAACCCGCAAGTTCTTGAAGATCGAGATCGGGGTCCCAGGAGGCAAGTTGATGATACCAAACGCGATTGCCAATCTCTCGCTGTGACTCTGCAAGATGTGTTCTTTCTCGTCTTCCTCCACGTCCTGCAGGACGAAGCTGTGATCGGGCACATAGCCAAGGGCCTTCATTCTTTCCAGCAAAGCCCTCAGCTCCTTGTAGATCTCCTCAGACCGCGGGTGAGAGAAGCTCCCCGTGAAGAACACATGAACCTCAGTGCCCACCTCCATGGATGTCCACCCAGGAGTCTTCTTCAACCCCCTGTTCTTCACAAGGGACCTAACCTCGTCCACCCCCTGCCATTTTCTCACTTTCGCGTACATGTTTGACAGTAAAACATAGTAACCGACGTTTTCTGGGTCAATCTCAGATAATCTTTCGAAGGCTAATGCGCCGAGCTCCACATTCCCATAGATCCTGCAGGCACCGAGAAGAGCACCCCACACAGAAGCATCCGGCTTCATCGGCATGCTCCTTATGCAATCATGGGCAGCGTCCAAATCCCCGGCACGACTAAGCAAATCTACCAAGCAGGCGTAGTGCTTCCTGGTGGGCTCAATCCCATACTTGCTATGCATGCTTTGGAAGAAGCTTTGGCCCTGGTCGACTAACCCAGCGTGACTACAGGCCGCCAGCAAGGAGATGAAGGTCACCTTGTCTGGCTTGACCCCCTCCTCTTCCATTTCTCGAAAGAGCTTGGCCGCCTGTTCGCCATGCCCATGGATTCCATGACCAGCTATGATGGCATTCCAGGGAATCGAGCTCCTTCTGGGCGCTTCGCGAAATAGAAGCACAGCATCTCCCAGCCTCCCACACTTTGCATACATATCAATGAGACAGGTGGAGACGAAGACATCTGATTTCAATCCAATGTGGATGGAGAGGCCATGGATCCGCATGCCCTGTTGCAGAGATCCCACGTGGGCATAAGCAGGTAAGACGGCTACTAGTGTCCCTTGGCTTGGGGTTATCACCTCCTGCTCTTGCAGCGCGTGGAAGGCGTCAATAGCCTCCCTCGCTGACCCATTCTGAGCATAACCGGTGATCAAAGTGTTCCAAGAAATCACATCTCTGGTGTGCAAGCCGTCGAACACTCTACGGGCAGAGGCCATGTCATTCAACTTCGCATACATATCAACAACAGCATTGCCCACAAGAATGCGCGCAGAATCCAAGCCCCTTCTCAAGAGAAAGGCGTGCACCGACCGACCGTTCTGGGCATCACCAATCTGGGAGGCCGCAGAAGCTATGCTCACCAGAGTGAGCGCATCGGGCTCGATGCCACTCACCTTCATCCTGTGATAGAACTCGAAAGCAGTGTTTGAGTCTCCACCCTGCTCGTAGGTAGATATCATGGAATTCCACGAAACCAGGTCTCTCTCAGGCATTGCGTCAAATATCTGACGCGCATCGCCGAGGCAACCAGACTTGGAGTACATGTTGACCAACGCGTTGGAGACGAAAACATCGCCGTCCAGCCCACGCTTGACGACGTGGGAGTGTATGGAGAGGCCCACCGGCAGATTTCCCAGCGGAGGGCAGACGGGGAGAACGCTGGTGATGGTAACTGGGTCAACGCCCACACCCCGCTTCACCATTTCCTCGAACACAGACAGAGCCTCAGCCGCATTGCCGTTCTGGCAAAACCCAGAAATCATGGCGTTCCAAGATGCAAGGTCTCTCACAGGCATATCGTCAAACACCTTACGGGCGTCAGCCATTAGACAGGACCTCGAGTAGGCGTGTACCAGCGAGGCGGAGACGAAGAGGTCCCACTGGAAGCCCAGCTTGAGGATCCACGCGTGCAGTCTTCTTGCGTCCGCCGGCTGCTCGCAAGCTTTCAATGCCGCGGGGAAGGTGAAGGCATCGGGGCGCACGGAGGTCTCGGTCACGAGCCGGTGGAAGCAGCCCACTGCTTCGGAGTGGCGGCCGCTGCGAGTGTGGCCGGAGATTAGGGAGTTCCATGTGAAGATGTTCTTCCCGGTGATCTGATCGAAGGACAGAAGGGACGAGCGGCGATCGCCGAGAAGGGAGTAGATGGTGACGAGCTTCGTGTAGAGGAAGACGTCGCCGGAGCGGCCGGAGACCAGCAGGAGCGCGTGGAGGCGCTTGAGGGCGCGAGCGCAGGTGCAGGTCCGGAGGAGCGCGTTGAAATCCATGCGCTCTACAGGAGAAAGGAGAGGAGCGGCGGCGATGGCGGCGGGGGGAGGAGGAGACGGGGGGGAGCCTGCTCGGCTCTCCCGCCGCCGGGAAGGGACTTCGAAGATGCCCCGGCGGCGACCATTCCATCCTCATCTTCGGCACCAAAAACCGGAAACCATCTCGAGAGGCTTCGAACGTGGAAGCTCAGCGTCATGCTTCTCCTCCACAGTTCTCTCTCTCTTTCTCTCTCTCGTGTCCATGAATAAGCTCATTAGCATCGGGGACAGGAGAGGATCAAAACATGAGAATGAACAAGAAATTTCAAACTTTTCTGACAGAAACATTCTGATTTTATCAGCTGTAATTGCATCGACCCAGTTTCTATCTGATCATAAAATTCCTAAAAAAGATGGCGAAGATTCTTCCCCCATTAAGCCCAAAACAGGTTTTTTTCAAGCCGCAATGGCACTCCCTTCAAATGTCAACATCAGAGAACAGCCCCGGAGGGCGAAACTCCTCCACGGTGGATCCAAGAACAGAACTTCTGAGTTGACTCTTATCCACCGGAGACTTCAGCATTGAGCCTGACCGCATGCTTATATGGGTTTTGACCCGCTCCGCTCTGGCGTGAGGGTGGCTACTGCGCCGCCATCTTACACTGAACAACACGCGAACAGACGTGAGAAGATGGGAGCTTAGTCTGAGGACCAGAAACTACCTTCCCTTCTCTAATTTACATCAAGTATATACACCTAGCCCTCGAAGTGGGCGGGCGCTCGCCGGTTCAGTCAACCCTGGGCCACGTATTCGTCCTTCTCAAGCACCGTTTTTTAGATTCCCTCTGCTCGTTAGCCTTCTCCAGCACCTAGTTATAGAAACATCAGAGCTGTTCAGATCATAATAAGTGCATAAAATAAGTAATAGATGCTGCAATAATTTCATAAAGATATGACGGCATTCAATGTGCTGGACGGCCCTTAATTATTTTATTCATTGGAAATCAGAAAAAAGAAAAAAATAATAATATATACATATGTATTGGTTAGAATCTGGACGGAAAATATTTTTTTGATTGTAGAACTCTCCAGTCTTGTTTTAGTAAAGATATCGACATTGATACATGTAATCATATTGGTACAAACCAAGGTTAATTAAAATAATAACGTTGGAGCTCATAGTGATAAAAAAAATTGGAATAAATTTTCCCAGATCTGTTGTCAAAAACATTCCCCATATGGAAAAAAGATTCAGCAGAATGATCGAAGCAGGATGCAGCCCAAAAAACAAAAAAAAAACGTCATTATGTACTAAGAATATTTATTCCTACATTTTTGGAGGGTGCTACATGGTCACCCCTGGAGTTGGCCGTGGTTGACAATCAGATCACTGGTGGAAGTCAAAGGAGAGATGCTCAACAGCCACAGTCGATGGGGACCCTCCTAGAAGTCAACCGCAGGAGGGTTGATAGAATGTTCTACGCGTCTAGGGAGAGGTGCCTCCATATCATCCACACGAAGAGGGGGAGGTAGTGGAGGGTTGGAATCTAGATGATTCTGTGGTATCCGACGGATGAAATTATGTGGAAATAAAGATACTGCCGTTCTTTCCTTCACTAGCATAAAAAGAGTTCACCTTGGGATTATTATATGTCTGTGCTGACCCATGATCAAAGGAAGTTGTGATTAAATTACAAATGGAGTGGGCTCACAGAAAATTTCAAAAGACCTAGGTAATATCTCCAGAAATTAATAGAATGTTGGTCAACAAAATCCTTTGATGTATTTATGCTTCAGTTACTAATTCTTCTAGAGTCTGAAATCAAGGAATGGGAACGACCAATAGAACTCCAACATCCTAAATGATGACAAAGTCAACGTCACAGCAGGTTGAATAAAATTATGTCCTATAAGAGAGTGAGAAATATCCAATTTCCATGCTCTGTGGCCCTCTGGGCATCATCACATGCCCCAAAGATTCTTGACAAGTCAACCAAATCATGAAGCTCATTGCATTTAGCTTCAATTTACAAAATGTGAATGACTTTTCCCTAGTGGTGCTCATAGCAACCTGATGTACTTCTAGATTTCTTCAATTGATGAACTTCAAGCATTGTCCCCTATCAGTATTGATGCAGCGAAGTTGAGTGGAGATGAAGCTCCTCTTTGAGTCCACAAGAAATGAAATTTCTGTGAAGTTGCCATGCCCTAAATCCACAGAATCTAAAAGGGGAGATCTTGAAACCACAAGATCAAAGGAAACCCTTGAATCCACAAGCAAAAAGATAAAATCTCCAAAAGACGAAATTTTCGGAATAATGAATGATTTCTCTAGGGCTATATAGTATGGGACCTTTAAACAGACCGAGTTTCTGCTAGGCCGCCTTTAAAAATGCGGTTCAAATCATGGTGGCACATTAAAATAAAATTAAATCATGTTTAAACAAATTTAAAAAGGACTAAAAGCGGGAAAAGGAATTAAAAGCGGGAAAATTATCTATGACGGGTTTTATTTGGTACAAATCTGATTTGGGCTTTTAATGGTCTTCTGATCTTTGTAGTCCATAATTTTGGCTTCACGGACGCCTAGCCCATCATTTTTTCGGACCACTTAGGTCAAAAAACTTTTACCCTTTTCTTTGTTGTTGTTGATGGCCTACATCAAGTATTTGCTAGATTAATAGAAGAGGCTTTGTTCGTCATTTTGCAAGCCTCACTTCATCACTCCTCTTCATCAGCCTTAAACTAGAAAATGTCCCAGCCACAACATCTCCCCCCCCCCCCTCCCCCTCCTCCCTAATCCCCATGGTCATAAACCCACTCTACTCCGTCATCAGATCAGTTGTCAAACTACCAGAAGGACGTTGACCATCACCAGTTCTCATAACTTATTGACTCAACCACTCTCCCATGCTAAGCCTAAACTTGTGAATGGTCCCATCCACAACATTACTGCCTGGCCACCCCAGCCCAAGGAAAAGGAAAAGCGAGAACAACAATCAATAGTCAATGCCCGTCTCCTATGAAACCATACTCCCACATCCATATTTAGGGACGCCCACCTAAACTGCACAGAAATTGATCCATGTGAGCAAATTATGTGATGCCATGTGAGGATCGTTTAGGCTCCACTTCTGTTGCATATAAAATTCACTTTTGTGTTAAAACATTGTGTTTCATACACTGAACACATCAAACACTGTGTATTATTCTTGTGTGCAGCCAACATGTAATCGCCATGCTAGGAGATACATAAATTGTCATCCTCAGTTGATCACTACCCAGTGAGAATGCAACATAAGGGAACTTGGTACAGGATCCAAATATTAGGGAGTTTCGAGTCTATTAAAACAGGAAAAAGGATTCTGATATGTCTATATGGATGGTACAGAAAGCCAAATGTTTTTTATTACACAAACACTATGCTTTGTCAAGTAATTGATCATATTTCAGTTTTTTTACTGTATTTTACCCTGCTTGTATCCAAAAATATAAATGTCATATAAAAAATATAAACTGAATACAAGTACAGGCTAAATCGAAATTTTATCTGTACCATATGAAATCTCTAAATTCTCTCATTTCATGTCACTTACACTGATGTTGTCTAGAAACCAGTCCATTTTTCTCAGGGCGACAACAACGAGCTAAAAACTCAGTGACTTCAGCTCTGATATGTATTTTCCCATTACTACTGGAACATTCGAGACACTTTCCCCGAAAGGACTTGACAGAAAATTCGATTGAACCAACGAGCTCATCTTTGTTTAGTTCGATAAAACAACTCTCTATTAGGCACCAGAGCACGGTAAAAACCCCAGAAAAACATAGATTACTAATATAAATCTGCGAGGCATGTGATGGGTATCAAAAAGCTGCAAAACCTTTAATGCTGCCCCAGAATTTTTTTATGAATTCAACGACAAAGTCAACAACACAGCAAAGAGAACATCGGAACAAAACAAAACTAGAAAGTGAATCAATGATAATGACTTGGTGTGAAGAAAGCCAGTATCACAAAACATCTACACAAATGGGAAAAATAATGGAAAACAAGAGATGTGATTTCAGCCATCTTGCAAGTAAAACAAAGAAAACGTCAATACTAACATAGCAGAAGGGTTTAATTGATGATCATCCCATTAGCTAAAAAAGATAACTCAAAAACTTTTAGCTAACGTGGGAAGCATTGCTTATCTACTCCAATGAAGTACATCTATATATATATATACATAGACTTGTGACAGCGGTGTTGAAGAGAATTAAAACAAAAAAAGGGCCCAAAATTCTTTTTTCTTGAACAGATGAATTTCATTAAAAGCAGAACTGGTGAAGAGCTCATACCTGACTTTTCTGCATCTCCAAAATCTCTGCCTGTAAGTTACAAATCTGTGTCAGAGTACACCCACAGGAACATGTAAGTTGCATCTTTGTGCATCTACTTTTCTGGAACTATCTTTTTATGTTTCCATTATTGTGGTGGTGAAAGTCTGTACCATATTCTAACGAACCATAGCTTCATTGTGGTTTTCTTACCTGAAGATTCAGTGCATATCTACAGACCAAAATAAAAGAACGTTGTATGAGAAGAAAGGTACCTGTTTCTTAAGCAATTCTTCATTCTGCTCCTTCAGTTTTGCTATTTCAGCTTCCAACTCCAGGGTGTATGCCTAGACAGATAAGAAGATGATATATGATATTAAACAGACGTAATTGTGGCATCTATGTTACACATTGTAAAAGATGACACAAAATTGGCAACTCGTCAGTGTATATATATATTATATATACGAAGGAGGCTACATGAAGATTTAACCCATTTCTTCCTTAAATGAGCCATAAAAATATGGTATCCTTTTTAAACATAGTTAACCGTCTAAAGGAATAAGGTTTGGGCATGGCTTCCACCACATCTCATTATTAAGGGCATCTCATCAGATCTGGCAACTCCGTTTCATCATTATGGAAATAAAACTCTATAAAGAGTCACAGAATATAAGGAAGATATGGCAGTGACCATTTTGCAGCTATGATCACTGAGTATGGATGAGGGAAGTACAAAACTTCTGGTAAACAATTTTGTAACAAAGAAGATGTATCCTGTGTCTGCTGATTATTAAAGTTGATATTACAAATTGTGTGAGATACAAACAGGAGAGCCCCCTGACCATTCCTCCGTCAAAGATTGGTACCCTCACAATTGAGGGGAAAAGCATAAGCTGAAGGTGAAGAATGAAGGTCACTATAAAGTAGCCAACAATAAGTATCTCATTACTCATTTCTAACCCAACACAGATGCAACCTCAAACCTAATATCCGATCTCAACACATTGTTCTATTGACAGTTATTCCAATAGGACAAACTATCAAGATAGCACTAATTTTTTTTGCACAAGAAATGATCCAGCAGACCAATATCAGACTTAAAAGGAACCTAATTTGAAATGAACGTCAGAAAGATTACCTGCTTGCGGGCACGTGATCTTGCAGCTGATTCTCTGTTTTTAATCATCCGCCTCTGTCTCCGCTCCACAACCTTCTCAACAATACCATTGGATTTCCTTCTTAGTCCTCTGTCAATTGCAGATGGAACAGGTGATAAGGATGATGAATTTCCATTGCCCTTTCCTAGTCCATCTGAAGATTCATCCGCTGTTCTGCCCCCATTTGACCCCAGATCAGCCATGCCCAGTATCAAACCATTGTTAACCGCTGAATCACTCGTTCCCATAATTCCTCCACCAGCTCTTAGTCCCTGCCAACTTAGGAGTTCAGGTGTGTTTCCCAATGGCGCTCTAGCAGAATAAGGAGGCACCACCCCACCAGCATTCATGGTAAGACTAGTGACAGTAGGACTATTGGTAAGTTGATTGGGCGCTAGGGATGAATTAGTGTTCGCTGCTGAAGGGAACCCAAGGCCAAGCCCGCTGTTACCATCAAAGTCTGACGTTGAAGCATCCCCATAGAAGGCATTGCCGTCAGTTGTAGTATTTGAGGAGGTAATTACTGATCTGGGCTCTGTGACGTCCTCCCACGTCACACCAGCCTTCAGCAGGAACTCCTCAAGGGTAACCTCTCCCAATGTTGGTTGTCGTTGTTTTGGTTGCACTGTAGGCCCAGATAGGTCTTGCACGCTGCCCGCATCCCTAAACACATCCCGCCAGACCTCGTCAACTGTCTTCTGAATAAGTGATTCAGGCAACGTCAGCGAGCCCTGCCTCTGTAGGTTCAGTGCACCTATGCCCGCAACTCCACGATCCCCCAACATGACTGTGGTTGCTGCTGAGGCCACTGCTGTCTGATTCTCCTCTGCATTCCAGATGCTCTTCAGGAGCTCATCCATGTTCATAGAACCAAAATCCTTGCCACGTCCCCCAAGCGCATTTTGAAATTCGTCAAAGGTCAACGAATAGACAGAAGATTGCCTCACCAGTGTGGGCGGAAGGTACCCGGAGCCTGAGGGCCCTGCAGACGGGAGCCCATCCTTGCCATCGAATCCCAGAGTTTTGGAATTCATTTTCCAATAATGAAGATGGCGATACCAGTTGCACCAATAAGAAAGAAATATCCACCGTATGCTCCTCTCAAATGCGTTTTAAGACCCTCCCTCCTCTCGAGAGCCAAGAGGCTTTTCCTTTCTGACTTCACGTTCGTCTTTTTGTCTCCCTGATTCACATCAGAAGATAGCAGAGGAACACACGCAGGGAGCATCAGGATTCCGAATTCGTCAGCCAAATCCAGAACGCAACAACCGCTAGATAGATACACCAGGATCCCAATCTCTTCTCCACCATAACAACAAAAGGAGCATGTGGGAAAACATGCGAAAAGGAAAAACCCAAGAGGGCACCATCAGTAAATCAGAAAACCTAAAACCCCAGCGAGACTAACCAGACCTCTGGGTTCCCTGAGAAACCAGATCGCTCGTTTCTCCACCGATGGGGAAGGATTTGACCCAGAAAACCAGTGGAAAGCCACAATTCATCGTCGAGAAGCAATTCGGAAAAGGATCAAACAAACGACTCTAATTCAGCCGGTCACAACCTCCACCTTCAAATCGAAGGCGTGAAGTGGACCTCGCCGGCCACGCTCCCCCTTCCCCGCTTCCCATAACAACAGTGGATGCGACGGATGGGAAGAATTTTGCGCCCTCGATGAAAAACCCACTCGAGGAGGGACCCCGAAGCTCCAAAATTCCACTCAGTAGCTTAATTTCACTACGCTTCCCTTCCCCGTTTGCAAAGGGTATGCGAGAGAGAGAGAGAGAGAGAGAGAGTACCTTCGCTTTGTCTGGCCGCTGCCGGCACCTCCCTCCTCTCTCTTTCCCCCCTCCGTGCGCTCGGCCGTGGGGACAAGTGTCGACCTCCGCAGCCTTCGTTCGTCGGTTGACGAAGGGAGATCTCTGTTCTCTCTCCTCCGCCATCCACGCGCGTCGAATCTTAAGTCGGTGGGACGGCCGTAGGCGGGCCGGGCCTTTCAGACGTATTCGGCCCGCTCACAGCCAGCATCGGCCCGACCCACTTGAATATTTCCATTTATTTAGTTCCCGCCTAATTCCTTGGATAAATACGGTGCTTCACATGAATCATCATGGCCCAACGAATCGACGGCTCCTGATTGGGCGGCATCCCGTGCTCTTCGGGAGTGATGGGTCGGGGGGCCGGGGGGGGGGGGGGGAATGCTAACATCACCTGCGGTGAGAGCACCTCCCGGTTTAAATGCGCCAGGTGGGCGCAGCGGATTCGCAGCTGGCAGAGAAAACCTACAGCGGTGGCCATTCCCGGGGACTCACCAGGAGGTCATCTAAGCATCCGTCAGACAGTTATGCGAGCCCCGCCGCGCCTGAGTTACGCGATTCCGCGAGTGCTGTTACCGTTAAAGTATGATATTCTTACTCCTCGCATGGGTGGTATACTCTCTCTCTCTCTCTCTCTCTCTCGCTTGCTGAGGAGGGGTCCGCGGTTTGGGGGGGTTGACGGTAGTAGATCTGCTGGTGAATAGCGTAGAGAGAGAAAGAGAGTGAAGGGCAAGTGGTCGTCCCCGGTAATGGAGACATGGAGGCTTTCTCCTCTGCTACTCTGCGTTCTGGATGGGTATTAATGGCTGTGGGAGGGAGAGGAAGGGGGAGGACGGGGGGAGGGAGAATGCAGAGGGGGAATGCCGGTGTTAGGGCAGGAGGCTCCTGCGGGAGAGGAGGTGGAGATGGCTGAAGCAGCGGCTTGCCGGGTGACTCAGCTTCAACGGCAAGCCGGCTGGAGGAGGAGGAGAGGGAGGGGAGGTGGGAAAGGAGCTTCGGAAGAGCAGGGTGGCGCCTCCGGTGGTGTGCTCCTCGTCCCTGGCCGGAATAAACGCGTGCACGGCGGTGGCGGCGGCGGCGGTGGCGACAGCAACAATTCCGGCCACGTCTTTGTCACCACCAGCGGCAGCTTGGCGTCGTCAGCCTCAGCCTCTGCCTCGTGCAGCCGTTGCTCGTCTGGATCCGATCATGAGGCTCTCTTCTCGCAGCTTTCGCTGGTATGCACGACGTCGCGATCCCCTCTCCTCCTGAGGTCTTGTCCCTTTCGTTTGTTGTTTTTGCATCCCTGCCGACGGCACCTAGCCGGTCAAGCGATCGAGGCTTTCTTAAATATTAATATTAATGTTAATGAGCTGGAGGAACAGAGAACAGGAAGTCTTCATTCTTGCCGAGTGACCTCGTGATCCAACCTCGCCGCTCTTCCTTTTCTTCATGTTCACATTTGTAACAAATGTGTCTGTCGCTTCCGGGATGCGGCCGCCGTTGACGCAGTTTAGTGGGAGAAAATGCACAGGCTGCAGAAGGCAGTGGGAACAGAGGAAGGGGAGGAACAGTAGCCTTTAACCTTTTCTGTCTTTCGCGCTCCTTTTCCTGTTCACACATGCTCTCTTCCTACGGGGTTTAATTTCCTCCGCTTCGCCTTTTATTTGCCAATTTGCGCGGGCGGGCCTGCCAGAGGAATCGCAATTTACTCTCTTTTTCCACCTGTTTTCTGCGATTCCATGCAGCATTTGGCGGGACGCGACCGCCCTGGTGGTCCAGATCAATTTGGGAAGAAGAGGCGGCCCTCAGTTGATGCCGCGACCCCGCGTAAATCCGTAGGTACTCACTGTTGCCAGTTGCCTAACCCGTGTGTAGTGTCTGTCTCTGCCCTATCCCCATCTCCCGTTTCTTTGAATCCTCTCTCTCTCTCTCTCTCCATCCCTCCCCCCCCCTTCCGGACGGCACGATCGTGAGAAGAAAAATGGGGGCTGGAGCAGTGGCTGCAGGGCGCTTAACTTTTTCATCCCCGTTCAAACTTCCCAGACTCTAATCAAGACGTGCTGGGCGTGGAAGAGGAAGCCGAAGCGCTAGATCCTGCGAAGCACTCCTTCTCAATCGCTCTCAAAGGTAAGGGCCAACGCCAGCTCATTGGCATTCCGTTGTGCCTGCGGTGCCTCTAACCCAGGACTTGTTGATAAGTTCGTCTTCGTTCTTCTGATTCTTTTGTAGAATGCCAGAACCGCCGGTTCAGATCTGAGTCACCCGCGTCTCCGCCGGAGGGAAGCCACGGAAGGTGGAGGGCTGCCTCGCTCGACTTGAACTGCCAGGGGGCTGATGTGCCCTTCTCGTCCTCAGGTCTCTATACTGCTGGATCAAGCATGAAAAAGAGCTCGGCCGTATCTGCGCGCAGCAAGTCGGGAGTGTTCCCGAGCCCTGGTACTCCGAATTACCGCCATGATGACGGAGCAACAGGGTACCAGAAGGGGTGGAGTTCTGAGCGAGTCCCCCTGCCTGCCAAATCTGGCCGGAGATATGTTAGTACTTCGGCATTGTTGCCATTCAACAACGGACGAACATTGCCGTCAAAATGGGAGGACGCAGAGAAGTGGATCTTCAGTCCAGTTTCCGGTATTGATCGTCCTGCGGGCCTCCCACCTCACCATCGGCGACCGAAGTCAAAAAGCGGGCCACTTGCCACGCCCTTCGAGATGGGCTATTCCTACTCATCGGCTTCACCACCCATGTCAATGTTTGATGGGGGAAGAATCCGAAATTTTCCCGATAATTCTCCTTTTCTGACGGGTGTTCTGATGACAGAACGTGGGTGTTGTGGCAGTGTTAGCAGTGGTGGGGGAAGCGGCAGTGAAGGAGTAAGAATATCAGTGACGGGGGGAGGAAAGGGGTCGTATTGTGCACATGCAGATGAGGGAGTAGTCAGGCCCGCAAGTGTCCCTGGGTGTTCTGATCTGCTACTTCAGTCATCTTTCTCTCTGCCCGGTTTTGGAGGTATGATGTTCCTTTTTCTGCATTATGATTGGCTGATTTCTGGATGGTAATGTTTTTATTTTTTGCTCAATTGATTCCTGTAATGTACACAGCTCAATCTGGTCTCACTTTTCCAAGCATTTGCACGAGTTTTATCGTTGAATAAATAGAATGGAATGTATTCCTCAATCCAAAATGTGTGAATACAACAGTCGAAGTTCTCAAGATGGTTACTCTTTCTTTTCATTTTGCAGAACTAAATATTTAGTAATTTCGTGATAGTGTTTAACCCAAGTTGGTGAACAAATAGAGGATCTATCACCAATTCCAGAAAAGAGAGCGTCATAAACTTCAGTGGATGCTTTTTAGAAGTTTTTATGTGCAAGAAGTCCACTGGAATAACAGTAAACCATCAAAGTTATGAATCGTGTGTGGCTGCTCTACTGTGGACCTTCTAATCTATTGAGAAAAATCACTCATCATAATTCAAATACAAGTTCCCAATTGGCATAATATCAGAAAAAGAATGTCTGAGAGAAGGAATATGTAGAAAATTCGCTGCGACAGGGACAGTGGGAGCCTAGATGAGGTTTAATCATTTAATTATGATTCCCTTCTTCCAGATAATCTAATTTATCTTTTCCAAATGCACGATTGGCTTGAAGCTTATGGGCTGAAACTTTGGAGCATAAAGAAAACCACAGCCAAGAGAACTGAATTTTGGTACTCATGGCATCATCTGTTGCCATTCTTAATTGGCTCCATCGTGATGTAGAACTTGGTGGTGTAGCTGAGATACATCTAGGAAGACCGCAGTAAATGACGAGCTACTTCAAATACATCTATGCTATTATCTTTGACCAGCTTATTGTCAATGGAGTCCCCCTCGCTGGTAGTGTCTGAGATGGAAGCATGCTAGATGGATATGTCAACATGAAATATTCAAATTTTCAAATGTATCTACACGGACATTTTTTTCAGTCCAGGTGACGAAAGACATGGCCTTTCATTCTTCCATCCGAGTAAAATACCATATTCTTGGTGTTTTCCGAGTTATTCTGCGCCATGAACCTTTCATTTCAACCTTGATAGATACTTCCATGTGCTTGATTCTACGTTAGGTAACAGTGTGAAAGACATTATTATAAATTAATTCATACCGGATACATTCTAAGAAGTGGCCGCTGATCATTCTTCAACTCTTGGTTATTCCAGTATAAAATTACACATCACTGGCACAGGGTATCATTCAAAATCATCAACTGGTGACTAGTAACTGTTTAAGCAGAAAAACCTTCTAAGCACTCGTTGCTGACTCATCGTTCACATTCAGACCATTGCTACTTCCCCTATTCTTGGAAATTTAGTTCACATAGGACAAGTAGAGCTTTGCTGATTCGTATGATCTTTGCGTTACTTATTTGGGACTCGGAGGATATTTCACTATCTTGTAGGTTATTTACTGTAGATGGCGAGGATTGTTTTGTTTCAACTTTTTCTCTTTTCTCATCATCGGGAACTCAAAGGAAGTACAGCTTTTCTCGATTATCTTCTTTGTTCTAACATTATTCCTTGACTGATAGAAACTCGGGTTTCCACTGTACTGACGAAAGGAGGCTTCTAGCCTTCTGTAAAATTCCTTGACCTACAGTGATCTTTGTTTTGCTTCTAGAATTTCAACAAATGCGTCGTCTAGATGGCAACAATTGGGCTAATATCTATTAATCATAACATTAAAATAATGGTGTGAAACCCACCTCTTTATATTTTTGTGAAGAGTTTTATCCTTCTTCTGCTACCGTTATTTTATCACATTTTTCTTGTTTTCTTATTTTTCAACTATGCTCAGCTGTTGTTGTCTTGTTGAAGTGTCTCATTTACCACCGATCTTGAAAAGGAAAGTGGGCTCAACCCTCTTGTCCTCAACTACCGCTGCCTGATAATCCATAAATTGGCTGACAGGACGATAATGCCCCAAGACATGCTGATCTCCCTGTTTTTTTGTCTAATTTAGCATAATTTTATGATTTATGAAGAGAAAAAAAAATCGCTTTTAGCTGAATATGAATACCTACTGTACACGCTGGTGAAGATACATGCGTAGAATCCGATCAATTGTGATGGCTGACATTTGACTGCCTCCTGAACAACAAGGATACGGATGGGTGTGAGATATGGGACTACTTAATGAGGAGGGTGGCCTAGGTGAAATAATTATACTCTTAAGAGGTCCTGTTCACGGGGTATTGGAAACTGTTATATCCAGACCAGCCATGCCTGTAATGACGCCGCATCATCATTCGTAGGTTGTTCATATTTTTGGAAAGGGCCACTGGCAGATGATTGGCTTATTGGGATGTCTTGTTATTGAAGTTGCCTTATTTTGAAATTGTCTTGCATATGCTCATTCCTTGCCAACTAGGGCACATGAGGCCTTTATTACTAATTATGGGATTAAATATGCAGATCAAAAGGCTGACGGTACCATGGATTCACCTGTGATCCTGAGAAAGGATGTGGCTACTCAGATGAGCCCTGAGGACAGCCCTCGATCTTCTCCCAAGGAGAGGCTTCACTTCTCTCCCTCACCAGCGTCATCCCCTGTGCTCGAGGAGATGCAAAGCCATTTCTCAAAGCTAGAGGTCAGAGATGTTCAAGTAGATGATAGGGTGACTGTGACAAGATGGACAAAGAAGAACATTTCACGTGGGTCAGATAAAGGCTCGGCAAATGTCGTAGAGTGGAAGAAGAAGACAGCGGAGTCCAGAGATTCATCTTGGGAAGTCTCAGAGACGGCAAAATCTATATCCAAGTAAGCATAGCTTCAATGTCTGCGTTTCCAATTGACCACTTTAGCGATTCACCCAGAGGTGTTACACCTTCCAGCTGAGGAACAGCCGACCTCGCATTTGTCCTGGTTTTACAGTTGAAATATTTCCATATTTGTTTCTTCAGGACTGTAGAAATTCAGGGTATGATCGCAAGGTGATTGTGAGTGGCGTCCTAATCTCCAACAATATTGCGAATCAAACCATTCTCTCAGACCTCCGCTCTCCTCACCTCAGTTGGGTTCTAAACTTGAGCTCTCTTCGGACTTCATACACTTCGTGATCTTTGCAGGATTAGGAGAGAGGAGGCGAAGATCACGGCCTGGGAAAACTTGCAGAAAGCAAAGGCTGAGGCAGCCATAAGAAAGCTGGAGGTTTGCATCTGATCAGAAAAAAACAAAATTCTTCTTTTAAAATTATGTAAATATATTTATTTAAAATAAAAAAAATTCAAACCCATGGATGCTTCATTGGTTCTAGCCGGTTCCATGTTTGTGTGAAAGAGGTTCTATCTCATGTCTACGATCTCTGCGCTTTCTTCTGTCCAGATGAAGCTCGAGAAGAAGAGATCCTCCTCCATGGACAAGATCTTGAAAAAGTTGAAGTCGGCTCAAGGAAAAGCCCATGATATGAGGAACGCTGCCGCTTCCAGCCAGGCTAATCAGGCTGCGAGACCATCAAAAATGGTCTCGTCCTTCCGCAAGGCTGGCCAGATGAACCCTCTGAGAGCCTGCTTCACTTGCCACGTTTTCTAGCGTATCAGCTTATCGATCCACATACAATCCGAGTAAGTTCCCTCCCTCATCAAATATTCAATCGGATTTTGACAGTAGATTAAATGCCCTCATTCAGAAACCGTAAGCAGGATATTCAATCAGGTTTTTTACAATGGATTAAATGACCTCACTCCGAAACACAACGCAAAATCTTCATTTTGACTCTTTTTTTTTTTTTGTTGTTGTTGTTGTTGCTTAAGTAAAACCTCATTCAAGCACACTCAAACTAGGATGTTCAATCTGATTCAAACTAGGATGCTCAACTATATTTGTATTATCTCTTACATAATCCGATTTAGAAACACAGACTAGGATGTGATAAATCAGATATTGTCATCGAATGGAATTTTAGAAAAGTTAGGATATTCGATTAGATTATTATTTTTATTGCTTGAAAATTTCCATTCGGAAGCAGATTAGGATGTTCACTTCGATTTTTCATCAATGCTGAAATATCATTCGGAGACATAAATTAGGATGATTAGATTAGATTCTATATTTGATTAGAAGATCAGATTTCGTTTACTTCCTTTTTTTCTTCCCATCAAGAGAAATGTTTTGCCCCTCCCCCCAGGTACCCCTGTGGAAGCCATGGCATGTCGCAGCCCCAGAGGTATGGCAAGAGAGTATCATATCATTGTACCCTGTATCATATCATTGCCAGATTTGGCGAGGTGGTCTCTGTGTGTGTAATAATGAACTGCCAGTGGCTGTGGCCCGTGCCCAGAAGGGAAGGCCTCCTGTGGAAGCATCGGAACCTGCCCTAGAGCCTGCGGCTTTATTCTTTCCTTCCTTCTGGTAAGATTTATGTTGTAGCACAGCACTAAAATCCCGCTAAATAAATCCAATAAAATCGGGGTAAAATCGTAGGAAGTCAGCTCCTGATGTCTGCTCCATGTTCACAGTCGAATAGCATGTTCTTTCCTTCCCTCCCGGCTAGATTTTCTTTACAATAATCATCAGATTCTTGGTAGATTTTATTTACATGGGAAAAATCATGTAGGGTCGGCACCAAAATTCCTCAATTGGTGATGAACAATTCTCAGCAAATTATTCATTGATTTAAAAAAAACATCAGAAAAGGTTTAGCGAAGATTTTATTTCAATTTCAGATCCCTCAGCCCAAGAAGCGAATCTGGGATCATCACCTTGATAGGATATTCAAATAAGCGTTGACTTTTCCCTTTTTATCTTTCTTTCTTTCTCCCTCTTTTTTCCCTTTCTTCTTTCTTTCTTTTTCTTTTTCTTCCTTTTAATTCTTTTTTTTTGGGGGGCGGGAGGGGAACCGATGGTGACCGGCCAAAATAAAATAAAATAAAATAAAATTGAATCGTCCATTTTTTTACTCGGAAGGAATAAATTAGTGCAGCATGGGCAACGCTGAAGAGGAAATGATAGAGCCAGCTTTACATAGATGGAAAGAAGGAAGGAAGGAAGAAGGGGGGAGGGGTTGACCTCCAATGATAAAAGGAAGGGCATCATCTATTACTGCCTACGCTTCCGGAAATGCCGGAGGATGAAGCTATCCGCATAGAGGGGGTACTTATTCCTTATCAGACCCTTTATGCACTTCCAATATGAAAAGTCAATCAGCTCCCCATCTTTGCGGACTATGAATAGGCACCGCGAGCTCTCAAAGTCTGGATGATATCCAATCTAATAAGAACATGAAAAATCATCGCCTTAGTTAGAGCAACATTGACATGAGATTCATTGACTAAGTATTTATAAAACAGTCAACATCATAAACCCTAAACCTTAAACCCCAAGCTATAAGAAGATAATCATGCATGCCTTGAATCTATAGTCTAGTTTACATATAAATACATGCATATTCTCATGTTGAAGAGCACCTGTTGTTTCTTGAATATAACCATCTCGTAATATCAAGGGTGAAATAAATATAGAAAAATAAAAGAAAGAACAGATAGGTATATATGCTTAAATCAACCAAATGGTTCGACTTGAATACATTTCAGCGAGGGAAATTAATCAGCAGGCATGGCCGGATCAAAAGATCAAGCATGAATGCATTTGTGAGCCAATCCTAATTAGTACCGCCTTCAGAATAAGATTTTGTAAACTTCCTAGTTCTTGGGTCAGAGCCCAGATTGTAAGTGTTCGCCGAGGTTTCTAATCCAGATGATCTCGTTCCATAAACCAGGAGTTGATAGACCTTCATAGCCAAAAGCACTCAATACTCACTGGATTTTTCTCATCAGATTTGATCATGAAGACATGGTGGATACTTCACAAACTTCCAGATATGTTGATCAAACCCAGATCAACAGATTTCAGCGAGGACTGATTATTGTAAAAGCCCGTTGACACCAATCCCTGGCCAAGCAGTTCTCGATCTAGAGACTGAAGTTTTTAGAACAAAAGAACATAGGTAATAGCCTCACTGTCTGAGCTAGGTGAAACCATTTTCCAGGTTCTCTCCTTCACTTGGTGAACGGTCTGACTGCAGACAGAGATACAGAATCGGTGAAAGATAGCCACTACTGGGGAGTAGCTCCAGTTTGATGGATGAAAACTATCACCGGCGATGGTAAGTAGGATTTCCCAAATATGGTAGCCCAGAACAAAGATCGCATCAAGGAAATGATAGTAAAGATCAGGAGAAGAGAGGATTGAGCCAAGCGGCGTCTTGGGTGGGTCCTCTTGACACTGATGATAGAAGCACAGAAAGAAATAGAAAAGAAATGAATCAGAGCTGCGGTGGGATGAGTGTTTCTCCACAAAGTCACACCATGCCACAGGTGAGGATGCGGATCGGGATTGGAGAAGCAACTTGATTTAAGAGAGAGAGTGACATTGGCATATGATTTCAAGGCCATTTAGAGCACTTCAAACATGGATCATCAGGGGTTTGGGAGACTCCAAATGCAAGATCAAAGAAGAAAATGACAGCAGCAACTACTGACTAGGATTTCAGATTCCCTTGCTTGTCCCAAGGAGATCGATCTGAGTCAAGATAAACAGCCTATGAAGATGAGGGCATGTCAACCTTTGAATCCTTGCCATTGCCGGGAGGGTTTTTTTCTTCTGATAAATCAATCATGGGCCTAAATCCGAGGATTTTTACTGTTTTAGCAAGAATTTTCGCCTTCTTTTTATACAAATCCAACCTGGAAATGTAGATAGGTAGGACGAATCAGACAAGCACAAGTTGTAACCAGATAGGATTGACGTCAAGCAACAATCGACAACTGTCCGTGTCTACACTTTGAAATCATTGTCTGGCACCTATGCCCGTGTTTCTGATATAGAGTACATCAGTAAAGATAATAGGGCGATGTTTTTTTCTCAAAACAGAAAATCATGCACTCTGGCATCATGTGAGATCCTCTTTCCTTCTTATACATTAGCAAAGATTAAATGACAAAATTAGTAGGGTTTTGAGTCAAGCCAAAATCTCTTGGTACTGATTTGGGCGAGCCGAAAATGACTAATCATATATAAGAGAAGTTATTGTGTTTGAAATCAAGCTAAAAATTATAAACCTTATTTCGATAAGCAAAACTAATTTTCTTTAAAGTTTAATGATGAGGGAAGTAAATTTTAGCTGAGAGAGTCAACCACAAAGGGGGGTCAACATATCCGAAATTACAATATTTGCCCAAGAGTGTCAACACTCTTGCCCTTTAGTTAAATACTTAACATATTTAAAGTTACAGGTTAAACAAGAGTCAACACCTACTACGTCAAGCATGAATAATTATAAGCCTACAAAAGGATCATCCATGAGTGTTGAGATTCATAGTATGCCAAGCATCAACACATGAGATAAAGCATGGCATTATTTACACACAATTTTGACACGTATGAGGTAAATCTCAATAACTTATAAACCACAGAGCAAAAGGCATAGAAGTCAACATCAAGGTGAGGTAGGTCAACACTAAAAGTACTAAAGTATCAACAACTCGATGACAAGTCTTAACACGATTAAAGAGTTAAAAAGGGAAATTGGACAGTATTGACATTTGCAATTTTTTAGAAGTAAGATCTCAATCCAAAGAAACTGAAAAACTCGAAAAAACTATATCCTTCAGGAGGAAATATAGGCAATGATTAGTTTGAGGTTAAGGGCTAAAAAAGAATAAGTGACAAAAGGTATTGAGAACAACCATGATCCAAATTTTCCAGAAACTAAAAGCTATTAAAAGCAAGAGTGTCTTTATTCAAGCTGAAAGATTTGATGTTTAAAGGGCCATTAAAGGACCGCATGTTCTCTAAAAAAAAGGGCAAGGAAAAAATTTCATTGATGAACGGTTTCTCACTTCAGATGTCAAGACAATCAATATTTTATTTTGTGCATGTGACACTAGTGCGCTCAATTGAGCTTCCAATCTTTCATAGTTTCCATAACCAAACTTTCTAAAGTGATGAAAATATCAGAGAAATATTTGTGAGGGTATTTACACATACTCTCCATTCATCAACCTGATACTCTGATATAAAATTCTCAAGATTTATTCTGTAAGAGAACTAGATTAGTTAACTAAAAATCAATAGGGAATGAGTAGAAGACATGTTAGTTACCCTGTGAATATGTCTTACCTTTCCATGTGGAACAATTCTACTATACCCTCTTCAAGTATAGGCCGGATTCCTATGGACAATACGTTCTTTCACAAGTCTCAATGTCATACAAGGACCATTTATCATACGTTTTTGTGAGCAGACAGTCATAGCATTAAACGAAAAGAAAGGAAGGAAAGGATATCACAAAAGGACAACTGTATGAGGTCAGGAAGCAAGACTCTTGCCGTTTGAGATTGCTTTCAGACAATGCTCAAAGACCCTTTCAGTAATTCGCAACCTTCGTTATGACATAGAATGTAACTAAAATAAAGCTTATATGGTGTATGATGTAGACCATGCCACCTGGTTATCTTGTTAGAATAGGACTATAATAAATTGATTTGATTAGAAAGAATTGCTGAGGTTTGCATCCAAGGAATGCTCGTATGTGCGATAGAAGGAATCATCCTCTAACTATTTCAATTAGAAATAGAGATTAAGCCTCTCAAAAATGAAGTCCCTTCTCGCTATAAGGCAAACTCCCATTTCTGAATACACTATTAGACATGAAAAGGTTCAGCCAAATTCCCATACTTTGAGGGGTAGCATTTGGCCTCGTACTTACCTAGCATCATGCAGAAAAAAATTATACATTTTTCAAATACATTCACCCATTGTAAATGAAATTATGGTTAAATATTATCTACAAAGTTAAATATTTTTAAATATTTACATCAGTGAAGTACTGAAATAAGACAAGCGCTTGTCATTATGGCATCACAAGGTAAATTTAATATTCGTGTATGTAAGTTTAATCTATCCCTACATACAAGCTGTATTTTAATTAAATATTTATAAACTATAATATATTTATTTTAAAAGGCATGACATAGTCGTCTTGCCTTGTCACCTAGGCACTATTCAATGGATCACTGCCTTGATCACTAGTCACCTAAAACATTGATACAAATTCAATGACAAGTTTGGATAAGGATACTCTAATTGGTGAGTCCCTCAATAGTTAATTCAAACTCTGCAAAATGAAAGAAAACATCTTGAAGCTTATACATTGGAAAACGCATCAGAGTTCAAAACGGGGAGATCCACCTTGGCTTGGATTATTGATGCGCAAAGAAACAGTTTTGCTAACAATTGATTACCATATTCAGCCAGTGATAATATGCACAACTTTGAGATGTCACACAGAAGAAAAGAAAAGGTACTTTTGCATCAAAGGAACCAGTAAATAGTACTAATGAAAGAACTTACTGTGATAAAATCAACTCCACATCCTATCTTGATTTCAAACTCTGGATGGTATGGCAGCAATCGTTCCAAAATCATCTTTTCATGCTCTGGACTTAATCTATCGCCACTTTCATACCTAAATAAAATTTCCATCATACGCAATTAGTAATGCATTAAAAGAAAACAATGATTATTAAACTTTCCAAATAAAAGCATTCCAAAAACTAATATAAAACCACAACTATTCAAAGTCTTGTTGTCAAGGAAGCATTAAAATATACATGCAAAGTGAGAACCTCTTAACAACCTAAGAAAATAAGTTCCTTTGTCCACCTCTATCATTGAGCAACTCCAGAACCAATCCTCCCCTCTATTCTCCGCATTCTTACATATTATTTGCAAGTGTTGCCAGTATCATTCTCATGCACTCACTGATTCCCTATTAAAATCCGTGTACAACCATGCTGTGCTCAAGACCTAATTTCAAGATGTTCAATTTTACACGCACATTCTCTCTGCATCTCATTATTCGACATGTATAGAAAAATTTGCTCTTGAACAGTAAAAAACTATTTGATATTGTGCACATATTGACGGTAATTACTCAGACAGATTGATGACCAAAAATCTATAGACCGGTATTCTACGGGGGAAGTCAGCAGGGCCCTGATTTTTTATGACAGTAAGTGTTCAACTCCAAGAAATTCTATCAATATCTCGGCAACAGAAAGGGGAAATAGTGTCTGATGCGATCCGCATGGAGGATTGTAATCAGCGTTCAGATTGACGGCCACAGAGATCTGCGCTTTGTACAGTGGGCGTTACGAGATTGAATGAAACAGCTAGAAATCCAATTGGATTAAGGTGCTGGAAGCCGGATGATAAGCATTTGGAATGACTGCTAATACTTAGTCAGATCCCTTGGGGTTTGAGGAAATCTGAACGCATCTAGTTTATTTGAGAGTCACTATCCCAATACATAATTAGAACAGAAGGAGGCAGCAGCTTTTCCTATTTTTCTTGTCCGATTAGTCCGAAAGAACCGAGCCATTCTCATGCTCAAGGAAGCTTACTTTCCAGAGTGGAGGATCATCCTCACGAAGCTGACTAGGGGCACAGTGTCCTGCAGTATCTGGTCTTCCCAGTCCACCCAATCTGGCTTTCTACGCCTCGAACCTCCCCGCGGCTCTTCGGTCGGTCTCCCGCCATCATCAATCTCGTCAGCATCATCACATCTAGGGACCCCACCAGCCGACCCATCTTCCTCTTCTTCCTCGTCCTCCGGCAGAGGAGAGACAAGAGGCCGCCTCAATGGCCCCGGGTCTTGGGACGCCCCATGGGAGCCGCCGACCTTCCCAACCTGCGCCCCCTTGACGGCCCTGAGCGCGAGGATCCGGGCCGGCGAGGCAGAAAATGGGAGGAACAGAAAGCAGGGAGAGTGGCCAAAGGAAGACGATGCGGAGCCACTGGCAATCCTGCCGCAATGGGGAGCAAATCGACAGGCGGCAGAACTGGACAAGGAGGAAATCGCCATGGGCGACGCGGTTAAGGCCTGCATCTTTATCTCTTCTCTGCTGCTGCTGCTGCTGCTGCTGCTGCCGCCGCCGCTGCTGCAGCTCGCATCCTTCGGCGAGAATGCTTCCTCTTCCCCTCTCCCACGTTCTTCCGGCTCTCCAACTGCGGGAGGAGGAGCAGGGATTTACCGCAGCGCCGTGAAAGAAGCGAGAGAGAAGGGGATTTGGGGAGGTGGGAAGTGGGGGCGAAGCTGAGCCAAGAAGCTCTACGCCTTCTGTGGCTGGAATTCCCGATCGTCTGTTCTTCCAGGGAGGTCTGGATCCTCCTAATCGGATCCCGGCAGGTAGACCCAACTACCCATTTCTCGGCCGAAAATATATGGGCCATGTTTCGAAACTAGTGGGCCTATATGACAACTCTTCTTGGCCCAAGCCTAGAAGGCCCATATCAGAACTTTCGAAATAAATTTAATTTTCCACCCTCCCAAGGATTCCTATAAATATGTATAGCCCATGGGGAGGGTTTTTTTTCTCTAATATTTTTTTTCCATATATGTTTTTATGTAGAAACTGAAATTTCCATCCTCTTTGCGCCTCATTAATGATGAATTAATTATTAATTCACGTAAATTAAGGAATTAAGAGGCTTCAAAAATGGAATAAACATCTTTTTTCATATCTTCATCAAAAAATAAATCCATATTTTAATAGGGATTATTCATATTTAGTCATTACCATTTTAACATATAAAATACTCATTAATTACTAGTCATTATCATTTTAACATATGAAAATAAATAACCATATATGTTACTATTTATGTTGTGTCACAGGGACCTCCAGAGATGAGTGGGACAAGCATCTACTTTCATAGTAGCAGGACGACAACAACAACAACATCACTTTCTTCTTAGTTTGTGAATTCCCTATATGAGGAATATTCTCAAGATTCTCTCGCATATCGAAAAGTCAAATATACCTGGAACCTTCCGTCTAACGCTACAAGCACTGCCCCGAAGAGTGCAGCTTGTCTGGAACCTTCTAGAGTTTTTATAATTTTTTTTAGGCGAGAGGATCTCCTGATGAATAATCCTAGAATTTTGGAGTTGTCTATTTCTATTTTTGACCTATAAAATGGTATATTTTTGGTGAGTCAAATTTGGGTTTTTTTCGATTTTCTGGTCAAATATGTAAAAATCTGTGTGAATTTGTGAGCTGGAACTCCGAAAAAGTTCCTTTTTTTTCTCGGAGAAATATTTATATTTCTCTATACTTTTCCGTATTTCTCGGCCCACGTCACCGGGCCCCGGAGGCGAGAGTAAATATAGAAGGGACAAAAAAGAGAACGGCAACTCATCTAAAATTTCCAGCGAATGCGTACAAATTGCTGCACAGTCCTCGTGAGTAAGATTGTCAGAAAAGTACCTCGGAGCCGCCAAAGGCCACGTGGAGACGGCCGGCGCTCCAAGCGGAGAGCTCGTAGGCGTCGTGTATCGAGCGAAATGACGGATTTACCCCCTCATGGTTATGGTAGAAAGAATAGAGTTGTCCCCAACTCACAGCGGGATGGTTACGGCAGAGGAGGGTGGGGGTGGGGCCCATGGGAGGGGTCTCTGTCCCCACCTTCCGTATATAGAAGTCGTCATCTTCGTCCCCCTCGACCACACGTCTCAGGGAAGGTCTCCTCCCCCCCCGCCCCAGCTCTCGCCACCGGCCATCCCTCCTCCCCCGCCGGCTGGGGGGAGCTGCTTGGGCGGGAGATCGTCGGTGATGGCGGATCCCAAGAAGGCCGCTGGCTCCGCCTCCGCGGGGCTGTTGCCTCCTCCTCTGCAGCCGCTTTTCAAGCAGCGGTCGTGGTCGCCGGACACGGATCGGGAGGAGGCATGGCAACGGCGGAAGGGCCTGTACAAGAATCGCCGGAAGGAGGCGGCGGCGGCCGGAGGTGGCGGCGGTGGCCATCGGCTCAGCCGGAGCGTGACGGATGAGGATCTCGAGGAGCTCCGAGGCTGCATCGATCTAGGGTTTGGCTTCGGTCTCGACTCCCCGGCGTCGTCCACCACGGCCTCTTCCTCGGACGACACGGACCGGCTCTCCGACACCCTCCCGGCGCTGGATCTGTACTACGCCGTCCAGCGGAGCTATCCCGGCTCCGTGGCGGCCCCGAGGGGGGTCAACGATCCTCCTTCGGCGCCATCGCCGGTGGACAGCCCCCTGGCCATCTATTCCCCAGGTATATGGCGATCCTCGCTCCGATGATCCAGTAGCATTCATACAGAATGATCGCATCGTTAGCCAGTTCATAGTCGAGTCCAATGCCGTCCGAATGAAAACAATCCCTCCGCCGGCGGTTTCTGTGTGTGTTGGATCTCTTTCCGGCCAGATCTGCGCGCAACAGGGGGCGGAGATCCGCTCCTCCGCCTTCCCGCGGTCGTCGCCGGCGAGACACTTCCCACGATTTCCACGACTAGTTTTTCCAAATCACCGTAGATAGATTTCATCACTGATAGCCCTCTGAGAATCACTCGTCGGCATTGTTGGATTGGATGAGGAAGAGAGGAGAAGATCATCTGTTGATCCCAGTTGAAAAACCTTCAGGTTGGTTGACATTACCGTATGATTAGATCATCGAGGACCACTTTTATATGATTAGATTTCCATCATTCACGGGCAGATTATTTTACCGATCGGAAGCAATTCGGCTAAACAATTAATTGACTTGTTCGTTCTTCCATGGCCATTGAAGGCGATAGCCCGCAGCAGGTGAAGAGAAGGCTGAAGCAGTGGGCCCAGGTCGTCGCCTGCTCCGTCCGCGTCCACTTGCCCTGACCACCACCACCACCACCTCCACCACCAGAAGAAGAAGAAGCCCAGAAGAAGAAGAAGACCAGAAGAAGAAGAAGAGGAAGACCAGAAGCTCTGGATGCGAACTGATGGAACCAATGCCCGATCCATCCTTCATCTCTCTCGCTCCATCTCCTCCTTTCGCCACCAATTCAATCTCGTAGAAGGAAGTTCTTCATTGCTGCCGGTTTTGTTCATTCCCTTCATCCTTCTTTAATCTTTATTTTTCCTTTCCGAAATTTTGCTGGATTCATGATTTCAGCTCTCCGATCTTGACGTCAGTCCGATCCAGATTGTACATGAATTAGATATAGCACAGACTTCTCCTCCCCAAGATCCGATCAAATCTCTTTCATTCTTCCCATCAAAATCCCTTCCCCCGGCGATCTTCCTCCCTGGCGGTTGCTTGCAAGCCACCGCCACCGCAACCGCTCCCTCCCCCTCCCCCTCCCACCGGAAGGTTCGCCGCAGCTGCTCTTGCTTGGGCGCCAAGTTTCCACTGTTGCTGGTCTTCTCCGCTCTCCATCTCTCTCTCACTTTTTTCTCTCTCTGGCGTTCCCTCTCATAATTGTTCCTCCTGCGAAGGCCGACCTCGTCTGACTCCATCTGAGCTGAGTCGGCCTTGGACGGCGCCGGAGAAGACGACCGGCGCCAGCGAGTGGCTGGCGTTGATTTCCAGCTGCCCACCAGCTCGGAGGGCCATTAATAAGAAGATAAGGGGGAGCAGCTCCGGCACGTGCCGGTCCGACATCCACAGGAGATGACTTGGTAGTCTTCGTCTTCAGGCCTCCGACAACCGGCTGACCACGTCTCCCCTCGCAAGACTCCAAAACGGGGTATAAGCATAGATCTCATAGGCACATGAGCCCCATAGGATTTATGCTTAGACCCATATGAACTTGTCATAGCTTGTAACTTTCATGAGAGATCATTAATAAAAAAGCATGATCTTATGGTCGTTTGGAGTCTAAGAGCTCATGACTTTGTTTCTGTCGCTTATGATGGGCTCCCTTCATGTCACTTAGCAAAATAAGGCTACAAGGCGAAATTTAAAGATCTGGAAGGCGTCCTCATATAATTAATTTATAGGATTTTTTCGTAAGCCCAGTGAGCGGATAGGAGGGGGAGAGAGAGAGAGAGAGAGAGAGAGAGAGAGAGAGAGAGAGAGAAGGGAGAGAGGTTCCTTATGGAATAACTCGAGCATAAGTATAGGGGGGGCGTTTGGGTTGCGGGAATTTAGTTGCCCGGATAAGGGAGGTGGGAGGCCGAGCGCTGGGATCGTGCCACGTGTTCCCAGAGGGAGCAGATCCCTCGGAAAAATATCTGCCGGGGCCCGAGGTGCGATCGGGAGATATTATGCAACTTGTCCACGTGTCAATATTTCGTGGGCTCCGGCCATGAAGAAGCGAGGCCACGTCAGGAGGGCCCACCACGGCGCTTTTGGCCACGTCCGCTCCTTGGTCGGCTCCTCTCCTTGTCTCCCTGAAATTCTCTGGATTCGGCATCTGCGTGTTGTTGGCATCCTCATCCGCCTTGGAGGGACGAGAGGAAGGAAGACTGTGGGCGTCGGGAAAAGGGGATCGGCTCGGATGTTCCAATGGATGGGAACCTGGGGGCGAAGCCACCGCCGGATCGAGCAAGCTCGGGACAATTAGATGGGATCGGAGGAGGCGTAGGCGGAGACTCTGGATTTGTCGCTTCTGGGCCGATGGGGGGCGCCGGCGGCTACGGGGACACTTCGAGCACGGTACCAGTCGCCGTCCCTGTCTGCTTTGATCAGCATTTCGGCCGACGTATTTCCGCAGTTTTCTTGTTTCTTGATTCCTTTCGCTGAATACGGATGGGGCAGCGGTTGTAGTTTGATTAGGGCTCGACCTTCGCTCTTCTTATGCGCGAACTAGATTAGGCATTTTTGTCTAGCCAGTACACTTGCGGGTTCGGATGTATTGCGCAGGGAAAAGCTTCATCTATATTGTTTTTTATTTATTCCATTTATCTTTTTCGAATGGAGTAGATCACGTGCCTCGATGAATTGAGGTGTGAGCGGCTAGGCATATCTGTGGAAGATTATTTAATTTGATTCGCGAGGTATTTCGCTCGATTTTCTTTTCTCTGAATCAAAACTTTACTGAATAGAGTCGGATATTTTCTTTGTAATCCATGAATGAGGTAGAAATATTTATCCCACCACAGACAAGTTTAGGCCAAATAAGTGCACACCTACGAAGAAGAGAAATACTGACCATATGTCAGCTTTTGGTTTCCGATAGGGCGTCATAAGCATACAGAACATTGGGTTCTGTCGTAACAACTTTAAATCTTGAGATAATATCTTCATTCCGTGAACTCTGTGTCTGACAGTTCATCATGGGCATTAGAAACAATCACTATTACCATCTTCTCAAGATGGTCAATAATGTTAAGTCATCTTCTCAGCCTTATCCTTATGGTGAAGGTGGCCCTTCGTTTGAAAAAGTTGAGACGATCTCCTCAATATAGTCACAAGCGTTTTTATTGGTATGAATGGATTATCCTCTTTTTTCGGCCTCACACCTTTTGTCTATCATCAATTTTAGGAATTTTATATTCCTTTGCAGTTAATTTTGAAAGGTTCATCATAATTTTCACTCTTGGGTTGGTTGCTTCCAAATGTAGAATCAGAGTCAAAATGCGTTAAATTATAAAAACACTTCTCCTGTACTCAAGTTTTTACTGGACAACGATGTCTCACCTCTTTAACTGAGCATTTTTCCGCGGAGTTAGATATTAGAAAGTACTTACTACATGCATCATAAGCCATATACTTTGCGCTTGCGTTAACAGATGAAGCCCATTTCCTTGCCCTGGTACGCCATAGCATAGTCTGAACCTGCCAAGGAGTATTATTGTGGATATGACTGCCATTTTCTGAGATTTCAATCTATCACAGGGGATATATTCGCATGAGAGGTAGTATTGTTAATGGCATGCCAGCATTTGGTTCCCTAAGAGTAATGAAACGTGTTGTATTTAATACAATTTCTCCCATTATTTTATTCTGCGAAAAGACACCGAGAGGGGGGAACAATAATTGTATTGCGTGCTTCCTTTCTGAATTATAGGAACAAGTTTATATCATCGTTCTTGGATTCAGATAGGGTGAACGGATTGATCAAAGGCAATCTGTTATATCTTGGTATTTATTTTCTTTCCCTTTTTGCAACTAGCATATGGTATACTTTTTTTCCGAAAAATATTTATTTGTGTTTGGTATCTAAACTACGTTGTAAAACTGTATATTGTAGAATCTGTTGTATTTCGTGAAGATTTTAAACCCTGTTCTGGTGTTCTTTTCGTGAGTCTCAGATGGTAGAATCAGCATCCGTTGCGTGGACGGATGAGAAACACAGCTCATTTCTGAATTCAATTGAGGCATCTTTTGTCAACCAGATGTACAGCCAGGAGCTTTTTCGAGGTCTAACATCGAGAACACAGAAAGATGTGGATGATGACCCATGCTCTGCCCAGGTAAAAAAGATCAGTTTCTTTTCCCCTCAGACGGAGCCTGTTCTTTAATATTTTTACTATAGTCCTCAGCATTATTAAAATAATTCACATTATTCAGTATGAGGTCCTGAAAGGTTGTCTCTGGGGACTCGAGCAGAAACCCACTCAAGCAGGCATTCAGAATGAGGCTCACATTCCGTCAAGGAACCCTTGGATTCGGTGGAAAGGGACAAGCTCAAATCAGTTCCATAACTCTTGTATGAACTCATCCCATCTGGACTCTGTCGGGTTCAGTACGGGTACGTTCGTTCAACGACTGCACTAAAATGCATAATTACCTCTCCATCCTGTGACCATGAGGCGAAATTGATATATTTTATTATTAACCTTTTTTAAATCTTAAAAAATCATTTTCTTGCCTTTTCCATTTTAAAATGCTGGGCAGTTACTACTTTAGTTTCCTTAATTTGCTCCTCGTAACTTGATGACTTTAATCTTACATCCTAATTCATACACGGACGTAAATATTTACAATATCTTGGGATACTAATATGCAATTCCGTTTTTTCTCATTTGTAGATTACATTATATTTGTTTTATGATAATTAAAGGTTTCGCGGAAATTTCTGTTTGATATATAATTTTGAGTACCAGGGAGGCATCTCAACAAGATTCTGTAGGAGAATTAGACATTAATTTTTTTTAAAAAATCAAAATATTTACTTAATAAAATTTCAAATCTAGGAGTCTGTAACTGATGGTCGGGGATAATGGTTATGGCTTTTAATTAATGGAAAGTCGAGTGGAATTTAGATAAAGCCTCCTAGTATATTTTAAACAAAATAATTTTTGAAATTTGTCCGACTGATCTCTCCCAATCAGACGTGATCCTCCCATGGACAAAACCGGATGCAAAGAAGAACTAGGTTTCCTTGGATCCCTTCCCTGGCTGGGTCGCCCAACTGGCACCCATTTATGCTCATTTATGATGCATAATATTAGAATAACGAAGAATTATTGAATTTAGTGGTCTTCATCCTGGATGGCACTACATTTTCTGATTTTTTTCCAATGAACAGTCCAAACTGTAACTGCTGTAATTCTTGCAGAAGTAACAGATCAGAACTTTGTGGACGACCCGACAAGATCCAAGCAAGCAAGTAGAGTATACATGAAGAAAAGATCTCGGAGAACAGCTTCTGCGACCGGAAATCAAGTAATCCGCGAGCTTCTTCGCTAAACCTGGTCAAGAACAAGAGAAAGAAAAGAAGAATAAAATCATGGGACTGGCGGTCTGATCTGAACTTGGGCTTTGTTCTCTTCCAGGCTGCACCGGCGGCGGGCGAGGACGCCAAATCTGGCAGCGCCAAGACAGCAAAACATGGAGTAGAAGAAAGACCATGAACAACGCATCGTATATGAATTGGACGCCGGAATCCCGAGGAGCTGACTTTCTTCTCAGCCGGGCTCCGAACGATGTCAACCCTAGGAGGAGCTTCTGAGTCAAGAATGGGTCAGAGGGGAGGCCATGGGAAGAGAGATATATAGCCATCTTAATTGCACAGGGTTTCTGTTTTACGACGGGGGTCTCCAACTCGGCATTTCTCCTCAAGAGGTTGGCGGATCGGCATCCTCTCCCTACCGGGTATTTAATAATTCTGATAATTTCCTCCAAGGCAAGAGAAATCTGGGGAGCTCGCTCTCTTGAGATTGCGGTGGATCCTCGGTTTCTTGATAGCGTTGACTTCGGTTCTCTCTTTCTTTCTTTTTTTTCTCTGTAAGTTTTTTTTTCTCTTTCTTTTCTGGGTGGAAGTTTTCTTTTTCTCATATTTTTTGACATTCTTCGGTCGTATAAGTTATAAATTTAGAAGATGATCGTAACGATTAGCATGGTTGTTGAGATTCTGTTCATTTATTCTTTTTTTTTTAAATTATTTAGTTGTTGAAAAAAATCTAGAAGATTCTCATAATAGTTCCTATGCTCGTGATAAGTCTTCGGTCAAGAACACCCCCTCCCCCAACAAAATGGGAAAGAAACAAATCCAAATTTGGCAGCATCTGGCTTCAAGAAAAACTAAATTCGGACCAATATTCCAGATACCCATCTTTTATTTCTTTTCTTACAATTTTAGACAGCCTTCAGAAAATTTTTAATATATTATATATATATTAATGAGATGCTCGTGATAATTCCCATTATCGTAATAATTTAATAATCGTCAATCGTCGAAGCACACCTCGGCTCGGCCGCCGACAAAAAAAAAAATGGGTGTTCCAAGATTTGGGAAAGAAATCCGATGTTGGGGGCACTGACCCTGAGCAAATCAAAATTCAGAGCCTTTTTATTTTTCTTGTTCAAACGAAAGTCGATTCTCCGCTTCACACCAGCGTTGACTTGATCCCCACCGTCAAACTCCTAGCGTTCACACGTGTCAGTTTCTTGCACCGACCGGCGTTCAGGAGGGAGGAGGAGGGGGGAGAGGGGCGACCACGACGAGGGCAACCGACGGCCGGCTCGTTGGCTTCTCAAAATTGACCGCCCGCATGACGGCGACGGGCGCCCATCGGCGATCGTTCGCGTGGCCCAATTACAGGACGACTGGTTCTTCTCGGCACTTTCTCTCTCTATCTATACGCCGGGGAAGACAAAGAAGAAGACGGAGAAGATGATATCGACGGACGCGCGGGTCAAAATGATCGGTGAGAAATCGCGGCTGCCACACGGAGGCGGGTGGGTGGGGGTGGGAGTTGGTGACTTACACGCCCTCTCTCTCTCTCTCTTCTCCGCCGTCCTCGAATGGAGTCGAAGAGGACAATGTAAGAGAGAGAGAGAGAGAGAGAGAGAGGAGGCGTGCAGAATATGCTGACATATGACCTTGCTGCGGCGGGGGAGGCCCAGCATGAAGAAGCTTCTGATCCAGCGGGATGGGGCTTCTGTCACACTTCCCTCGCGGGTGTTTTCTTCGACCTTCTAGAGAGAGAGAGATCCCAGCAATCCAAGGGAAAACGGGTCTTCTCCCCCTCCCTCGTAGCTTTATTTCTCCTCCAGAGGATCCCAGCAACCCAGAGGAATCTCCCTGTCTCCCTGTTTCCCTGTCTCCCTGTCTCCCTCTCTCTCTCTCTCTCTCTCTCTCTCTCTCTCTGTGTCTGGTGGTTCGGGATGCGTCGGTGAGAGGAAGACGATGGGGTGGAGCCGGATGCCCATGATGAGCTCCGTCGGATTCTTCTGGGGCTTCTACTGCTGGGGCTGGGAGTTCCTCACGGCCCTCCTCGTCTTCTCCGGTTGATCGATCGAGCAGCACCATCTCCTCTCCCTCCTCCTCCTCCTCCTCCTCCTCCTCCTCCTCCTCCTCCTCCTCCTCCTCCTTTCCTCCTCCTCCTCCTCCTCCTTTCCTCCTCCTCCTTTCCTCCTCCTCCTTTCCTCCTCCTCCTTTCCTCCTCCGGCGATCCTGCACCACCATATCTCTCCGCTCTTTTCCCATCGCCGCCACATGCAGGCTCTGGCAAAAAACGGCGGCGGGCCAGCGCCGTTCCTGGTGAAGACCCACCAGATGGTGGAGGACGCGGGCACCGACGAGGTTATCTCCTGGAACGAGGAAGGCAACGGCTTCGTCGTGTGGAAGATGGCGGAGTTCTCCCGGGACCTCCTCCCGGTCTTCTTCAAGCACAGCAACTTCTCCTCCTTCGTCCGCCAGCTGAATACCTACGTAAGTTGCCTCCCCCCGACGAACCCTACCTTCTCCATATTTACGAGGTCAACAGTCTGAGGAGACCTTCCTTCCTTCCTTCCTCAGGGCTTCCGCAAGGTGGTGCCGGATCGGTGGGAGTTCGCCAACGACAACTTCCGCCGCGGGGAGCAAGGGCTCCTCTCTGAGATTCGCCGGAGGAAGCCCCCCCACTCTCAGCACCATCACGGCGGCAGCGGCGCCGGCGCCGGCGGTGGCGGCGGTGGGGCTCCCAACTCGTCCAGGGAGGAGGACCAGAGCTCAGCGTCGACCTCCTCGCCGCCTCCGCACCGCCTCCACAGGCTGTCGGAGCTTTCCGACGAGAACGAGAAGCTGAGGAGGGACAACGAGACCCTGAGCTCCGAGCTGGCGCAAGCCAGGGGACACTGCGCGGATCTGCTCCGCTTCCTCTCCAAGTACGTCGACCCCGCCGAACTTGCCATGGCGGGAGGGGATTCAGAAACCCCAGAAGACGAGGAGGACGGCAGCAGCCTGAGGCTGTTCGGCGTGTGTCTGACGAAGAGACGACGTTGTGACGGAGGCAGCGGCGGTGGCGGCAGCGGCGGCGGTAGCTCCGTCCTCAAGAAGATGATGAGTTTTGAGTCGCCGTGGGTGGAGCCTCTCTCTTCTTCTCTCGTTAAAGGGGCCGGTAGAACTTGAAAGTTGCAGAAAACTCCATAGCAGATGATTAGGTGATCTCTGGCGGTGGCCAAAGGAAAGGGGCGGCTGCCCAGGACAAGCGCACCCACCTTGGCCATCTCTGGTGTGTTTTGACTAAAGAATTAAAGACAAACATATCCATCTCCTTTCCTTGCTCTGTCGCCTTCTCTTGTGAACTCCCCACCTACAACTGCCGCCTTCTCTCATAGGCCGGCGTCAGATGGGGGGCAGCTGGAGAAGAAGTCCGATTGTCTTGGGGATACGCTGAAGGGTGAGAAGGTGACCCCTCCGTAAAATGGATTGTTATAGTTGTTACTTAGTCAACTATTGTATTCTTTTGTCAACTTTACCGGTGAAACATTATAATAAATATTATTTCCAGCTGAAAATTCTATTTTCCATTCGGCAAATGACTTCAAGTAGATCACTCAACACGAGGGCAATCTCATCTAAAGTGAAATGAGTGAGTGTGATTAATTTTTCAAGAAGCTAATAATTTTTACATAGACTGAGATTTAAGGGACAAAGGTGTCTACACCCTTGATTTACTTAGTGAAAATTATCAGATAGTGTGCATTATCTTCATCGATTAAAAATGTACCCAACATCAATTTTCTCATTTCTTTTCATTGTCCATATGATATACCCAATTTAATATAAAACACGATATTTACATGAATCCCACCTTACGTGTCTCATATAATGTATATGATTATGGAGTTCATTTTTTTTTTTAGTTCCTTCAAGTGTATTAACATCCAAATAAACTCTCATTATACGTATAATAAATAAGTAGAAAGATACCTTCTATTTCATCGATTAGCAAATGGTTATTAAAGGAATATATTACTTGCATCTTGTTTATTCAGTGGCTTAAGATTTTAGTGGCGATCCTCTTATCTTTCTCCATACATTGACGCCCACTTATGAAAGCTTCAAGATTATGGCACCAATGAGTTTTCATGAGCCCTTGATCATGGATGATAATAGATGTGTCAGCTTCTATATGATAGCATGTCACCAAGAGGAGAATGAATTAGTAAGTCTCCATTTAATATTTCCAATATACTTTATAATTTCATTATTTCCCATGGTTCTTAGAATATGGGCTGTTGTAGGGTGTATGACACCTTGCTTTATATTGGTTCGGTCACAAGACTTACTCCACTTTTAAACTACTTTGGGTTCCACTCATGCTTTAATAAAATACATGCTTAATTATCATTTTAATGGCTTTACGCACAGGATTTAATAGCTCCATTTAACTTGGTATTTCACTTTGAAATATTTTATTTGATTAAAAAATCTAGGGGGCCAAATAAGAGATTCTCACTTGACTAGGATATTCTCTTGTTCTTTGTCTTTCTCTCCTCTTATTCAATGTGAGTAAAGGCCTTTCTATATATATATAGAGTTTACTGGGCTGCACCTGATTTCTAAGCTAATAGCTGTCTCAATAGTCTGAAAAACATCACATCCTATGCTTCTATTTAAATTCTATAAATACATGTTAATATTGTAAAATCCATAATAATTTAATGCATTAAAAAAAAAATTATACAGTTTTTTTGTTTTTGTTTTGGGTTCCTCTTCAAAAGAGCTTTCAACGATTATTTAGTAAATAAACTAATATAGGAAATTCATTCTTTTAAGCTCATTCATAAATGATAACTATTTTTCCCTTTAATGAATTCCTGAATTAATTCAAGCTTAAGTATTAACTTTTCTATTATTGAATGACGTTTACCTAGAGTAGTCAAATCTTCCTAAATACTCAACCGTTAAGATCATCTATAAATAATTCTACTATTTTGGAAGTCACTAAACTACTGTTCTTGTCATCATCAAAAAAACTCAAACTCACCAGAGTTTTAAGGTGGGGACAAACTATCTCCACACTACTATATCCTGTTCTTAGCTATTTCCTTGTGAAGAGATTACAATAATTGTGTAAAAAAATAAAAAAAATAAAAAAATAATAATTAGAGGCATAAATTTTTTTATACCAATGTTTAAACATTTTACTAATAGACAATTAACACTCTTGAAATCCTTTAACTGGTATTCTAGTGGATATAAGTTTTCCTTTCTTCTCTTCACTCCTTCCTAAACAAACTAGACTGATAAATAAACATAGCATGCAATTAAAGACTTTCTTGAATTCATACATGTTAGATTTTATATGGCAGAACATTACAAAGATGGTGGGGGATGAATTGGTAAAGTCTTAATTTATTTTCTTCTTTCTTTGATTTCTTCTCCCTTCATAGTTCTTTGAATGCATATGATGAGATGTATTTCAAATACTATTTTTATGGTGCTTTAGTTACAAGACTTACTCCAAATTTTGAAGTATGGCATACAATGTTGCTTAGGTTTTTCACACCACCACCCATATTCTTCATCTTGTTGATGTGCTGGTAAAGTCTAAGCAATATTTCTCCATCCTTGAGCATTTACAAGTAGGGAAAATCAACTGTTACTCAAGACTTTGAAGACTCTTTCCTCACCTCTTCCTCTACATTAAACTTCTCTATCTATCAAAAAATCTTCTTTCAAGCATTTGTAGAGTTGTAAATTTCTTATTTTACTCGTATAAGTGAACACACTCATGGGAATATTAAAAACATGTGTTGAAAGGCTAACTAAAGCCTGTTTGTTTAGTCTAGGAGGATAAGACTTTGGACAAATCTATAATGCATGAAAGGGAGAGATAATTACATAAAATAAATAATATTTTACAGAAGAAAATAGTGAAACTGATGATTGATATCATGGAAGGTGGATGTAAGGCAAAAGAGATTCAAACACTTTAAAACTTATTGTTTATGTTCATTTAAAATAATATGCGTTGACCCACTTACCAAAACTCTCTTGATTTTTTTTTTTGATATTTTTTTCTTTAATTCTTCCTCATGCTCATTCTTTCATAGTCAGCAGAAGTCACTCCTCTTATAAGGGGTTTATTGGGCTGCTTTTGATATCCAACATAATGGGCCACCCTACTATCATCTAATAGTCTAATTTTGTCACATGTCACACTTAAGATTTTAACTCCATAAATAGTCAAAATATTGTAAAATTTTAGAAAATAAAATCAATGTATTTAATTTTTGCTGGGCAGTTTGTTACTAAAATTGTCAATGATATATTTGTGCAAGTTACTAAATAGCCTTTCACATATATTGTTATTGTCAAAATAACTTAGGCTCTAATAGTCTTCAATGTCTACCAATAATACCCTTTGAAAATTAATTTTTGACCAATTTTTTTTGCTAAAAATAAACGTACATATAGAAGACTTTTGGCATTGAGAAGATTTTTTTCCGAATAAATTTAAAATGAGCTCAATGATAGCTATTAAAGCCTATTATTGGTTGGTCTGAGACATCCTATTTTTGCATAAGAAATTTGAAGTTTCCCAATATCGAACATGTGCTTGAAGTTATGTGTAATATTTGGTATGGAATTGATGATTAATTGTACATCATTCAATGTCTTTTTGCAAAAAAAAGAAGTCAACCAATAGAATACATTTTGACTCCTCTCAAGCGAGTATATCATTATTTAGAAGGTAATTGAGTGATAATATGATTGGGTGTCCTTCAAAGTTTTTACTTGATCCATGCACAGAAATATAACCCCAAAAGTAGCAACTTTGACTCTCTCTTGCTTAAAATGGTTGAGAGGCTTGAATTTTTACAAGAACTCGTATAGGAGGGGAGGGGGGGCTTTGTCCTCCAATCGCCACCATCCGGTTGAGGGGCAGCCCCAACCTTGCGTAGGTCAACGGAGGAGGATAAAGGCGTGTCTTGCTGGGCCTCAACAACATCGCCTGGAGACCCAACTTTTGGGTCTCTCTTCTTGACTTCTTGGGAGACTACGTTGACCGGACCCAGGCTTTGGAACTCGACGTGTAGGGAGACATCATAGGAGGTCATCGAATGATGAAGACCAATAAACAATGGACACGTAAACTCGGGCATCTCCACCGTCCATAGGGAGACGTATATGGATGGGCCAGTTAGTCGCGGTTACGAAGCGGCTTCCCGGAAGTTGACTCCGAGAGAGCCCCCCCCACACGGCCGAATGGACCTGCCTGGAGAAACGGTCGAGCTCCGGTGAAATGTCGAGAGGAGAAGGCCAGGAGCAGGTGCCTTCTTCTCGCAGATTTCTTCGGTCCGTGCGTGTATAATCTTCCCTCTGATCTCGTTTTGAGTTCCGCATAGGGGAAGCCCGACCAGATCGGTCGCGGTTTTCCGCCGCGATCGTGTCTACGAGAGCCGCCGCCGGCTGAACTGTGGACAGGGGATGCGTTTGATGGCTTCCTCTGCTGCTCCCCACGTCGGTGGCAGGGTCGGGGCAAGGTGGAGATGGACGAAGCTACTGCCCCTCCTAGTGGCGATGGTGGTGGTAGGTGAGATCTGCTTCCTTGGCCGGCTGGACGTAGCCAAGAACGCTGCTATAGTCCAAAGCTGGACTACCTCCTACATCGCTTCCTTACCAATGCCCTCTTCCAAGAGGTCCGATGTCGGCAAGGAGGAAGAAAACTGTAGGGAATGGTTGGAAAGAATGGATGCGGTCCAGTACAAGAGAGATTTTCGGGTGGAACCCGTTCTGGTCTCTGACGCTGAGCAGGTTGGTATTTCTCCCTCACCATTGAACTTGTTCATCGTCCGTGGCAATTATCCTATAACTTGCATGCGCCAGGCAGAGAAGAAAATAAGAAATAAGAAACTTAGGATCGGAGGACAAATCTCTTCCCCTATGAAATGCCTACCTTTTAGGTGCCCGTTGGACGCCAATTTCTCTTCTTTTCTGGCAGGGCGTCTCTGTAGAATCTCTTTTGTTCATTTTACTAGTGAGTGATAATAAAACGGTGACTATTATCTTCTGTGGGGTACTGAACTTTATAAGAAGTACCAAGTTCCGATTCCTGAGGATGTACCAAGTTCCTCATCTGTCGTTGATCTAATTTTAATCATGTAATTGCCAATGATCCTTTTTTGCTTGTGGTAATTACGTATGCAAACTTGGCTGAGGTTGCTTCTGCGGTTCCGTATCACTGTCTCGGATAATAATAGGGATTAGTAACAGAGGATTAACTTTCATTTCCAGTTTGTGTCTTGTGTATTGACATGCTGTGGGATAGGCGCCCTTATATGGGGGAAAGTCGTTGTCTAGTTATCCTTTCTTGTTGGTAACAGATGGGTTTTTGTTCTCTTATGGACGTTTTCGTAATGTTCCCTTTAAAGCTTTAATTAAGGGGACTCTTTTTTGGTTTAATTTTTGATTTCTTTTTTTTAGGTATTCTGTCATAATAGGTGATAGGTGGGACTACTCCACATTTTCTATTAAAAAAAATATCAAAGGAGGGCACTAGATGTTATGACAATTCGTTGGGAAATGCTTCAAGCTTGGGTGTATGACATTCTATTTTTTCATCGAAAGGAGCATGCAGATATGTAATAAAATTCCAACTTTTGATTCAGAAGAATTAAATCAGATTAATGTTTAATATGTGCCAAATTTTTGGTATCATTATCAAATTTTTGGTTGCCAAATTCCAACTTTTGACATCATTCTTGCTTTGGTCTTGCGTTATTGGCTTTATTACAAATACACTTGATTGAAAATAAATTTCCTTTTAACACTAATACTGAATTGGATCTATAATTTTAACCTTCCCATTCGTCATGAAAAACAGTAAACTAATAAGATCTGATAGAGCTAAGAATCAAGATGAATACCATTTATATGAGTCTTTCAAGGGCATGTTTTAGGAGAGTTTATCCGGTAAGATCATTAACAGATGCCTTCGCAGTATAGAGCCCCTTTATTACACGCTTTATTTTCATATGGGAAACTGTGCCTAAAAGAAACAGAGATGAGCATCCTTTTTCATTGCTAGCACAAAGTATTCGTGCCTTGAAATGCTTTCAGTTATGCTCATGTATTTCTTAAGTGGTGAAACCTTTGCTGCATGACATTATAACTTAAGCAATTATTGGGGGGGGGGTTTCTTAAGGATATTCACAAGTATCAGCACAGTTATGAAATTAGTATTTTAATTTTATTGCAGTTTATGTTTTTGGAAGGGCTATGGAGATAAATAATGCCTTGTATTTCAGGATTGGAGTTCATGTTCTGTAGGCTGTAAGTTTGGAAAACAATCTGACAGGAAGTCTGATGCTACATTTGGTATTTCTCATGATCCATTGACATTCAGTGTCCACCGATCCATGGAATCATCACACTATTATTTGGAAAATAATCTTGAAAATGCACGACGGTGGGTAAGCATACTTTGAATTTTTTATGCTTTTAGTATGCAGGCCTCACAATTTTGCCTTGCAAACTTTCAGATTTTCATCTGAACAGAATTGATTCCCTGAACACTGAAATTTTTTGGGTACCCATGCATGAGGTATAAACTGATGATGGATAATTATAAAAACCATTGGTTTAATGAATAGCTTCACAAAATGAATCTTCGTGTTGTAGTTAAAAAAGTTCCTGTAGAAGAAATCAAAAATTATATTTAATAGATTTAGAGCAAAGATGCTAATTGTGCTCTGTGTTAAAGCCACACCACGTAGTTCGTGTAAAAGAGATATCATGACTACCAAATGTGTATGACGTCTTGAATTTGGAGCTGCAATCTTCTTCTTGATATTTAATAATATTAAAATAAATGGACTATGTTTTTTTTGAAAAGGTTGGTACCTTGGAATCCTAAAATAATAAAGAAGTATGCACAATTATGTGATGTTTTACCTGTCAAACTCCTGCCAATTGATGTAGCCTTGCACTGTCATTGTGTTTAGGCTAAAACTGAAGACCTATCTATCCCCGAGTAATATAGAGTGAATGTTATTCCGGATAATCACTGTAGCACCAAAACGCTAACATCCTGTTGTAAAATGTCCATCATGGAGATCATTCAATTTATGTTGAAGGGATCATCTACAGAAAATCTGATCAATTGTCAATGATGTCTTATGATCGTTTAACTTCTAAAATTTGTTTTAGTTTTTCCCTTCTAGATGGGCCATAGTGATGTTTATGGGAAAAAACCACCGTTCTGGATATTGATTTGTATGATAGAAGTTAGTCCGTCCATCACACCTGAATGGATATCTCTAAGCTTTTTTCAGGTTACTTTGATGAGTCCATTATTTATCAACAGATGATCAAAACATTCATGTTTCAAAGCACATAATATGTATTTACTCTTCATTGATTGACTGGACTTTTCAGTCTGTCCTACGTGGGAAACCTATTTAATAGAAATTTATATGAAAAATAATTTGATTTTTTTCACATAGGCGTCCTTGACAGTCCTTTTCTTGGAATGTATGACTGATACAGCAGAATGCTTTGATTAACATAAACTTTTCACTTTTTCCTTAAACTGCCTACCGAACCCACTGATCTTCCTAAAAAGTCTTGGTTTCCCATTCCTAAGCTGAAGGAACGACCGTGATTAGCAAATCGTGATAAGTTTCCGTCACATGGATTAAAGGGAGGCCTCTGCAACTAGCGTAGATGTTTCAATTAGAACATTTATGGTATTATTTTCTTTTAGCAATCTCAGCTCTGGGGATTTTATTTTCGTGTTGTTCTCCTACTCATATGATTACAATGGCTTTATTGGAAGGGTCATGCTTATTTACCTCAATAAATTTTAATTCTTACCCTAGCTGACTTTATCATAATTAAGTTTTAACCCCAACTTTATGCAGAGGGAACATATGACAAACTCATTCATGGAATTTGGAGTTGTAGTGGGTAGCTGAATCTATTGATTTGCCAACTTGATCCGGTCCAGGGAAAAGCTCAATTTAGTTATTAAATGAAAAAAAAACTGTAGCAGTTTATAAGTGTATACATTAATACATTAAGTGAAAGGCCAAAACCAAAATAAATATGTAATGATGCTTTAAGTGAATTTCGCATTATTATTTCAAAACCAGCCTTCTTGGTGCCCCTAAAATCTTGATCAGGGGCCCTCTGTCATTTTTGGAGCGGATGGAGCAGTAGGGGGCTTGTCTAGTGGGCGTTCTATGGAAATGATAAAGTATTTTTTGTTCTTCTTTATATTTTCTTGCTTTCAGAATGCAGACAAATATCCAAACGAGTATCTACTGCTGCCTTGGAGAGTGCAGATTGTACTTATTCTATTGAAAATTTGACCTTTCTACCCACTGTTAGAAATTTCTGACTTCAATAATGGGTTCTGATGGTTTAATCTTTGGGAGGAAGTTCTAGATGTTTAGTAGGAAATTCAGCACATTTATGACTTATCATATGAGCAATCTGTTTTTCCCTTAAGCTTTGTTAAACAGTTCCCCAGGTTTCGAATGAGTATTGCCCCATGCCATCACATAGTGAAATTAGAAAATCTGATCTGCAGGCATACTAAGTCCAATTATCACATCTTTACTTGAATTCAGGTGGAATAAAAGGTTACTTTTCTTAAACATATCCAGCTCATTGGTGGTGGCCATTCTATAAGTGGCCCTGAAGCCTGTGTATGGCCCCTCTGCAGTGGGGATAAGCTGCTGGTGAATATTGAGGACAGTGCTGGCTTCCTTCAATAAGAAATAGGACGCTATTAACATTGAATGCTGTCTATAGAGGAAATTATTATCCTCCAGGAACTCAAACTACCAGTGTATGGCCCCCATTCAGAAGGTATCGACTCCCATTTTCTCTCAAAGCCACGGGTTTGAGAGTTTCCTCACATGGCCCGTGAGAGGGAGCTACCCATGATGTTCCTTAAGGTCACAAACTCTCTCTCTCAGATATTATAGTTGTGGATAGTCTGTGTAATGTACCAGGAAGACCAGCAACCTCAATGAGGCCTAAAATAGGCCATTCTTATGAAAGAAACTTAATGAAAGAGACTCCTCTTAAAGATTTAAGTTGTGTATCCGAGGTTAAATTAAAATCTCAAGAATTGAAGTCAAATAGAGTCTTCTAGTTTTCGAAAGTTAGGTGATCCTGTTTCCACTGGGCTAATTAAAAAAATTGGGAGACTTGGAGACCTTTCCTAAGTGTCTCTTAGGTGACTTATTGTAGCAGTACCAATGAAAATTTCTGGACACTAGTAGAAGTGCTAACAATGGGGAATTATAGAGAGTCCGTGAAACTCTTTTGCAGAATTCTGTCTGGTTTTCAAAATTGTCAAGTGATCATAGTTTGTCTCCCTCTCTAACTGATTGCTACTCGTCTTCTAAGTCTTCCCCCTGCCACTAGATCTGGCTGCTGCCATCCAACTCATGGTTGTCCACGTCCGTTTGTCAGAATTTTCTCCATTTTTGAGTCTCCTTTTGTCGTTGAGGATCTTCTGCGTCTTCATTTGGTCGTATCATATTCTTGTTCCGTGCCTTCGTTTTGCATTGACCTTGGTTTCCATAATCTGTTCCTTCTGACCTCTTTCTCATGTGTTCTTCTTCTGTTCTTAGGTCTTCTAGTTACATCAGTTTTTTTGCAGATATTTGAGAGGTTCTCATAGTCTACGTGGTAGTTGCAGAACTTCGTGGTGCTCTTCAAGTTTTCATACTCAGTAGATGGCCATTTTACCTTGTTTAGGGAAACCCTTCTGGTCTAAGTCCTTCACAAAGCTTATCATGATATCTTTCATATGGATTCCTATGGATAGGCAAATTCCTGCATTGATCTCCATAAATTGAAATAACTTTAGATTAATAATTTATTTTGTCAGATATCTATTTTATAGTAATACTGCTATTGTTTACCTTACCATTGAAGGCCTACCTCTTGTTCTCTCTGTCAATGTTATGTCAACAGTTACTGCTTTCCTACAGGCAATCTAGTTCATGCAGTTCCTCTATAGTTGAACCTGGAAATCCTTGTGGATTCGGTGTTGCAAATTCTCTGTCTATACACTGCTAATCGTTTTATTTTGTTGTTTGTCAGTGTGTGCTGCATGATATTGAACACTTCTCTTTGCCAACCGATTATAACTTTGCAATGATGTGAGCTTCAGTGTCCAGACACAATGAAAAAAATGAATGCATTTCAGACTTTGTTTTCAGATGTATATCGAACTTTATAGTTAACATCTATAAATTTAATGCATAATTTTGATATAAATATATTTTGGAGATATACTTTGATAACACATCTAGTTGGAAACTGATCAACTTTTCTTGCGTTTTGTTTCACAGGAAAGGCTATGGGATTGTGATGACCACTAGTCTCTTGTCGGATGTGCCTGTTGGTTATTTTTCATGGGCTGAATATGATTTAATGGCGCCTCTTCAACCAAAACCAGAAGATGCATTTGCTGCTGCTTTTATATCTAATTGTGGAGCCCGTAATTTCCGCTTGCAGGCCCTTGAATTGCTCGAAAAGTCAAATATTAAGATAGATTCTTATGGTGCTTGTCATCGCAACCGAGATGGTAAAGGTATATTGGAATATTATTGCATCACTTGTAGTTGGTTTATGGATTTTTTAGTCTTATTTCTTGGCAGGGTATTTGCCGAGCATAAATACGAACATTAAAGCATACCTACGTCATTAATATGACAAATCATATGGATCACACGTCCTTGGATAAGGTGTCGTGTATAACGTGCATAACCGATATTTATGTTAGTTGTTGCTGCTACTTTCATGCATTAAACTGTTGTTCAAAGTTTATTGGGCAGAATGCAATTGTCTGTTGCCTGATAAGATGGATGTAATATTTTTTGGAAATGTTGTCTCAAGAAATAAGTTCTGAGAGCTCCAGAACTGGTGTAGTTGGATTTTTGGTGCAGATTCTCGTAAGTATGTTCTGAAAAAGCTTGATGATGCATGTTCTGTTTAAGCCTTCAAGACATTAAGGACACTCTCGTGGGATTTTTTATGCATTTTTGATATTTTGAATTTCAGATTCAGCAAAGTGTGCCAGGTGAGCTGTGATGTATTTTGTTCCTGGTATAGTTATGACGTTGCGAGAATGAGCCAAACTTTTGAGGGTGGGCGTTGGTGATAGTAGCACAGAAATTTCTTGGCGTATGTCCTGTCGGTGCACACTTGTTAAGTTCGTGTGGATGCAGTATATTTGGGATCTACAGAGCATGAGTTTCTATAGTAGTTTGGGAAATTGTCTTGCAGTTCATTTGCACTTCTATGCTAGTAGAATTAAGGCCTGCATTTTAGTTGAGTATAGGTGTTACATGACCCTTTTTGATAAGACATTAAGAGGTCAGATTTCCATCTTGTGGAGGCTGAGAATTAGATAGCACTTGTTATGGAGAGCATATAAACCGGAGAAATTCTCGCTGGAGTCAAACTCGAGTATTCTCTGCATGTAGGTTAATAAGTAGGCTCTAAATAAGGTAGTATTTTACCTGAAATCATGGATTGAACTTTTTTAAATATGATCTATGTGAGCATTTCATATTTCTGTAATGAGACAAAAGGCACTACGTTGATATAAATATCCATATCAAATGGTAGATGTCCTGTCATATTTATTTATTTTAATTTTCTCCATCCCTTTACCTTTTTTTTAACATCTTTTATCTAACAGTGGACAAGGTACAAACTTTGAAGCGCTATAAGTTCAGTTTAGCTTTTGAAAATTCGAATGAAGATGACTATGTCACTGAGAAGTACTTTCAATCACTTGTTGCTGGTAAGTTGGGTCTGATTTTCTTTACAGGAGCTAAATTATCTTTATCAATAGTGTTTTATTATGGGGTTCGTTTTTCTGCCTGATATTCAGATTTCTTAAAATATGGTCTTTGGTTGAAATTTTGAACTGGTTTGTACATCTTATAACTATATTCACTTTTCTACGATTCTTATTGAACACTACTTCCGTTTTAATGTACTTTCAGGAGCAATTCCTGTTGTCGTTGGTGCTCCCAACATTCAAGATTTCGCGCCATCTCCTGGTTCAATTTTACACATCAGGGAGCTGAAGGATGTTGATTTAATTGCTGCGAGAATGAAATTTCTTGCTGCAAATCCGGAAGCATATAACCAGTCACTGAGGTTTATTTCCCATCTCATTCGTATATCACTGGTTAGAGATGATGGTCAATCAAATAAACTCAGCACACAGCAAAAAATGAACTGCCTTCCAGAAGGGGTTTTCTAAAATCTTGCTGCTCCCATTGCCTTCCATAGGTGTATCAGTTCAAGTATCTTATGCACAAAAGTTCAATTCCAATTCCAAGATTGTAGTGAATTGGAATTGAAATGTTCATGATTTGTTGAATTTCATTACGACTTGAGTAGACATTTTTTGATGACTTAGTTGAGATTCTTGGAATTCGTCCCGTTGCTTTCGAGGTTGAGTCTAATTATGTAAGCTATACTCATGCTAAGTCCTCATGATACTATAAATAATAATGTAGAGTTTTTGTCTTTTACAATACCACAAATGGCTCTCATCCATTGGTTTAATGGTACATTAACTGGCGCTTCTTAGGCTTATTTAGTTGGTATGATGTTTGAAAGTGAAATTTCCCGTTAAGATTTTCTAGGGAGGAGATTTTTCACTGGCTAAGCAGGACTAGGTAGGTTACTGCATTATTCAATGGTGACGATAGGGGGATCTGTTGAAATTATAAGTGACTTTTTAAGTGAGACTACTTACAACATTGCTCATTTGACATATTAAGAACAAGTGAAGTTTGACATGCGACCCCTAAATTTATAGGTTGGGGGTTGTTGACCTTTGCTTGTGACCCAGTGAGATTTAAATGACGATTATGGCAGTGTTGATTCGAGATATATGTAGACTATGAAGGGTGCTAACCCTAATTTTCTTGGTTAAGAATTAGAAACATTTTCTTGTGGTCTAGCATCATGGAGGTCGTCAATTTTCTTCAAAGATGATGAATAGTGCGGTGGAGGTTCAAGGAAAGTCTAGCCGAAGACTTGAAAGAAACGGATCAGTCAGATGGTAGAAAAGGAGCTAAGATGTAACCTAATGCTCCGATCTCATGAGATTAAATAGTGCTGAAGGGACAAGAGACGGCAACAGTTTTTTCTTGAGTTTCCTGAAATGTAATTCCTTCTAGGGGTGAAACAGAACTGGAATGGAGGGAAAATTTCCCCTAGTCTGTTACAACGAATACAAAAGTTATCATATACGTTGAACTGTTGATGTATTTTATTGATTCAAAACATGGCCAATTTCGCTCCTTGTGCATCGGAGTATGGAGTTTGTTATGGTATCATGTAATTCCTTGATCGACTTGTGCGACCACTTAGTTCTTGGAATGCTGTATAAAAATAGTTTTTCATTATTATTCTTGTTTATGATCTTTCCATTTGAGTTATTTGGCCAGAACGACTTCCAGTTAATAAAGGAAGTCAGTTTGCTTAGAATAATGAAGATCGGATGCTGGTGTCGGTGGTTGGGGAGATGGCAGTATACTCTTTTGAACGGATAGGGGACGAGAAGTGGATGGCTGTGGTGTAGTAGCTAGGCATGGCTATTGTGATTATTAAGGCCTAGAATCAAAACTCTTGTTGCAAATGATATTTCTTTATATCCGTCTTCTGCTGGTGCCTTTGTCCATGCTTGTAGCGTTTTTTATTATTTATCTGCTCTCAGATATTTTCTGTCATTGCGTAAAATACTTGGGCTAATCTGTAGGAGCTACGTCAGTTATTTTATGGAAGACAATCCTCTGCTTTCTAACTTACTAACGAAGGTTGACACTTCACCAACACAGAGGTTGACATAGGGTTCTTCGTTGACTGGCATACGCTGTCATTCTGTGGGAGTTTCCAAGATCCCCGAACCTGTTCTCAATTGATCGAGTGTGGTGCTGTTATTGCTTGTTAATACAAAAGTAAGCTGTATGGCAAACCTAGAGCAGATCAGATATTCAGTTTTCCTTAAAACAGAATGAAGATTTCAATATTGTGATTTTTCTCGATTGCATAAGAACAGTGGCTCTTTAGGGAAGTCACTGGTGAATAATGTCACTCTGTTTCCGCTGTTCCCAAACCGCTGTTCCAAGGAAAGCTGAATAAAGATGAAGAGAAGCCTCCAGAGGGCTTATCTTGCTGAACACTTTGACAGATTCGTTTGGTATTTTCTTCCCTGATTTTGGGAAAGATGGCAATCTCATTTGAAATTGAAAATCGAGGTTTGTTTTTCCAGAGAGATAATATACTGCAATCATGAACCGTTGCTTTCGAACTTCCCCAGATCCTACAAAAGGTTTTAGTAGATTTAGGGTATCTAAAACTGAAGATCGTTGAAAGAATGGGGTTATGAGTCAGGCCTCTCTGCAAAAACACTTCTGTTCTTCTGGATCTTGTACGCATCTATCAGACAGGATTACTCTTATAAGCTAGACAAACTTCTTCTTTCTGCTTTCCGGGTCGTCGAATGATGCGTTCGGCTATCTAAAAGGATGTGTCTTTCAGGTGGAAGTTCGTGGGCCCTTCTGCTTCCTTCAAGGCCCTCGTGGACATGGCAGCAGTGCACTCTTCTTGCCGTCTCTGCGTTCACATTGCAACGAAGATCCGAGAGAAGGAAGAGCTGAGCCCCGATTTCAAGAGGCGCCCATGCAAGTGCACCCGCAAGGGGGCTACTCTGTATCACTTATATGCCAGGGAAAGAGGAACGTTTGACATGGAATCGATCTTCCTTCGGTATGCGCCGCGAGTTCCTTCTGTTCTGGGCCCGTCACAGCCTTTTTATCGGAGATATTCTTTCTGAATGGTTTTGATGATCCTACACATTTCTCTTGATCCTTTCCCATTCAACTCTCCAAGTCGTCTTAATCCATCTCAGTTCAAACGCTCCTGCTGATCTTGGTTTCTCTTGTGATGGTGACAGATCGGATAATCTGACCTTGGAATCATTGGAGTCAGCAGTCCTCGAGAAATTTGGGTCACTCAAGTACGTGCCCATCTGGAAGAAGGAGAGGCCAGAGAGTCTGAAGGGAGGAAGGGAGCTGGTGGTTTACAGAATCTATCCGGTGGGCATCACCCAGAGAGAAGCGCTGTACTCGTTCCGGTTCAAGACAGATGATGAGCTCAGAAGACACGTCGAAACGAACCCCTGCGCAAAGCTCGAGGTTATCTTTGTCTGACGATGGGAGTGGATTGGGTTGGGTTGGGTTGGGTTGGGGGGAGGATTCAGCCGTGGCTGTTTATCTTTTCGTTCCAAGTTTGGACCAGAGAAAAGCTCAAATTTTTGCAGTGTTGAGGTATGTACGGCTTCGCGCGGTTTTTGATGGGATAATCTTGGCTTTCATGCTTCTCTCTTTATTCGAGTGAGAAGTGGTCAACCTGCAATGAAGAAGGAAATCGGTAGTTCTCTTCTGTTTTTGAGGTGCCTGCCCTGGAATACTTCTTCTCTGTGAGTAAGATTAATGCATGGGACGGTGGAGTCAAAGGAGAAAAGGCTCATACTGTGACCTGCATGGGTGCCTGAGGGAACGCCACCGGGCCTGATAACTGCTGGTTAGATGTTAAGTAATGGCCTTCAAAGTATGCACTGTGGAAGCAACGATGGAGCTGCAGATGTTACAGTAGATTGCCAATATGCATGAAACCTCGTCTCTTCTCTCTCCCCCTCCCTCCCTCTTCATAGATTCATTTCCCTCTCGACGTTTTAGAGTGAAACCATTATGTGATGTTATAAATGTGTTAACCTTTTTTGTCGACATTCTCATACCATTTAGGGTTGAGAAGTTCTTTAAACCCTACGTTTAAAAACTATGGTCTTAGTCGAAACCTTATAGAAAAGGGTGGAGAAGCTGAATAGATTCACGTACATAATCTTTTGGGTTTTTGGAAAAAGTTAAGGCTTGTGCTTTAGTATTTATTTCATATATATGTGGACTCGCTTGGCAACAATTTTTGATATGCCTTGTTGGAATAGTAAACCGTTGTACGACTTTTCAGTGACATAACAATAAAGTTCTATCATAAAATCACACTTAATGGACAAGGTTAAATGATAACTATTTACTATTAGTTAAACTTTAAGAGAAAAAGTGCCTAAAACTATTGCTTGGTAATGAAAGCGAGGGATATCCTGGTCTTTGAATGCTAAAAGTAATTTAAATTGAAAATAGGTCTGTTGTTACTTGTATTACGTTGACTATTAGATTGTAGAATATTAAATTTCTTGTAACGTAGTGATAAGTTCAAAGGCAAAATAAAAAATATCACGTTGATATGATAATTTATACATTTTAAGTATTAAATATCTCAAAATACCTATCTTATTGGAATTATTATAAATATTAAATAGTTTTATGTTATTTTATTTTGAGGTATCACCAACAGTCATTAGTGGACCACTCTAGCAAATCACCTACTTTTTAATTTATCTTAGCTAACACTATAGCTTAAGAGGGTTGTAACTAGGATTACTTTGTATTTCTTTTTCTTACACCCATTGAAAAAGAGCAATAAATATTTAAAAAATAATTTATAATTGGCTGGTCAATTAATTTCAGGCATATTCCACACTCTAAGGAAAAATTCTGATTTCATCAACTTACAAGTAAAATAGCGTCAACTAGCCTCCATGGTATATCCAAGAGTTAGAGAGCCTTTATTCTAGGTACTGTGGCTCTAGTTACCAACTGTTTAAGATATCAAGCCTCAACGAGCCTCTGGGTTTAGTTTCGCGGTTTCAGCAAGCTTTAAATGAAGTTAAGAACAATGTACCATTTTTACAATCAACCTGTAGCTTCCTTTGCTTGAAAACTTTACGTTGTCTTGAATAAGCATCTGATGTATGATGTATAAATTGAATGCTTGAACACCATTGATTTTCTCTCTTTTCGTACTCAGGGATGAAGATCAAGGACTCGTAACTCGTTGGAGGAAGAAGTTGGGTTGGAAACTCTCTCTCTCTCTCTCTCTCTGTGCTTTTTCCTTCTATTTCGTTCAAATCCTAATTTGGGCTGAAACATCCCTTTTATATTCAGCATATTGGGTGACCAACGGCTAGATAACGGTTCATTTTGGGTGACGTCCGCACTACAATTGCAAAATAATTCTTTAATTTTGTAAACATCATAATAATTCAAAATATTAGAATTTTGGCACGATGTTAGTTGCATCGTATTCTTCTTCCAATTAAGTTTCCATCTAGTACTCGCATGTCTATAGTATGGTACCCACTTGCATTCAAAAATCATTTTAATCATATAGATTACGAATATGAACCATTTATCCTTTGTTTAATTAAATCAAGCTGGTATGAATGAGGAGTATGAATGTTATATGATTTAGATAGATCATTTTAATCGTATAGAATATGAATATTAGACCAAGTGAATTCCAGTTGATTTAGTTATCTGATTTAATTTTTAGAAATTTACGCTTTGTGGGTAACATAAAATTATCATCTTGATATTTGTTATAATACCCTTTGTCATTGTCAAAACAATTAAGTTTCTCAAAACCAAGACTACCATTGGTTTCAGCTGGGAAAACACTATATACCCAAGACTTGAATTCCCAACTAGAAACATGTGGTTTCCCCCGCCACACGTCCGCCACCAAAAGAAGCAAAAAATCTCTTCCTTCTGAAGCCTAGTGAGAGGCAATATGCTAAATACGGATTATTGACTTGAGAGCAGAGCATGATATTCATGATATAGACATGTGAGTGCGGACAGCCGTGAGCGCATCATCCTTGTTCGGGTGCCATCTTATCTTCCCACACATGTGGCGAATGGTCAGCCACTATCGAACAGATTTTCCGGATCTATGTTCACCAGTCCCAACTGGACACAGCTGAAAATGGAGTGGCACCCGTTCTTATGCGGAAAATCTTGAGCCAGATGTTGATGCAGCCAGGTCGTCTTTTACCCACAAAGATTCTTGGGTTCAGCCTAACTACACGCGGCACGAAGAGATTCGTCTAGATCTCTGCTTTTTTCGCAGTCTATGGGGCATATATCAGGATTCGATTTCGCCTTCTTACGTTGAAACAGATAAATCTAAAACCTGTACCAGTTCACGTGGTTGATCCTCGATCTACTGATGGCATATGCTGCCTTCGACCAAGAGTCTTGTCGTCCAGATACCTCGCGGTAGGAATTTGATCCGATGGATGCAAAAAGGAGGGGGAATATTAACCTTAAACATGAGCGAACAATCCATAATCTGCATGTTCTACCTCATATAGCTATATATAAGATATTATTATTTCATTCGTTACTTCAATCAGGAGCCTGATGATTGTTGATATGCCGTGAGTCACTGGTGAAGCCGAGGAAGAAATCTCAGCGCCCGATTCGCAAGGAAGTGGGCAAGGAATCGCTCTCAATTATGTCGAAAGAGGGGATTGGGTGGCTGTGATTCACACAGAGAGGGACAACGTTTCCATGGCGGCCAGCGGAAATCGTCCCCCCTTCTCTTCGCCATCATTACCTGAAGGCTCTTGTTCGGCCAACTCGCCAACGCCACATCCCCAAGAAGACACCACAAGGAGAGTCCGACGTCCTAAGGCGGCCGACTGGATAAGATTTTTCGTCTCCGATTTCCTTAGAACAGATGATATCGTACCGCACTTCACTGGATTTCCCTTTTTCTGAGGCTCCTCGTTGTCTCATATGCCGTGTGGAATCTCTGCGCCTTCCTCACTGTCGGGATGGATAAAGACGGCGACTAGGTACTTGCGGCCAGAGAAGTGAAGAGGCCTATCCAATGGTAATATATATACAAAAAACATGATAACATGTGCTGAATTTCGGGTACAAATTTCTTCACCATTTAGGGAGTAGATAGATCAGATGCCTTCTATTCTATTGTGAAGAATTCAACACCCAATGGAGAAAAACTGGTACAATGATTGGCATGGGATGCTGGGAAGCGCACTGAGGCAGCACTCCGTGGTCGCTGAAGATCAGCATGCAACCTAGAGAGTGATTACTACAGAGAGTTGTTGCGTCCTCATCTTGCCGTTCTTTTTCCTCCTGTCGTATCAATCATTGAATGACACGAGGGACGGGTTCGCTGAGGAGAATGCGCAACGTGTTACGCCTGAGTCGAGCCACCAGTACTGTTCCCTTTGTCACATCAGTGAGATGTCTATTTCCCGCACGCCCCCGCACTGTTTCTTCTAATCCGCAGCCGAGGGAAGGTGTGGGCCGTCCTGTGCCACGGATGCGTTTCTCTAGAAGCAGTAGAGAGGAGTCCACAGAGAGGACAAGACTCTTACGACAAGAGAAGATAAATGTGTAGAGCGAACGTGTGTGCTCCCTACACTTCTATTGACAAGATAAAAATGTAACGGAAGAACAAAATGGGTGTCCCAACCTCTCTCAATGATTGAACTGGAGTAATATCAAGAAGATTCCGTCTACAAATCCAACTCTCTGTCGGAGACGGACACCCACTTTTGACGTCGAGCGCCGATTTTCACCTCGAGGAAGAACGAGGCTTCGCCTTGGATGGCCACATGTCCTCGGGTTTAAGTAATTCAACGACACGGATGGTCAACAGTTGGTTACGAATTGCCGGCTCTGGCACGCACCAAGAATTCCCTCGAGGGGGAGGTCGACCGGTGCGAGCTCGAAGGGAGATACACTCCGGAAAACGATGCGAAGCATCTCCACATCGACGAAGCCCTCTGAATCACAGACTCCGCTCAGAACGAATGCCGTGAACTTTTTCTTTCGGACCGGCGCCGAAAGTACGATGACGAAGAGAGTGCTAAATTCCGCATACCCAACGGATAAAGTCAGGAATAAATACGTCCACATGGAGAATTTAAACGAGTGATGGTGCCGCGCTTCTCCTTTTCTTTCAATTTGAATGCGTAGAATCATGGGACGTGGACGTGGCTGCGCGAAGCAGAAAAAGACGAAGAGATATCAAGCTTTGAACAGGTGTGATTACGGAGGATAAAACCAGCAATACTGTAAAACCGTAAAGAATTAAGTGGAAGAGAGAGAGAGAGAGAGAGAGAGAGAGAGAGAGAGAGAGAGAGAGAGAGGCACTGAATAGTGAGGATCTCTGGATTTTGTCAAATCTTCCAGAGGACAGAGTGCGGGATCCACGAAGGCGACGGAGAGATGCTAGCGACCTGGGAAACCCTGGGTTTCCACTACAGGCGCCGCCGGAATCCTTAGCAGCCTGTGGCGACAAATTTAATACCGTCGTTTAGGGCCAAACCCCCGGCATTTCCCTCCATTCGAGCCGCCGGAATCAAGTCGTTCGTCGTTGTACTTCAGTGAAGAACGTACTCGTGAAGTCGTAATACTAAGCGGATAGCTGACGTCACCCGTTAGTGTGACGTCATAAGGGCAATGTCCACATGCAGGTCATTTAAATACTCATCGACCTCTGGTCAAAGAGTTGACTAGAAGACAAGGCCGACGGCATGGGGTCTCATCTCGTGTTCATTTGTTTCGTCTAGCATCTTTAAATAAAAGCCATACCTTTGCCTACGCGGCATAGACAGTATTCTGGGTAGAATCTAGTTGACATCCGTCCCGATTTCACGTTCATGATGCTTGAGCGGGTAATCTTCTGAAAAATTTGACTGTGGTTTCAACTTTACTCAGCCTAGTTGGACTGCATTAATATCTGAATACTGCCATAGACAATACATTCCGATACTCCAAGTTAATATGCTTTGTGCCCTGAAATCTTGCTATCTTGTTTGATACAATTCTGTATTTAATCACAAAATAACAAGTCTACATTATAGAATTCCACAATTTCATATAGCTGTCTAGGGAATGTATACGGATTGAAGGTGGCTGAGATGCGTCAGCAGTCTACCTCCCACTTCAACGTCTAGTCATGGGTGCTCATTAATGGCTGTCTTCTCAAACATTGGGACAATGATACATTGATGATGACAAGTCATTGATTGATAGAATTAATAGAGGGTTAGTAGTTAAAGATATGGAATAATGATGTTATATATAAATTTTATTTTACAGAGATTAATAAAATAACTATTAAGAAACCCATACTCTAAAATGATGGTCTTGCTTTTGGTCAAGTTCTTAGAATGCCGCAATATATTCTTCTTTATATACCTTTACTCTTTTCTTGGATTTACTGTCTACATGCTCACAACAAAAATGTGAGCTAGGGATATAATTCGTTTTTTTATGGTGACGTGATGGGCATGCATGTATGTTGTGTCTAGGTTTGTTATGAGGATGTGATATGTTACATTGAGCAATATGAGTGTCATTGATAGGACACCATGAATATACATTTTCCATTTCAAATAAAATTAGGTACCTAGTGATTAAATGGACAAAAAGCAAAGCATATGAATTCGTGCAATATTTGAATTCCAATTTAGAGATACTTAGAACTCACACACCAATTTATCACTCTGCTGATTGAATTTCCCACCATGCCATGGCATATACATCATGATATTTTTTCTTTAGATCAATCAATGATGAGTCCATTTTTTCAACGTGAGGGAATATTGAAAGTATCCATATTATTACTCTATCATTTGGCATATGCATTGTTGTGACTAACCCACTCCCATGCATACGTTTTCCACTTGCAATGAACCACATTATTTCATTTTGGAAGTACAATTTTCAATCACTAATTTCATCTCCTTTTTAAAATCAATTTACGATGAGATTTTTTCTAATATAGGGGTTCAAATAACCATTTTCACATGGTAAAATAAATGCATAAGTAAATCAGTTCATGTCACACTCTTGATGACTCGTTCTGTCTTTCCGCTAGTGGGTTGAGACTCACTGGATTGTACTGGTTGCAAAACGTATATTCAAACAAAAATAGTTTAGAGATTTCTTTTGTTTGTTTTCACCTCTTCCCAAGAATAAAATGATGCAAGTGTCACTTTGGCTGACTTATATTCTTCGATAGGATACAAACGCACACATTAAGGAACTTGACGTTGTGGAACATCATCTTCTTACTTGACCCTCACATCTAAGCTGGGAAAACGAAAAATAACTGTTGGCTATTAGGTTTAGTTATTCTATAAGTTTGATTCTTCCGGACGGTACAACCAGCACAAGTCCAACTTGGCGGTCAGAAGATCCTTGATTCATAAGGTGTGACCATCTTCATTTGACTGAAGTTTTCAGGCAGGCCCATCGCGGAGTCAATTATTATTTATATTTGGCAGGATAATAAATCTTCGGAGTTAGAGTATGCCAAAAAGGGGAATGTTTGGTCCGTAGGTTTGGACGCTTTATTCCGCTGATGAATGTCGGCAGGTAGGTCCACCTATCTCTGACTATAAACCGAGGTAGACAGTGTTTCCTAATTCTAGTTTTTAGTTGATATCTCATACTTTGTCTTGAGCCATAACCGTCTCATCTTCACACAGTATGTAGGTCGATTCTGGCAGCATTTTTGGAGAGCTATCCCAGGCTAATCATTTGTGTCTTCATCATCGGTCAAGTTCAGTGCTGTTCCTCCGTTCTGCATTAATCATGGGATCGTCAGTTTCTAATAATAATAATCACTATTATTATGATTTCTACCCATCGTGAGAACTCATTTCGTCTGTTAGAAAGAAATTTTATTACTATTAATTCCCACTATAAGTGAGCGGTTTAGGGGCGCGTTAATTTGAGTTGATGCGGGGTCCCCAGTCCTCGATGGTCTTCCACTGCCCTCGTGTGATTAATTAATTTTTTCTTTTAATTAAATTTCTAACATTAGTTTTCCCATTAATGCTTTCTTGCAAAGAGGAAAAATGGGATCAAGTTAGGATGAGGTAGCGTATATATTCTACCATACACGTTGGTTACTAAACTAAACAGCCTTTCTTACATGTAATCTATAAGAAACCTTGATCACCCAGAAATGTTTCCACGAAAGAGAAGGGTGGGATACTAGAACCTTTATGGTATGGCTGGAGGAGACGCCAAACGAGGTCATCTCATGGGTGCCCGTTTCGCACGCGCAAGTAGAGCGTCGTACACCGCCCATCAGGATCATGGTGAAGATGGGAAGCCTGAAGAAGGTGCAGCGTCCCTTGGAGGCCTGCAGATGCAGTCGATGTTCCGTCGACGTTCAGTCGTGATTGTCCTTGTTTAGACGAACCGGACGGTGCGTGGCATCTTCCCCGTTCCTCGCCGATGCCCTCACAGCTATGGCACAGGAAAGGATCGCCGGTTAGCCTCACGTAAAGTAGACTCCCGTGATCCCCTCTTTCCATCAAAGATGATGAAGGGCTGTCTTTATTGAAGAAAATCCCTTTCCCGGGAGATCGCCTGGATATGGGAGGGATATCAGTGCCTCCAGCAGCCATTCTTCTCCGGCCCCGAACCCGTTGGCGTTGACGGCGACTACCACCTGATTTGACGAAGCCCTCACCGGAGGGTCTCTGGCCGCGTGGTTCATGAAGGTTGGCACGTGTGCACTAAATACATAATTCGGAGGACCACGCACGAGTGATGCCACAACATGGTTGCCTGCGAAACGTTCGGCCGACGGAGTTAAGGCCATTGAGAGGGACGAATGACTCCCAAATGAACAAAGATTAGATTAAGATCGACTGATTATGTGCATATGGTAAACAGATTAATCATGCTGCGGCCATCATAAGCATCTTATGGAGCAACTCTTCAGACGTGAAACTCGCTTCTTCATCACGTCTCCAGTAAAATATCAGCACAATCATATATAAACCTTTTGATGTTAGCGGATCGGATATAAGATTAAGATTGACTGATCAACTCGTAACGGATTGGTAACTTAAAAACTACGAAATCATTTGAAATGCTAGAGCTTAAGCAACAAAAGTTTGATCAAACTACGGGCTTTGGACTGAGTTGAGCGGGACCACCTACTCTCATTCAATAGTGAAGTACGGGATGACCAACGATTAAGTCGGCTGATAGGGCCACTAGTTGAATGAAAAATTAGCATTTTATCTAAATTTGTAAGATTTTAATCGAAGTTATCCCGAATTTTGACCTCAACTGTTCACGAACCACTACGAATTTACAAATGAGCCGGTAATCGTACATAAATTCATTACTGACGAGAATCTGATCCCGTGGAGATGGGGAATAAGCCATCTAAATTGAATTTCATTTACAACTGGTGATCAAATCATGCATTAAAAAAATGGTGCTTCGCAACTATCTTCATGTGTTCGTTTTTAGAAATTTAGGGTCATCAAGATCAATTGTATAGTAATACTTTGACGGAGTATTTTGTGGTCACACTGCGCCCTCTTTACTGAAGACCAGTCGTTAAATTTCAGAAAATTTGGGGGGGGGGGAGGGGGGGAAGGGTTTGAAATTTTTTCCGATATTTTGAGTCTCTACACGAAGCCAGTTGGCCGTTGGTTAGGAAACTCCAATTAAATAATCATATTCAGGGTAATAAATTCAATTATTTTTAAACCCAGAAAAGGTAGATTAATAAGGCAATTATCTCCAGGGGTTGGGGGGAGGCTGGTGGATGACGATCAACTGGCTAAATCAATTTTCATACCTTCTTGCGTCTGCGATAGTGGAAACAAAATAAATGGGATTACGGCTGCGTTCCTCCACACGGCACGGGCCACAGGGACAGGCGGGGAGGGCCCCGCACACGTGTGGGGCCCTTCGAGGCGAAGCCCAACGTGGCGGCTGGGTCTGAAGATAGAGAAGAGTAAACTATGAGCTTGCCAGCACCGAGTGCCAGGCCTTTAAAATCTTCAACGTATAGGCGCCATGTGTGTGGGAAATGCGGTATCCCCGGTCTGCCTCGTGGACTTTTGTCACAAATTCTCTAGCCACCCTTTCGCCTCCTCTCTTCTCTCTTCTCTCTCACTGTTCTCTCCCTCCCTCTCCCTATAAATATAAACACCGCCCCTCCCCTATTCCCCCAATTCAAGCAAACTGAGACTACCACTTCTTCTCAGGTCGTCCAACTCCCTCCCCGCTTGCCGTCTCTCAGAGACCATCCTCAAGAGATGAGCCATGGGTTCCCCCTCAGCGTCTTCTTCCTCCCATTCTGGCTCCTCGTCTTCTTCAGTCTTGTCGTCTTTCTTCTTGTGGGAAGGCAGAAGAGAAGATCCGGGAGAGAAGCCGGGCTTCTTGTACCACCTGGCTCAATGGGCTTGCCTTGGATAGGGGAAACTCACCAGTTCTACTCCGAGGACCCCAACGTCTTCTTTGCCTCTAGGCAGAAAAGGTTCCATTTTTTATGTCATCTCACTTCCTTATCTCTTCCAAATCTTTCTCTTCGCTCCCGAGTGTGGTAGAGATGAAATAACATGCCCTTTGTGTGTTCAGGTATGGAGAAATATTCAAGACCCATCTGCTAGGTTGTCCCTGCGTGATGTTGGCGAGCCCGGAGGCTGCCCGGTTCGTTCTGGTCACCCAGGCACACCTCTTTAAGCCGACGTACCCGAAGAGCAAGGAGACGATGATAGGTCCCTGGGCCTTGTTCTTTCACCAGGGGGAGTACCACTCTCGCCTGAGAAAGCTGGTCCAGGGATCCCTCACGCCGGAGGCCATCCGCCGGCTTGTCCCCGACATCGACACCACCGTGGTCTCCATGCTAGAATCTTGGGATGGCCGGTCCATCACCACCTTCCATGAAATGAAAAAAGTAAGGGCTCAAAGACATTTTTCCTTTTGTCCCTATACATCAGTCCTTAGTTTGAGGCTGTATGACCGGATATCTTCTTCATTGTTGCAGCTGTCTTTTGACATTGGGATACTCACCATTTTCGGCCGGGGGATGGAAGAACAGTGCAAGGAGGAGCTGAAGAAGAACTACTACATAGTAGACAAAGGGTACAACTCCCTCCCGAATAGACTCCCAGGGACACTCTACAGCAAGGCCATCGTGGTGAGACAGACGTGGCATCTCTATCTACCACAGCCGACCTTTTCTTCTTCGACAATTTATATATCCGTTTCTGTCGATTTCTTTTCACAAAAGGCAAGGAAGCGGATTGGCGAGATCCTGAGGCGGGTAATGAAAGAGAGGAGGCGGAGGGGGAACATAGATAAGGATCTTCTGGGGGTTCTCATGGGTTCTCTGGGCGGCAAGGGGAATCTCCTGAGCGAAGACCAGATCGCCGACAACATCATTGGCGTGCTGTTTGCGGCGCAGGATACGACGGCCAGTGCCCTCACATGGATCCTCAAGTATCTCCATGACAACAGGAAGGTCCTAGAAGCTGTCAAGGTAGCTGGCTCTCATCGATCGTCGTCTTCTATTCTTACTGTGGCTAATCTTAAGGGAAACTCCACCATGGGATGTACCCGGCGATAACTACTGCTGTGACTGCAGGCGGAACAGATGTCCATATACAGGTCCAACGAGGGTGGGGCGAATTCATTGACTTGGGCGCAGACGAGGAGCATGCCGTTGACGCAGAGGGTGAGTAAATCGAAGAGGGAAAATAGCCTTGTCTTTGATTATCAATGTTCATGGCCACGCCCTCATCCTGATGACAGACGTTCTTCCTCTTTCACCTTGAGTAGGTCATATTGGAGAGCTTGAGGATGGCGAGCATTATCTCTTTCACATTTAGGGAGGCTGTTGCTGACGTTCAATACAAAGGTCCACGCATATTGCTTCTCCTCTCTCTACGTTTCGACTTTTAACGATTTTTCAAAGAGGATGCCATACCCTGCTAGAGTAATATATTTTTTATATATAATATAAAATATAACATATTCTTTGTACTCAATTCGTGGTCCACACTGTAATGGACATTATGACACGAATATTTAATGGATGTAGGAAATATAAATCAAATTTTAGTTGGGAGAAAGTTATCACATTCAACTTTTTTCATCATTTTCTTGTCGTCATCCTTAAAGAATTGACTTTCGCACCTGCAGTATATATTTGTGCTATAATTTTGATTATTTTTTATAGCCCTGAAGACCAAATATGTAATTGATAACTACGATTACTATTTTTAACCTCATCTTAAACTAAATTCTTTTTAACAATAATTATTTGTTTGACACCCCAAAATAGAAAAGGAATGACACCGCACATATGTTTGATATTGATTCCTTCAAATAAGCCTCGACCTCTGGTCTGCTTTAGGTGATAACTTATCAATTATTTTGTAATTTTAATAAAAAGCTACACCAATTTATTGTACATCTCTCTGTTACTGTCGCCGTCTCTCTCTTCCCTCTCTCGCTCTCGCTTCTGTCTTTCTGTCTGTCTGTCTGTCTATCTGTCTCTCTATGTGGGCCTTCGAATGTTTCATATGAGGAACTGACTGGAGTGGTCTAATGCACAGGATACCTAATCCCCAAAGGATGGAAGGTCATGCCTTTGTTCAGGAACATCCATCACAACCCAGAATTCTTTCACGACCCGGAGATATTCGACGCTTCCAGATTTACGGTGCAGAACTCCGACTCCTTCAGTCGTCGTTCCTGTACTTTGTTCCTTATCCTTGACTTCTTAAACGGGCTTCTTCTCGCAGGCCTCTCCGAAGCCAAACACATTTTTGCCGTTTGGAAATGGAGTCCACGCGTGCCCGGGGAATGAGCTCGCGAAGCTAGAGATGGTCATCCTGATTCATCATCTCGTAACCAAGTACAGGTGGGTGGGAAAAGGAGTGGTGAGATGATGCGATCCGTTGGATCAGATAGTCTGAGCCAGAGGTTTTGACCTTGTCTTACAGGTGGGAGATTCTGGGATCGAGTAACGAGACCGAGTATGGCCCTTTCCCAATCCCCAAGAGAGGACTTCCTGCCAGGTTCTTTAAGATATCGTCCCATGGGGATGAACACCATAGGACGTGAACCCACCGCCCATCGATTCTCTCTGCGTCTCTCTCTTTCTAACTCCTGGTGTATGAAGCGATCGAATCAGTGTTTCAAACTTTTGCTGATCCAAAATTGTTACCTCCCGTTCCCATGGCTAACGGAATTCAGCTTGGTGGTGTCATTCACCATGGTTAACCGTTGCCTCCTCCCCCTCCTTTTGATCTAAAATAAGTCCCGTGGATCGACCTCGTCGGCGTGTGCTGTCTTCCACGGGGCCACTTGTCTCGCCGGAGATGGCGGAGATAAACACTGTCTGGTAGAGAGACCGACCACACTCCTAGAACGGCAATGCCATTTGTACGGCCTTAGAATGACGAGACATGGTGACCTGAGTGGATCCATAATATTTTGCAGCTCAACCTGTGCACGGTTCATAGTAAAATATGAAATTTTAATGGTCTTTAATTAAATGCACTGTTTAATATATATATATGTATGTATTGATAGGTAACACATCTTTAGTTGGTGTGATATGTAATTTTCAATTAAGTTTATTCTAAGTGATATTTCTTGAACAAAATAACTTCTTAGATTATGCTATATTGATAAAATGATTTCTTGATTTTGATTACATTGCTCAATATTTCTATAGAAAGAGAAATATAACCAATAAACATGAGTCAGAAAATGAATAATATGAGGAATATATGTTGAAAAATATGTCAGCTCTTTATGGAAAGATTATCACAGAAGATTCCATGGGCTTTTTCTCAACTCTTGATTCCCTCAATTAAAGTACAAAATATATTCACTTCTCTATGCCATCATACACTATGAAAGACATGACAAAAGTTACTTCATCCACATGGAATCAAAAGGCCAAATTGTAATAATGTTATTCATTAATATATATATATATTGAAGAAATACTGAAAATCCACTAAGCTGATGAACTTTGACATGCTAATTTTTTTCAATACTCTTTAACTATACCAATGGTAAGTTATACATTCATAATTCTTTTACATTTCCACTTATCATATGAATAATACAACCATAAATATGACAGATCATCGATGCCCTCAAAGAAGAATAAATGAAATATTAAACTTCATTCAAACATTAGAATGCATCAAATAATGGTAAGGCTCCACTTTCACAATATTTTTGCTTTTGCATCACATACATTGACACCATGACATCATAAGTTCATTCACACATGTCTTTTATATTGTTCTCACTTAGGGCATGTTATCACGTTCATTAATAAATAACAACAAAAGATTGCTCCAACTTTGAAAGATTCTCTTAAAAACTGATTAATTAGAAGGAAAAAATACAATAAATTGGATTCCATTTTAAATAACATTTATTTTCTTAAATATAATTTATCTACAGTTTTGGCCTTATGTTTGTTCTCATAGTTTGACTGTAGTAATTCCCAATTTTTTAGTTCTCTCATAAATTCAGTATTTTTGTGTGAAGCCACCCCATACAGCATTGGTTGGTTGTTTTATGAATTTTGACATTGACAATTAATAATAAATATGAAAAAAGTTACTCATGAATATCATCACACTATGCTAATATGAGAATCAAGACCTAAGTAGCTACATATAATTTTTTTTGGTGTAAATATACTTTTGAAGTGTCAAATGAAGAAAAGAGAAATCAGAAAAAAATATGCAAGATGAAAAATAAAATCAAACTGAAACAATAAATTTTTTAAAGGAAAGAGGAGATATAAAATGTGTCAACTGATATAAAGATAGAGGAAGTTTTTTTGCTCTTGTCTTAGCCTATTATAAATTGAGGAGAAAATAGAATTTTTGTTCACCCATGAAAGCTTGTGTCAATCCATCAAGATTTGAAGAGAGAGAAACTATGTCAAATCATATGGTGACTCAAAAGGCAACGAAATCATAAGAGGGAGAAAAAAGAGATCTTCTCTAAGAAATATGACACAACTAAAGCATAGCATAAGATTTGTGAGATAGGTAGAAAATTCTGAAAAGTCATAAAATCAAAGATATATAAAAAAATCTTATGGTGACGTGCCAATAGAGTGACCTAATAAAATAAATAGGTCAAACTAACAACTTAACACAATTCCTTTAATGGGTACATCCACATGCTGATGTATACATTATTTGATGCATAAAATCTCAAATATTTTAAATTTACCATCAATTTTTTGGGCTGTATAAATAGACTATCAAAAGAGCTTTGAAGCAATATAACAATGATGGAATTAATCCTCCTGGTCATTCCTTTCTTATAGATTTAAGTGCCTTAAAAGTGATATTTATATGTGAAGTTCCTTTGGGGAATGCTAATAACAAAGAGCAGAAAGGTAAGCTAGTACCTTAGTGTTTAGCATAGGTGATATACTTGTGAAATCTATCATGTAAAAAGATTGTTTGATCCCATGAATTTCATCTATAGTTCTCTATTAAAGAGAAGCAAAAACTAAGGGTAGAAAAAAATGGTATGTGAACTCAAGCTAGGAAAGGAAAAATTACCAAAAATCATAATATTCTGTACAATATAAAATTTTTTGTAAACCTAATGTGTTGATCCAATCAGGTCAACTAAAGCTAGTATAGTTTTTTTCACCCAAGTTAAACTCTTTCAACCCAGGCCCCTTTATGTGGACACAAACTAGTCTTTGTCAAGCAAGCAAAAAACTTGGAAAAGCAACTAAAATCATGCAAAGATATGAAAATAATTTGAACTAGTTCACCCCCCTCTTAGTATTCTATCAGTCATAGCTTGGGATCAACACTAATATTAATGGAGAGAAAGACAAGCTAATATCTTGGTTTCTAGTGTTGAAAGTTGGACATATACAATCTATCATGTAAAGGGTTTCCCATGAATATAAGTTATAGTTGTCTAAGAGAGAGCATTAGAAAGTAAGGGTAAAAACATATTGTAAATAAAAAAGGGCTAGGTAAATTTGATTTAATTGGAAATTGTGTGTATTTCTTATTTAGTGTATTGACCTAGCTTGTTGACCCAATTCAGTCAACCCAAATGGTGTCAAAAAATCCTAGCTTGTGTTGACCTATGTATTGATTCACTTAGTAGAGGATGAAAGGAAATGCTTGAAAATTATAGGAAACTATGAAGATATTCTGAAGGGCCAATTCATCCCCTCCAATTCCCATCTTGATATTTATCTAGCCTACTGTAGAAAATACACTTATACATGATAAAGAAAATGTCTTAAATATTAAAAAGTGGAAAATATTTTATAGAACCAGTTCATTCCCTCTATCTTTTTTTCCTATCTAGCATACTTTGGGATTAATAATGATGTTACTTGAGTTGATATAACTATCAACATACGTTCTTATATGGGAGAAGGCTCAAAGATCATTTATCCCTATTGAGTACCTATGTACTAATACATTATTAAATACCAAATAGAAATTAAGTTGGTTCCTAAATTATTTTCAAATCATATTATGTTCATGGGGCTAGTGAATACATGGGGTTTATGAATGATTGATACATTTGGTATATATAATCATTTTGGTTAAGTATAGTGATTTCTAGATTTATTTATTTTCTAAAATTAATGAAATTTACTTTTTTGTGGATTATGAATGATTTATTTATTTATGTATTTATTTCGTGTACACATATTTGAGAATGAAATTTAAAATTAAAGTTTTAGAAAAGTAGATTCATTTAATTAAGATCATAAGAAAATGGTTAACATGAATGTTTTAATCAATGTTGATGATAAAAAATTGGAGACGTGTTTAATTTAATTATTTTTTATAATGATTTATAATTTTTTAATTAATTTGTAGATATGTTTGATATGGGGAGGAGAGAATGTTGAAACTAGTGCTTAGGATGGTTATATTAAAATAGTGTGTCACTTGGTTGTCTCTTTGAGAAAGGATGTCTCTACAAGTTTCTTTTATAATAGTAAATAAATTAATTATTAAGGGAGTGAATCTGAAACATCACCACTATTTCAGGTATTACCATCCATTTGACACATTATTTCGTTCACTAGCTATGTGTGAGGACATTATTGGCTTTAGGTGCCTTAGATCCCTATAATAATTTTTGATCATGAAAACCCAAAAATGAAAGAAATTTGGATCAAATTGCATTTAACATTCTAAATACATGGTTTATCTGTTGGACACATTTTCAAATAAAATAATTAGTGATTTGTGGTGATATATGAATGTTAACTGTCAAGATGGTGGGTGTAAGGAATGTGTTTGATGATTATAGCTTGAATTCAAAATTTATGATGAATTTGCTACTCAAAATCATTACTTTATTTAAAACTATGGAAACTATAAATAATAATGAAAAATGCTATTAATGAAAAATATCGATTTGGATTGCAGACTTTGTATGACTATTTGAAGCAAAATATTACAAGAAAGTTTAATAAATAGACTTGACGTCCATAATTTAAAAGTTTTAGTTCCAAAAGGAATTTGGTGGAGAATTCATTGATTCACTCTAATCTAAATAGATAGTCTTTCATGAAATTTTGAATATTATTTAATATAAAATAAAAAACTATTTTGGAATATTGTATGTCATGGAAGTAAGGATTTTGAAGATTGATATGAAAATTCACTGTTTACTTGGTATGCATATTTTATTTGAGGACATTTTGATTTAATTTGGTTTTTAAATCATTAGCTTATGTAAATATGTATTTATGATTGTATTTTAGTAATCAATAATGTTTTCTGGATACACCAAAATTGATAGCTTAATAGATAGCTTTATTGGTTTAATTTTATATGATATTACTCTCTTAAATGATGTGCCAAATCTGTTTTTGGCTATTGAAATTTCTTATTTTTAGGATTAAGATTTTAAAGTTCAATAATGGTAGAAAATAGTGGAATGGAAAAACTCAAATTACTCTTTAAATTCAGCCATTCTAGTTTAGCTAATAATTCAAAACGATCATCCCCTATATTGTACAGTATTAAATTATATTATAATATTTTATTCCATATATGTGAATTTGAGAAAAATTAAAAGCC